ATAAAGAAAGATATATCTATGGGTTTAACCCACTTTACTGCTAAGGCCAAAAAAAAACAACTTCTGCTTCCGATTACATTGCATTTGAAAATAGGGTAGGTACCGTAGGTAGGGAAATAATTTTTTTTTGCCAATTTTTTTTGTGTACGATCAGATGGAGGCGTCTGCTTGTAGTCAAGGGTAAAAGGTAGAAATTTATGGTTTTGGGTGTTTTTTCTCATTTTTCCTATAAAAAAAATTAGGGTAGGGGCTGTCAGAATAGGGTACGTAGGGACACCAGAAGCATAACTATTACTTTTTTGGCCTAGTGGCAATTTTGCAACTTTGGGATTTTCATAGTGACAGGTCATATTTTGTACCTTAGTTTCCAAATGTGCCGTCGGTACATGTATGTTAACTCTTAAACTACAGTGTGCCCATATACCAGTACAAAAACAGTACCTGCTCAAAATTAGCAAAACCTTTAGACAACGAGCCGATATAATTGCTCAAATGTCATGGCCACCGTATTAATCCCATCCAATTAAGGCATTAATTCCAAACTTCAAGAATTAATCAAATCTGTTGGCCAAATCTGGGTTTTTTTTTTTTTCAATTCAAGGAGAATGTGGAATGGTCAATTCCCCCCTCCCCAAATCACTAAAAAGTAAAAAGGCCCGCCTTCCTTCTCATTTCATTAACGAACCGGTTTCCATGGGATTTGAAGGTCAACAACGACTGTCATCACTTCATTAAGTACGCATACTACCTTCGGAGACAAGGGGTGACTTGGTGAAAGGGGGTGGGGGGATGGCGGAAAGGGGCGGGAAGGAAAAGGGGGCAAGTGGACATGACGGGCGGGGGACTTGTTGAAATAAGGACAGTGACATATGAGAGAAAAAAAAAAAAAATTGGTGTAGTACCGGTACATGTACTTTACATGCAATCTCCCAAAAATCAACTAGGGTAACAAGCTCAAAATTATCTCGGAAGCTGGGGCCAAACTGTAGACCTGTTGTAGCGCCAACGTTCCCAAGATTAAATTAGACTCGTGTTGTTGATACATACATGTACATGTAGCTGATTGGATACCTTAGTTTGATGTCTGAGTATGCAAACTTTATGCAACCCAGGGCGCCAGCCAATCAGAGTGGACTTTAGTCACTTTACAAATGTTGACAGCGTTTCAATCATAAATGTGGACTAACTGTTGATAAGTCAATTTGGCTGCCATGTTTTTGTAATACGACAATGGGTTGCCGAAGACCTGATAACAGGCACCTGCTGAACGGTCAGAATGCGGATGTGAAGACGAAGTTTTGTTTTGCATAATTAATCGCGTGAACATCATACTAAGGCAAAAAAAAAAATAATTCTGCTTCCGATTACATGCCTTTCAAAAATAGGGTCGGGCGGTCGAAAAAAAAAAAAAATTTTGCCAATTTTTTTTATGCAGATTGAATGGGGTATTCAATTATATGCGAAGTTTTAGCCTGAAATATTTCCATTGCACTACGAAAGCTATACACGAAAAGGCAACAAAAAATGAATAAAACCTACCTTTAATTATTGTCAATATATTTACGTTCGATAATTTCAAAAAATAATGGAAAATTCAGGTCGTTTGCACCATATGCACAACGCTAGTCAAGACGCGGGGAGCTGGCCAAAACTCTGAGGTGTGTGATGCGTACATGTGTGGCGAGTGGCCCACTATGGACCGACAGACCTGTTTTTACAGTCAAAAATTCCGGGCAACACGCGGCATGTATCACTCCAAATATGAGTAGTGCGATCTCAAAATGAACTCTTGAACACAGAAATTACATACCGGTACACAGACAAGCTAGATCAATTCTGTAAATTGACTTGCAAAAATGCTCTTTCTCCATCGGTGTTTTCTTGGCATTATTACGATGTCGAATCCGACCAGTTGACAGTGGCCTGCACTGCTGCTGCAGCTGCTAGCGCGCTATCGGTCTCATAGCTATGGACTGGTTACCGCGTTTTCATCATGTCTTCTAAATTGGCCCCTGCGCGGCGCGGCAGGAACCAGTCGTCGCCACGTGATTATAGTCACCGTGACATCGAATTGCGAAGTAGTTATATCGCGAAGCGAATTTGCAAAAAATAACGGAGGTTTCTTTTGATAAAAAGCGATTGTAAGTAAGAAAACAAATAAATACCCGGTACAAGCATTTTTTGATGCAAATGTGTTGTTGAGAGGTATTTTGTGAAGACAGAAAAGACAACAAGATTTTATTTTTATTTATTAAATTTTTTAATTTTTTTTTTAGAATTGCCGATAAAATTTTTAGGGTCGCAGCCTAAAAATAGAGTCGGTCGGGTAACCGGAAGCAGAACTATTCTTTTTTTTGGCCTAAGGTAGATGTGCACTTACAATGCACACAACACATTGAACTTTTCCAATTCAAGTTCAAAGTCATGTACCAGCACAGATTTGTGTTATATTTAGGGATTGGTTGTCAGCAGAGGCCTCATCTGCCGTGTCCTGTCAATGAGACGCCATCCATCAAATTGAGGGATTAACACCAGACAGAGGGGCAAATCCCTGCGCTTTGGGGAACTGTCAAAACAATTTGGGGCTAATAAAGAATGTCAGCCAGTATTGTGGGCTGTGTGTGTGTACATGTACATGTACATGTACATGTGCACAATGCAAAGTATCCACAATATTGTACATTGTATATTGAATTATTTGCAGACTGTCTAGGTATTATTTTTATGTACAACATTTGCTTTGGCTGTAATTTTCAGAAATGGATGGATTTGCAAGTGAGGGTTAGTATTTTATAGCAAATATTGTTTCACTGATCTGTTTGTGTACATGTACATGTAGATGCTGGAAAAACCAAGAAAAAACTGCTGTTCTTGTAGTCTGGTTCCTCGACCCTAATTCGGGTGCAACAGAGCAATTTACAGACGCTGGGGAATTGTCAGGTCAGGGAACCAGACTAGCTGGCTTGCACCCGTGCACGGATGTGTTAACCAACTGCAAACAAAACGTGGACTAATTTTTGTAAACTGGGGGCAGTATTTGAAAAAGTCATGTTTTTCCAACGATGGTCGGCCGCAAACCCGCACGAACCAACATGTGCATGAGGAGTGTCCCTCTTACTGGGCCTCTTGAAAATGGTCCCAAAAACGCCCTCTAGAGTCCAGACCTTGCAAAGTATAGGCTCCGTGCACAAGTACCCCCTCAACGGTAAGAAAAAAGAGAGTTTGGGGGAGACCACTGGAAGAGACATTCGAATGCATTCCTAATGGCACCTGACGCTGATACGAAGACGCCACAGTTCGGTGCATATTTGGGATAAAAATAATTGGGAGCACGGTACTTCGCGGCCCACGGCCACGCACGTAAGCCAGTATGCGCAGGCGGTGTGTCCATCTACGGGAGCTCTCAAAAGCGTCATCTACGAGTTGCGCACGTCCAAAGATCAGACACAGGAGTTCCAACTGGTGAATGACCGTTCCTTATCTCCATCATCAGTACCGGTACAAGGCACAAATCCATGTTATCAGATGTTAAACATATTGCCCAGGTTATTGGTAAACGATTTTCAAACAAGAGGCTAAGTGGCGGTTTCCTTTCGACGTGTAATTGAATTGAGCGAGTGGTGGCGATGAACTCAAGAGATGTACTTGACAGACGGGAGGATTGACTTGGTAGGCCATCCAAACTCGCTTCTCTGGGCAAGTGCTTTGCAACAAGTTGAGGACATCCTGCTTTGTGAATGGAAGCAGTTTGTGTGGAATTTACTCAAACCTTGAACGAATCAAAATGGAGAACATGTACCGGTATAGACTTTGTCCAAAGCTGGATTTGAATTTCTTGGTCGAGCCGTCGCAATGGTAGAGGGCGCTCTCAACTCGCATCTAATCCAGTCTGGGAACTTTGGCGCTCAGACCCAAAATAATTCTGACATGCATAACTAGCTTGAATATCGCACACGTATTTTCTCCATTATCAATTTACTTCGCGTATTTATGAACAAAAGGGGGCGCTGTTACTACGCAATTGTCTGGGTACTTACGCTAGAAAAATCACTAGGCATTTTTGCTAGGATTCAACCTTAACCCTGCAAAATCCTCCAACTGCCTCCATGTGAAAATTGCATACAGCCTCAATCATGCAAAAGCCTCCGTTATTTCTTGAATGTGGCCCACTTAGGGGTGACCACTGCCTCAATCCTGCAAAATCCTCCGACAATCACTGTCAATATGTTGAGGCAGAGCCAATGACATCCTGGAGCAGTGCGGAAGATTTCAAGTATAATCTAGGCCTAAATTTATGTACGGTTGAGCATAAACTGTACAAGGTCCGGCCCAGGACCTTGACACAGTGCATCTTCCAAAATCAGCCGCACATTTTTGTGCGGCTGATTTGGCCGATCAGCCTCAACCCTGCAAAATCCTTGTAATTTTGGAATTCTAGCAATATATGAACTTGCATCAATAATCTTGGATTCACGTTTGTTTATCCCCCCCCCCCCTCCCCCCAACACCCTCCATCATTACAGCGACCTTCATTTGATCAAGGATCAAATTAATGGGGTGCTGTGGCCCAATGGTTACGGTGTTCGACTCGTGTGCCGTGGTACATGGGTTCAAATCCTGACCGTGTGAACATGGTGCGTGTGCTCTTGAGCAAGGCACTTTACCATTATTGCTTCGTCCTTCGGATGGGACATAAAGCCGTAGGTCCCGTGTGTTGTGTAATGCACGTTAAAGAACCCAGTAACACTTATCGATAAGAGAAGGGGTTTGCCCCGGTGTTTCTGGCAGTGGCTGCAATATGCGCCACAGCAGCTTGTAATCCTTATAAAGGTGCTACATAATGGGTCTCATAGTTCTCATTAACTTGAGGGCCTCCGTGGAAAGCAGTGCCTTGCACTGATCAGAGTTCACCCTCATTAAAGATGACGTAAAAAAAAAAAATTTGAAAAAAAAAAAAAAAAAAAAAAAAAAGGGTTTTGTAAAATGTGTCCAAAACTTACCATAGCACACCGGTAATGCACAGCAGGAACACCGTGTAGAAGACCCGCATACAGCCAGGACAACCGGACGGTTCCTGCATGCGCTTGCCGCCGCAGTTATTGCAGCAGCGACAGCAGCCGAAGATGGGACCGACGAAGAGCACGAGGAGGATGTAGGCCAGGCCCAATGAGAGGCAGACTATGATGCCCACCAAGATGGCCGCCAGCTGCATGTGATACGAAGGACACGTTTAAAATTAACATCAATTGTTCAGTTGTGCGAGTGGGTCAGCAATGCTGAATCAAATACCGTTTTCTAAGTGTGAATTTGTAGTAAACAATTCCGACAAATTCTGACATCCAAACTCGAATAAAATACAACCACTTTGGCATGTCTATGAACCAGTTTCAAAATATCTCACGCACCTATGGATACCAATACAAAAACCACGAAATGTATTGGATCGGATTAAAATCATTGAAACATCAGTATGTACGTTTTGAAAATCAGTCCAGTGTTTTAACATGTTTTTCACAACACCTGTAAATAATATACATGTAGTATCTTTAGATGTTTGTACATTTTGTGACAGCTGGAAAAATGTGACCCTGTTTTGTTAAAGGGTTCAGTTTCAATGTAAATTCAATAATTTGTTTTAAAAAAATGATATTATTTAAAAGTTAAAATGCAAACGGGCAGAGGATATTACCGCTTGAATCTCTTCCCAGATCACGAAGCTAAAGACCTCGTTATACACCTCTTGAACTTTTTCTGCTAGATAATCTGTAAAACAAAGCCAAACAATTCCATACATTAGTCAGTCATTAATGCAATTTTATAATCTGATATGTGCATGTACATGTACGGTAGTCTGTACCGGTATGTGGCTTAACCCTAACCGCCCAGCACTCGATTTCACGAAGCACTGCGCCGCGTCGCAACTCAAGTTGCGACGTGTAACACGTCGCAACTCGCGACACGTCGTGTCATCCACTTCATGAAAGTTGTGATGTGTTGAACGCGTCGTAAGTTCCTTGACAACAGCTTAAAACACGTCGCAAGTTACGACGTGTCTAGGGGTCATCGCAAAATACAAAGAGTCCCTTTCTAAGCCAGTTTAATGCCATAAACATGACAGAAACGAGATTATAATACCGAGGCAATGTGTGTAAAGTTGTGAATAAAAAAATGTATTGAATAATTATGAATTAGACTGGAATATTGCAATTGAAATTTCAAAGTAGCTATACAGTCCACTGAGAGCTTGTTTCTCTTCAAAATTGCATCGTACGGCCACCATTTTGTTTTACGTTTTAACAAATTTCGAGCTGAGATCCGACAACTCTTTGTTGAATATCAGACAACTACCGGTATTTACTGTACACTGACTATATACATAAAACAGTCTCCGAGTTGTGCTATAAATACACCTACGACGCGTCGCACTTACGACGTGTTTCGTGAAATGGATCGCAGGACGCGTAGCAGCTGCCACGCATTGTACAGATACGACTCGTCGCATCGCTGCGATGCATCGTAAGTTACGAAGAGTTTGATGAAATCGGGTGCTGAATCCTTCAAAATCCTCTTTGCCAAAGTGGAGGAATTGTCATTCGGTACTGTTATTAGATACATGGAACATGACTGAAATAGTGGCAGCATGATAGAGATCTAAGGGCAAAATTTTTGTCACTCAGTTTCCTCTTTCTGCTCTTTGAAATTTGAAATCATTTTGGTTCGTGTTCAGAAACTAAAACATCCCAGTGACAATGTAAACGTACTCCACCAAGGGTCAACAACATTCTACAGCGTTGCAAAAGCTCAAGTTTATTTTTGACACTCACAACCAATACAAATTGTTATTTCCTCTAATAAAAGCGTTGACCCCAAGGAATTGACCTTTCCTTCAATCAAAACTAAAATGACCTGATCAGGAGTGAGCTGTGGCTATCGGATCCACCTGTGGTTTTTGGGAAATCGGGTATACCCTTTAGAGGGAATGGTCCCTGGTGGTTCAGGCCCATCCCAGCCAGTCATGGCCAAGTGATCGTCTTCTTATCTCTCCGACCAGACAATGAGGTCTTAAACACATGTACCAAAGTACAATATGGTGCATCAAGGCTTTTCAATTCAGCCAATTATTAAACCTTGTACCTGCAGTTAAGTTTATCTTTATTACTGTCATGTAGTTAAGTTGGTCCAACTACAGTATAGGTTTGGATTGTATTGGGTAGGGGTGCCAAAGTACTCAAGACTGTACAATATATATGTGACCGGCTCGACAAAAAAGGGTATTAAGTCGCGCTGTGCATTATTGTGTAATGGCCTGCTCAACATTGAGAGGGTAAAAATTACGTCAAATTGTGATTTTATATTTTTGTCAAGAATGACATCTTTAATACCTAAAGTTTCAGGTTTCATTCACAGAAATGTTGATTTTGATGACTAAAGTGGGGAAAACAACCATTTTGTGTGCATCGTTCTGTTGTTCTACAACAAAGCAAGCTATTTCAAAGCCTGTTTTCTCAGTTGTGTAATTTGAACTTTAAGGATGTAATTAATATGCAAATACGTCATATCTCCAAAACTGGAGGGGCTATGGAGCTCTATTATATAACAAATGAAAGCTTACATTGTGGGCTTGCCCACATAACTCAGTTTCATTTTTTTGCGACATACAAGTATGTAATACCCTTTTTTTTGGAGCCGGTCACATATTTGATTCACCTCGTTGGTAGAACAAGGTTTTCTCTTTTCAGAAATGATAATGTGCCTTTTTGCTCTTTCACTGTAATATCTACTGGTACTTGTAAATAAATCAAATCAAATCAAACTTAAAGGGGGCCACGTACCGGTATGCATATACGTACATGAAGAAGAATTGACTGGCTGTGACTGTTTATATGTACCGGTATTGTAACTTGATACAGCTACCGGTACTGGTATGATTGACTGTACATGGTAGGTGATTGACAAGCCAGCTGTGCCTACCACTTCCTATTTTTGTCTGTTGACTGAATTTGACTAGTCAGAGTGCTTGCTCAAAATATGATCTGACTGTTGGTGACTAGCCTGTGTGAAAGGCATGGCCGAGAAGAGAATTGATTTCTTGACTGTCTGTGACTGTTCAGGCAGCAGGAGGGTTCATGTTAAAAGAAACGTGGCAAAGCACCTGTATTGCCAAATATACAATGTACATATTGTGAGTGAGATCTTCATGTACCGGCACATTTATGCGAAACACTGCGCACACTAAATGCTTCATTTAGAAAGTTCTAGACGTGCGTGTACAGTATACAGGGATTACAGGTATGCATATGCACACAAGTTTTTAAACTGTTTTGACTCTGTAGCAGTTGGAGTTTTACGATTGCTCATTTGAAACCACAAGAGGAAGTAAGGCCGAAACGGTACGACTAATAACTCAACAACTGCGCAAGGTCAAAAATCCAACGGCAAACAAACTTCCCACGCCGCTGGCTGAATTGAGATATCTTCTGCAGCAAAATACACGACCAATTTATGATTGTGAGTCATTGTCGCTGATAAAATATTTTCTCTGTCTCTGCCCCGGGAATAACACAGACTCTCATGAGACTCAGTCTGGTGCGGCACGCGGACAGAGACGTTAACGTCTCGAACAAAGAAACCATTGTGCCTTATTGGATTAAGAGAATACGGGGCGAGCTGACCGCAAATTGCCGCGGAAAGTACACAGGCCAGACGAGGGTAGGGCCTTTGTTGATATTAGACAGTGACCTAACAGTGGCTTAAGACAATTACAATGTATGGTGGTTCGATAACCGGTGGGCATCTGGACCTGATACATCTAGGGTGGAGCAAAATGCTCGATTGTTCCTTGGATACAAACAGCAGAAACATTTGTGTTTGCTTGTTTCACAAAAATACCGTAGGATCACTTGCTTATTTTTTGTTTTGTTTTTTTTTTGAAGTGATAAACTTGCTGAAAACCTTAAAATAAATAACCTGATGAAGTTTCAGGCTCAGTAGATACCGGTACATTCGATTTTGAGAAAAACACAGAAAAGTCTGGATGCACAACTATAGACTTTTATCATGCAGCCACCATTTCAGTCATGTTCCCTGCATCCCATAACAGTACCGAATGGTGTTTTTTGTTCAAAATGGAACCAGACTATTTTTCCTTCCAGCCTTGCTTTGGTTACATTGATTTGAATGGGAACTATTTTTTAGATGGCCGCAACATGATAATGGTCTATTGCAAGTGGCTAGAGCTTCCAGAGTTTAAACATTTGATCTCTCACATTTTGAAGTGATCCCTCTTGTGTACAATCCCTAAATAAACACTCAGGGCATGATGCTCATTCAGCTGGTTAGTGTGCTGGTATGTGACGTCGTCGAGGGCTCAGTGAATGGGCAATCTTCACAGTATCTAATTACACATAACATCAAGTTTTAAAAAAAGTGTGTCCGTGGTCGACACACTTTTTTGAACCACCTTTAATAATTGATACCATTTCAGGCTGAATAATGGTCCTTGAGTTACGGTATCTTCACTTCGAGCAAGTTTTTCCTCATTTAAACGGTAGTTTCGTTTCCAATTACACTGTAATTACATGTGTCGGTACATGTACATGTATGTACATATGTACATGTATACATGTACCAATCAATGCTATAGTGGGAGGAGGGATGATTTAATAGCCCACCCCCCTCAAAAAAAAGTGGGGGAATACACCCCCATCCCCCCCCCCCCCCCAGGAGTTACGCCCGTGAGCAGAGGTCTAGTTGGTAAATCTCCTTTTCTAGACCCAAGAAAAGTTACCCCGGTACAACCCTACACTAAGTATGTGCTTAAGATCGTCGCCGTGGCAACTCCATGCAATAACAATAGGATCCGGGTATGGGTCATTGAAAAGATCAACAATCCTCCTGTGTGTGCAATGATTATGTGTCAGAGATAAAACGAGACACGGCTTTTGTCTAAAAAAAAATTGCCCGACGACGGACCTGATGTGCCGTCGCGTTCAAAGGGCGATCAGTCACACAGCAAAAAGTACGGTACCCTGGTATCATGCCTTGTGCAATGTTCATATTTACACTACCAAGCGTGTCCTGAATCCTAAGAAAATTACTGATCAACTCACTCTTTCAAACAGTGATAACCTTGTTGACATGATGACATGACAATTCGAGGCAACAATCAAAACATGAGATTGACAAAGGTGATCTGATAAAATACTTTGAGATCATCAATATGACAAAAGAATCTATAATTAGACTCGGCCAAGAAAAGACAATGTTGGGTCCATCTTTTTTTCTCTCAATTTTTATATCCAGAAAAGATAGGGTGGGATGTTAGGTTTGATTATTATTTGTTAATTGTTTGTTTTTTGCATTCGTTGATAAGGGAATAAATGCATGCTTCAGAGGTTTTATACACTATGTGTATGTTTAAAACCGGTTGGAGATTAGCATCCAGACTCCAACCAGTCTTAAACAAACAGTGTCTAATACCAACCAAGCACATATTTATTCCCATTAATTAAAATTACCTATTTGGTAAAAAAAAATAGAAAATAAAAACTTTTTGGCCCAAAAGTCAAAACAATAAAAATAGGCTGTTTATAGGTTTCGCTGCTAATCGCATTAACACCACACTGCTGACCAACTTAGACCCCGTTCCCACTTGATCCACCAATTGGTGGATCTGATCCACCTTTTGCCAAATTGCCGGATCAGATCCCCCAATTGGTGGATCAGATCCGGCAATTGTGTGTAGTGGGAACGCTAACCGTTATAAGGTGGATCAGGATCAGATCCACCTTTTCTGATCCACCTCTGGACCAGGATACAGATCCCCCAATTGGTGGATCAGATCCGGCAATTGCCGGATCACGATCAGATGGGAACGCAAAAGGTGGATCTGATCCGGCAATTTGACCTGTTAACATCCGCCCGGTGCACGAGTGGCGCGAAAATGTTGCGGTCTCATGAACGAAGAAACACGTTTTCAGGCGTGTAGCTCATGTGAACATTTCCAGCGTACACAACATGCACAATAAACAACCGCTGAACTACGGGCTAGCACCGCGCATGCAAAAACGCACGTGGTATCCTAAAACTACACTGTAGGCCTTATTTTTGTTGCGTGTTCGTCCATTACTAAACCGTTTTCATTCCTGAAATTTTACTTATTTTTCCATCCATAAATGACTCTGAGTCTGCACTCACCAAAAGACTTCACTTTGGCACAGAATCATGGAAAAGCTTACGAGTATGCGATGAGAATAGTGCCGATAACGCGGTACGTACGGAGGTGACAAATCTGAAGTATTGATTATAGAAAATTGGAAAATGATGTCGTAGTACATCATGTGACCGTTTCTAACCAATTAGAAGCTTCAGAACCAGGGAATCCCTTATCGATGCATTGGTTTCTGCCGTGATGTCACACAATGAGCGGCTCTGTTGGATTTCACCTGTTAATTTATGCACGCACGGATCCTCTACGGATCCGTGATTTATGTAGGTGAATTTGCGTAATTTTTGTTTGTGAATTCTGATAGTGCTGTTTGAAAACTGACCCATCCTGGCCTAGCCTGCAACCATGCAACAATGACACTCACACAGAGCGCGCGTAATTCCGAACTCAGTGACCTTTCGGACCCAACATTTCCGTACGAAAAGGTGGATCAAGCATAAGTGGGAACGCGACTTGCGGTTTCGTTGCGGTAAGATAACGATCACACCAAAATGCCGGATCTTGATCCACCTTTTTCCAATTCAAGTGGGAACGCGGTGCTACAAACGTTAAATTAATTAACTTAATTCACAAATACCTAAGACAGTTTGCTTATTCCTATTGATCGACAGCCCGTCACCTGGCCGGTCTTAAATGGTTGATAAAACACCAGCTGGCTGGTCTTCAACACTTTGCCACTGTCGTATGAAATCCGGTGCCTTTTACCACTTTTATTGGTTGAATGTTCACAATCCTCCCATAGGCATGCACAATACTACATGTACCAGTGAGTTAGTATTTCATAGTCCTAAATTCACACCACATCGTCACAGATGCATTCTGCACCACATCGCGCAGTACGCAGGACGCGCGCACCAATCTTCATATTTATAAGGAGTTGTTTACGATTGCATGTATTCACAAGAGGGACATACCATAACATAGCTAGAGGGGTGTTTAAAAAAATATGAAGTAAAACTGTTTTTATACTTTTTGACTTGTTTTGCCTTTTTGACCGAAAAATTGATTTTTTTTTTTTTTTTTACCGAAAATATTTATGAATTCGGCTCGGGTCATCGTATCAGTGCCAGGCTCCAAACTGGTCTTAAACATAGCGTTTAAAACCAGCCAAGCACAAATTTCTTCAATTAATTAAAATTCAGCAACGTAAATCCAGGATGATGTCCTCAAAAAATATGGTGAGTGCAAAATACGTTTTCATCGCCAGCCAACAGCCAGGCCAAGACACTTTTTAAGTGACAGCAAACCAGTCACCGAGTCAGTCGGGGGGAGTCAGTCAGTCAGTCAGGGGGAGTCAGTCGGTCGGGGAGTCAGTCAGTGAGATATACGGGACACTAGGACGGCCTTCTGAAGTTTTGAAATTGATTGAAGACCATTTTTCAGCTACTCACCTATAAGGCTGCTCACTGCGGCCGGCGGCGTGACCATACTGACAAAACCCCTGGCCATATCGCTGAGAGTTCCCCGCCTCTGCCCGTCGTTCTGGTAGTCCAGATTGGAGGTGGTGGGTCTCATCGACGGAAGGCTCCCCCAGATAATCGTTCCGTCTGCATTTGTATAGCACTGTTGCGACGACGCGACCGCGATAAAGACGGACAGGGTACATAGCACCAATAGGAGGTTGCGTTGGGATATAGAAGCCATGGTTTCAACCTTGAAAACAAATTCAGTCGGTCACGATAGATGTTTGTTGAGCTGTTACCCTGCCGATGAAATTGTCGTCCTTACTTGTTGTAGCTTGGGTGTCTAGTCGTCTTTTAAACAAACCGTAGATATGTTGTTTCTGCTCAGATACCAGAGTGCTATGTTGTTTTAACGGCCAGTTTCCATGTTTCTATCTGCAACGAAACCAAAAGCAAAACTTGTTAACTGCAATAGAACATTGTTGAGACTCTACCTGGAAAAAAATACCACTTATTGAGCTGGCAAGGTTCATACAATACTCTCCAAAGCCAACTCTGTGGTGCCTGGAAACAATAGCACTTACAGCTACAGCAATTTTCGTATCAATACTCTTTTCAAGAACTCGGGGGAAAAAAAAAACTGGATTTCCCAAGTGCCAAGAGTGCTGATGTACAATGGTGTGACTCAAAAAACAGCCCTGCACCCTGCAGGGCATAGAGTACAGACCATGTCATCGATGACGTCAAATATCCACAGGCGATGGACAGGCAACTCAAACGTTTCAGCAACTTATTGTGCCCACATTAAAACAGTTTGTGTCAACACTTTTCAAACAAATTTGAAGATACACAGGCAATGCAGAAGAGAACCATTTGCTGAAAGCTGAAATCGTGCAACAACATCCAATTTTACAAATGTAACAAATAATAATTTTTCATCCACATGGAAACCTCTTGTGCATAAAAATGGCCGATCGCAGAGCACACATAGATTCCACAGCCACTGTGTGCAGAATCGACGACCACGTTGTAATTACATGTTATACTCACCTTTTCTGCAGAAACAAATTTAACTTTATACACATGTTGGGAGCTATGAGCATGTGACTGCTTTCAAAGAGATCAAAACACCCAACTGTACAGTACATTTACAGTCGCAAATCAACGCGCCGCAGTGGTATCGAAACGCATCACGTATACCGTACACGGGCTCTGAAGAATCGGGGCCAGGTGGCCAGTTTTTCATCAAGCGGCCCCCCCGCAGTTCTCCAAACACAGGAATCATGCAGTATGACTGTGCTCGAACGCAGAGGAAATAAGTCACCGACTGAGGATTGCACTGAGGGGCAGTAGAGTGAATGGAGAAGGGGAGAGGAGGGGGGGGGGGGGATGGTGAGGGGGGAAGGAGGGACGGGACTGTCACGGTCACTGACAAGACTGCTAGGGAGTAGGCCGAGATTTTTTCCATATTTGAACCTTATTGATGATTATAACAATTTAGAGGATATAATATTCTAAAATGTCAGTAATGATCATTCAAAATGACATCTGAGCCGACCATTTCCCCAAAGATTGTTCATTCACTTTTACATTTCATGCACTCACAAAAATTGTATTTTTAAAGGGAAAATACAACATTTGCAAACATCAAAAAATAAAACTACCAAATCATTTTGAAATACCTTGCTGGACTGTTAGTGAATGACAGTGTAAAGCATCCTGTAAAATCATGGCATCTGGTATACTGTCATTTTCAAGAAAAGTGGTATTTTTGTATCAATTTCCAACGCTGATCAGCCGATCAGCGTTGGAAAAAAACTGGCTTTTTTTTTCAAATACTGGCCCCAGTTGACCATCACACTTGTTTGCAATCGATTACACACCTATGAATGGGTACAAGCCAGCGAGACTGGTTCCCTGACCTAACAACTCCCCAATGTATGTAAACTGCTCTGTTTCTTCTTAAATGGAGTCAGGGAACCAGACTACAGGAAAATGATTGTTTTTCTTGGTTTTTATAGCATTTTTGAACCCAAAACCTCAAAAAAGTCAGTGTAACTATATTTGCTATATATTTCCAACCCCCCAATTCAATCCATTTCTGAAAATTACAACAAAAGCAAATGATGTATACTCCCTTTAAAAAAGTGTGGAGACATTTTATTACTTATTTACAAAGGCATGTTGGTTTCCCAACCTCCATACGTACAAACGTAGGTATGATGAATGCACGTACATGTATACACTACCTGTACATGTACATTGTATGTTCGTGTATACATGCATGTAAAATATTAATGATGTCGGCAGTGCAGGGCGGTCAAAGAAATTGGTGCAAATGCAATGGAACTCCATGCCATGTACAATGTAATGCAATGATCCGTACTAACGTCCTGGTTTCAAGTGAACTCTGATAAAATTACACACAACCAATCCTGCGAGACAAGCTTCTTGATTTCATCAGATGCTGCCAAAGGTCTTCCTAGTGCATTTTAATTTACACACCTTTGGCCAAAAAAAAAAAAAAAAAATTGTCAGGATAGTATCTAAACTAATCCAGGCATGCTACCATTTTTCAAGGACCCCCCCCCCCCCCTATGGCGAAAGTATTGTACCAGCTACCGTATTGCTTAAAGCAAATGCCTCAGTGACAAATCAGGCCAAGAAAATACTCTTGCCTCCGGTTACCCGTACTAACCCTATTTTGACAGCCCCTACCCTAATTTTTTTTTGGGGGGGGGGGAATGAGGGGGAAAAAAACAAAAATCATCAATTACTACATGTACATGTACTTTTTACCCTTGACTACACACAGACACCTCCATATAATCGTACACAAAAAAATTGCCCCAAACAAAAAGATTCCCTACCTACAATGTACAGGTGTACCCTCTTTTCAAATGGCATGCAATCGGAAGCAGAACTATTTTGGGGGGCCTCATCTGAACAACGGCCGACGCAATGCTTCTGCCATCTCCTTGTGTGTACAGTGATCAGGTGCCCAGATTTGTTTACGTATTCCACAAAATGTATTTAAATAATGTTTACTGCATCTCGCACAAAGTGAAAAAGATATTTTTTTTATTTCTGTTAATTTTTTTTGGAAACGTACATTTTACCAACTTTACGTCGGTTGTTTCTTTCTAAAATGTAAATAATAGTTCTGCTTCCGGTTACCATACGTCACCTACCCTTTTTGACAGCCCCTACCCTAATTTTTTTAGGGGGGGGGGGTTGAATGAGGAATAACCCTGAAAACCATCCATTTTACCCTTTCTTTCAATTTGTTTTAGGAAATGTACATTTTACCAACTGTACGTCGGTTTTTTCTTTCCAAAATTTTATCCAAAGTAACAATCAACAGCTCCTTGAAAAAACCTACGCTACTCTTTTTTAGTCTACCAGTACATAATACATACATAGAAGCAAGATTTATGCGGACATATAAAACCAGTTACGGTAATTGGGTTACAGTGGGCACTCCGTTTAATCAATAGATGGCAGAGTGCTTCATGTAACTGCCACGAGTACATTTACTCAGATGGACATGTAACTGGGTGTGATCAATACTGAATATGCCACAAAGGTCAAAATGTACACAAAAAATGTACCACTGTACCAACCAGCGCCATGAACATAGATAGTCATTATTCAGTTCAAAGGGCATTGAGGTGCACAGACTTTCGGCCTATTTTTTTTTTTTTTTTTTTTTTTACGTCACGCCAACACCACTTCTCAGAATTTGGTTAGTCTTTTATTCCAAACAGCCCACCCTTCCTTCCTGCATAATTTCTAAAGGTCTCTCTACCTGAACAACACGTTCTAGTGTATGTAAATTGATTAAGTATGGCAGTAATAAAAAAGCGGATAATGGGAGTCCGTTCTCAGGGATACGATAAGCCAGTTGGTTTGCGTTCCCTTACACCACAGCCAACATTTCAATTATCGGATTTTTACGACCGTTTTTTTTTATGCAGGATATTCGCTGTTTGATGGGCCGACCGCATGGTTAATATCATTCCGCGGATGCGTAATTTGACATACAAGTAATGAGTCATTATGTTCAACCTTCAGGGATGAGTTTGTCAATTTAAAAAAAAAAAAAAAGGCTGAAAATTTGATGAAAGGTCTGAAAGATGTATCTTTGCTTTCTATACTGATAAGGTATTTCTCTCAGATTCTTAAAGTCCGATTTCAGACAAAAGTCTGAAAAAATCTCATGCCTGAGCCTTTCATAAATAAGCTATTTCATAAATCCAAACAAAATAAATTGTTGTCATGCACCTTCGCCCTCCACCCCCCCCCAAAAAAATGGAGAAGTAAAGGGTTACATGTTCCCGAAACGGGACGCATAAAACACTTTCTCATTTCACAACTGTCACGCACGACCCCTGTCGGTGCTTGTCACGAGCAGTGCTTACGAGAAGTTACAGCTTGATTGAAGAGTAATTATGCTGATTATCAATTTGAGTTCACTTCCTCCGATCAGTCGCAAAAAATAGAAAGCCGCTAACGAGATACGAGACGGGGAAAAAAGTTGTCAGGGGACCCCAGGATCTTCTTAATGAAGAGACCTTGGAGGACGAAGGAAATGAGGGGAGGAATAATTGTATACCACCGCTATTGGGTGTTTTTTGGGTTTTTTTCAAAAAGACCGGACAAGAAACTCGATTTTTCACTCGGCCTAATACTGTGGTTTGTGTTTTGTTTTAGCTTTCAGGCACGTTGCGTTTGTATCAGCTTCTGCAGAACACCAATGAGAAGTTCCCTTTTTTTACACTGATTTTAAATTTTGAGAAGTCAGTGGATTTTAGGGCCTATCTAACGGCTTCCTAATTTTCACAGAGAATTGTGCAGATCGAATCTGGATGAAGTAAGCGACTGATTAAGAAATAGGAATTGAGGAAAGGAGAGGTGGGAAAGTGGAGGAAATAACCATACAGGATGCAACTTTTTGGCGCTTGAAAAATAATTGAAAAAAGTGGAGGCCCAGTAATATAGTATGAAAAACTTTCCCATTTCCAATTTTGTTAGGAAATATTTTGAAATTTTTTTTCTTGACGCTCCATAGTAGACTTTTGTTGTATAGTGGCTTCGAGATTACATTCTTTCCCTAAATGTTTGTAAACACAAATGGAACTCTCGGCCACATGGTTGCAAAGGCAAAGCGTCTGTCGTTAATTGTTAAAGCTAATCCGATTACGTACTTAGACGCTATAACAGAGCAGTGAAATTCATGCACCCAAAAAAACATGGCCTTTTGAACGTTACAAGTGTTTCTCAGAAAATATGCTCAGTATGATTGAAATGTTAAGTTAAAACGGAAGAAGAAATTCATGTCAGTGAAAGAAATCGCCGAAACGCCAATAATGGTTACTGGTAAAGCTGACCTTCAAGTCTGGAAGAAATCATTTGAAAACTTCCCCAAATCTATTAATTTATATTGATTTCTAGGAATTTCTCCAAGTTGTTATTTCACGAGTAGTTGAACAGTATTAAATCATCTAAAAATATATCCTGAATTTCAGCCTAATCTGTAGCAAACGCTAGTGTTAATACACACTATCTCCAAGGAAAATTTCGACGAGGATTTTTTGCTGACCCAAACCACGTGCATTGTTCAGCACTACGGTTGACCGATTTCGGCCCGGCAACAGAACAACGAAGGGTATATTACTAGCATATTCATTAGCGTCACTCTGCGTGACTTGGCGTTGGTCTTGGTATCGACCAATGGAAGCCGACAAAAAGGGTGATATTTATCAATTAATAACCCATGAAGGAGGTTTTTCTCCATATTTTTACTGCCCGTCATAATGGATTGAAACCTTATTAATATTTATGAGGCTTGAAAAGATTGACATTACATTGCAAACGCCAGTGTTACAACTTTCGAAAATGCACGTAGCCAGGCCTATTTTTCCAATTTCAACGGAAACTAATGAATATCAAAACCATTTTTAGCACACGCTTCGGAAATAAACCCTGAAAGTTGCATGTAGATACGGTCTTCCAAACTGGAGAAATTAATTTTCAAAGATTTCACCCGCCAACGTGAACATGTTTGTGTGCATGTAGTTTCATTCAAAATAAAGTGACTGTTGTTACGTAACCTTTAGAAATCGCCCTTCGCAACCACACAGCTGCTCTGCCTCTGGACAATTCCCCGCACATTCTGTACACACTATACAGCAGCAACCGGGAAAAGTTCCATACTCGATCGTCAATTTATCTGCTGCCAAACATTTTAATTGTCACCTCACCTTGTGATTTCAACCAAGAGAAATCCAGGAAGCTGTGTTAAGGTGAAAAAAAATTAGGAAAAATGTGTTTTTAGAGCACATTTTTGGATGCACACGTCGTGCAGAACCAAGTTGAAGCAGCCGGTCAAAACTGATTGAAGTGTCTGGAACAGCGGTAGTTATACGCATGACATCGATAACCATGACGTCGCATGAGCCGGCCAATGATAGTGCAATACGTCATTATGAATATTTATTTTCTCATGAATATTACATTTATTTCAATGGATACTTCAAACATTGTCAAATACGTCCAAAGATTGATTATTGCAACAGCGATCGTGCGCGGCCTAGCGGTTAAGAGTCTCGTGTATCAACATGATCAAGCAAGCGTCCGAGGTTCGAATCTCGATGAAGTAACTGACTGATTGAAAAATAGAAATTAAGGAAAGGAGAGGGTGAGAGTAGAGGAGGAAAAGTGGAGGAATTAAAAGATGTAACTTTTATTTGGTGTTAGAAAATTAATTGAAAAAAGTGGCGATCGAGTATGGAACTTTTTCCCAGCAACCAAAGAATCAGGATATGCCAGCAACATTCTTCGCTGAAAACGTCATTTCCAAATAATTCAATATCATTCATATTCCACCCATATTGCCCAATGCATGCAATGCAATGTACGCCAGACTACCGTATGGGAACGATATGCATGCGTACCGCGCCGGTACACACACGACGATAGTTTATCAAACAAGGCAAGACAAAAAAGGCTAAAATAATCACCTTAATCCGTGACCGTTAATTCCCTTGCCGAAGAAAACAGACGTAGTCCCACTTCCTTGTCGAGTTTCGTGAAATACTGACTCAGCTGACGGTACTTGAGCGGTTATATGCGGTGAAAAAAAGACCGCAAAATAAACAGGACAAAAGAAAGGGAACGCCAATCGGCTCATCAATGACATCATTGATTTGATCCGTACCGAATCGACCCCATAAAACGCGTGTAAAGCAACGAATCAACCTCGTATCCTGATCTTGACAGAAGGTCGTCGTTACTTTGCCTGAAGTATGATCCCATCCATTTTTTAAAAATGCTTCAGACCGAGAATTATTGTGTGTGAGTTTAAATGAAATTAATTTAAAAAAATCGTTTTAATAATGAATTCGGCATGAGTCGCTTCGTTTCCCCCCTTAATTTACCTGTGCTAAGTATGACTTTAAAGATAAAGAATTTTCCCCCTTTGATTGGACATGCAAGTTACAGATATACAGTATTAAGACATTCTGAGATTTATCCTGTTGCCTGTTCACCCTCAAACATTCGAATGTTATCAGAGTACACTCCTTTTTCTTCTAAAGAATTTGGTGTATTTATTATTTTTGCATATATTATTAGACGTCAGTCAATTAGGCCAGGAAAATCGTCCAACCTGTGGGCAGAGGGCGCCCTGCAAGTTGTCCAGTCTGTCCGTCTTTGTCGCCGACTTCGGCTTCGTCCCAATTGACAAAAAAAATAATTAACCAAATCTTTGGCCACACACGAGACTTTTCTGTTTCTATAGCAGAAAATGGAGCCGCAGTTAGACATGATTTGTTGGGTTTTTTTAACTCATGGAACCTGTACGTACCGTGTTATGAAGTTGGAGTCCAAAGCCACAGATAAACCAACCTGGACCTACTAACCGACTGACCAACAAACAAACAAACAAACAAGTACCCTAACACCCCCAACAAACAAGCAAATGATCAAAACAACAACAACAAAACCAGGCCTGACAATGACAATGATGATCCGTAAAATGTTCTAGCGATAGCTATTTGTCCCACAAAAAAAAAATCATGATTGTGCATAATATTTAAAACACCGGCGCACAATCCTATAGATCCAGTATACCCAACGACGGATCTAGGGGAGCCAACGGGGGCCATGCCCCCCCCCCCCCCAAAAAAGAAACCCAACGAAGTCAGTTTTTGTTTTTAAGTGACGTCGCAAAAAAAGACTGCAGCCACTGCGCATACCACCATCTTTTCCTCAACTTAAATAAATTGGATAAAGTGATCAGAAATTGCCCCAGATCGCACAACAGAGCATCTAGAATCCAAATATTATTAATATTATTATTATTATTATTTATTCGGCCAAATTACAAGGTACAACAAGCAATCCACAAAAGTAAACAAAACTAAACAAAAACAATCCAATCCAAGCTGGCCAGGATTGACAAAAGTATAATAAAACACTGTGACTCGAAAGCCTGTCAATCCTAACTTGAATGGTACATGTAACATACAAAATATATTAAAAATTAGGTATAAAATTCAATGAAAAATAAGACCGCCTTAAAAATAATACTTAAAAAGATAAATAGATTTAAAAGATTAACAGTTACAACAGTTTTCTCAAAGGCAAGAATAGCTGGCATAAAAACCTAACAACTGCAGATTATGCAAGACTGGGGAAAGACAGGGCCTTTGAGCGCGCGGGCCCCGAACCCCACGCCATACATTTTTGAAACCCAGTTTGGGGAAATCCAAAATATTTTTGGCCCCCCCCCCAAAAAAAAAGGTGTTCTGGATCCGCCTTGCCTTTGCGCAATACACTGCACGCACTATGATGTTGAAAACTGGGCCAAACAGTGACATCGACAAAATTTAACCGATAAGACTTCAATAAATAAGCCTCAATCTATACGCCCTCGAAAGGGGGCTGGTATACGTTCCTTAATTGAACCATGGAGGAAGGAACTCCAATAAATTTTCGCTTTTTAACAGGATAGATAAGTCGTGAAATATGGCTTTTTCCAAGTTTAATTCTGTCACAACATGTGATGTAAGCAAGGTAAGCCGATTGCAACTAGTAAAGCATGAACGTTAGCTACAAAAATGCTGGGCTCACGTCCGTTTCCTTTGGTGACGCAATCTCGAGGGGACACGGTGCAACTGGTCAAGTGCCATGGAGTACGGCTGGTCAAGTGCAGTGCACCGAAATTTGACTCCTTAACAATTAACTTTGGTTAGGTCTTAATTCCTCCATGATTATACCAAGCTGTCACGGGCTGATGACATCGCTGACTGAGGGCGCCACCGTGATGTCAGACTGGCGACTCTGGGCCCAGCATCAAGGGCCATGAACGTGAGGATTTTGTAGGGGGAAAAAAGATGGGTGGAAGTCGTGCGCAGGATAGCTAGCTCGTATTTCTTTGAAAGTCGGATGAAATTGGGCCCAAAAATGACTCTATTTTGCAATGGATGGTAGGTATCATTTTTTGTTCAAAATGGCGATGGGCCAGGGGACTAGGGGGTCATCTTTGTGTGTGTTTATTGGAAAACACCGCTATTGTTTTAGATTAATCAACTTTCCGCAGTTACTTGTAGCACTGGTGCTGTTACCGCGCCGAGATAGAGCCAATAATTCCATTTAGGGCTGGGATTACGTATACGTCAGCCACAAAAAATCCGCCGCGTAAACAACCGATGACTCCCCCCCCCCCCCCGTTTTTTCTCGGGAACGGTAAGACATTAGGTTAGTTTCCTTTCAACCAGACCTTTGCAATTGATAAGTAAACAATCCAAAACAAAACTTCTGGGGATTTCAGGCCGTAATACCCATTTAAAAGTAGCCCTAAATTCCGCGACTTGTAATATTCTGAACAACCTCCCCTTTTCACTGCTCCATGTATCCTGCTTGGTACAGGGTGAGTCAAAAAAGCGAAACCCAAATGTCGGGACTCTTGTTTTAGTGAAGTTCTGCATGTAGCACTTTTAAAATCTAGGATATGAAAGCCCAATTCATAAGCTTTCTTTTAGTACAAGAATCATTCAAATCACTCAAGTACTTTTCAAGTTACGGAATTTTAAAACACAACCCCCGTTTAAAAGTTCCGTCCACGGATCACAAAAAAGGTGTGCGTTCTTTCAGCAAAACGAAAACAAATCACGCACATCCCTATGCCATTTATTTTCGTTTTGCTGAATGAACAATACCTTCTTGATATCTGTGGACAGATCTTTAATATAGTGGTTGTATTTTTAATTCCGTAACTTGAAAAGTACACAAGTGATTTGAACGATTCTTGTACTAAAAGAAAGCTTATGAATTGGGCTTTCGTATCCTAAATTTTGAAAGTGCTACATGAAGAACTTCACTTAAACAATAGTCCCGACATTTGGGTTTCGGGTGTTTTTTTTTACTCACCCTGTATAATACAAGAGTAAATGCTGTCGATGGATAACGAACTCATGTTTTATTGCAATACAAATTATGTTTGGCATTATTGAGTATTGGTAACATTTATGTACACAAATAAAAACCATTTAAACATGATATAGGGCCTACATGTCCACTCCATCCCGTAGCCTCTGTGTCCGTATGCGGTATCTTAACACTCGTGTGGCTCGATTTTCTTGCGAGGTTTACAACTGTGACTATTTTTTCTAATATTCTGGTTGTTTATCGAGTATCGACTCCACATACGACGACTAGCATAGGCCATTTTAGGGATAGAATGGGTTTTTTTTCGGTATCTTTGTGACGTATCGTACACTTCTCCAAACTGTATGAATGCTGTCTTGTATAGGCCTTAATATCTCTTCCGGTACTCTTTATTTCGAAAACATAAATCACTCACTTCTATTCTACATTTTTCTATAATAGCTACTTTACGTTCTGCATAAATAATACAATAATGCACAAAATATTTTTTAATGGTAACTTTTGTAAAGATAGTTGCGACACACTTGAGCTTTTTAGATTAAACAAAACGTGACCAACTTCCTCATAAACGGAAACGTGTGATTCACTCAACAGCTTGCAAGTTTCAAAAGCTTAAAGACGAGAAGCAGAACTTTCAGAGAAAAAATATCTCTGGGCAAAAAAAACAACACGAGCAACAAAATAACAAACCCTATAATATTGCAATGACAAACAACATCTCCTGCCTGTAGACTACTTTCGACTGAAGATTGATGAGAATTTGATTAAACATTTTAACAGTCCATTTGGATACATTATGGGTGCTGCGTGTATGTGAATCGTAACTTTTCTTTCGCTTAGTTTACAAATTCTCATTTACAAACGATGCAAACTGTATAGAACGCCATATAACGAACACGGTGGCGTCCATAGAAAATGTTCGTTATAGTGGTTGTTCGTTATAGTGAATGTGTACTACGATAGAATTTACTATTGCAGGAGACTCAGGGGATGTTCGTTATGGCGGCGTTTCACTGAGATTACACTGTCAGCCGTTTCCCATATGCCGCAAAGACTGTTGTTTCGAGCGAAATGTCCCTTATTTTAACAGCGGCGATGATGGATGCATGAACTGTGTGTTCGTTTGAAAATAAGTCTGTACAATACGTGTAATATAACGAGTAGATGGGGGTTGGAACATCCGGGAGCCTAACTGCCGGTCTTGACCAGCTCCTCGTCTTTAGTGCCGTGCTTGATGATGCGCACGAAGCCCGAGTAGTCCAGCCAGCCCTCGTCGTCGATGGGGGCGCCCTTGTACATGAGCTCCACCTCATCCTTGGTGAAGCGATCGCCCATCGTCATCATCAGTTCTTTCAGGCTAATGTGGAAAATAACAGAGAAAAGATTAGGGAAAAAGGAAAGTTATCAAGTTTGATGAGAAATTAACAGTAACACTAGCGGCTGTACAGAAGTAATAAGCCCAGAGTGTGGCCTAGTGGTGCGGGTTTTTGACTCATTATCAGAGGGTCAGGGGTTCGAATCCAGCTGCTGGATATGTCAAGACCGTGTGCAAGCCACTTCACCCCCACTTGCCTCTTGCCTCTCGCCACCCAGGAGTAGGTTTACGGTGTAAATCGAGGACACACGCGTACAACATCATCGATGTATCGAGGACAGGAACAATCGAGGACGACCTCGATGAGAAAACGTGTACAAAACCAATGAGAGCTGTTGCAAAAAAGGTCAGAGTATAAACAAAGGAAAAGGGAAGAGGAACAATAGAAAATCCTTGATTGACACCATAGACAAACCTGTGGGAGTATAAATTGGTACCGACATAGGCTGGGGAGTAACCTGCGATGGACCGGCATCCCATCCAGGAAGAATATAAAGAAACATTCTCAGTCGAAACCGGAGATAAACGCCGGCCTGATGGGCCGATATTGGCTCGCGACAGACTTTACGTTACTACTTACTTTGTCTTTCATTGTGCAATTTTTACAATCGTTTTCTTAACTTACTAGTCTTCGTGTATCTTCCCTTTTCCTTCCTCGTCAAAGAGCTTGAACGCATTTATTATAGTTTCTTCAGGATCCGTACCTATAAAACGAACGAGGGAGTCAATCTTCAATACATGCCATATTCAATTTAAATTTCTAACACAGGCGAGACAAGCTACATGTACAGGGTGAGTAAACCAAAAGCGAAACCCAAATGTCGGGACTATTGTTTTAGTGAAGCTATGCATGTTGCACTTCCAAAATCTAGGATATAAAAGCCCAATTAACAAGCTTTCTTTTAGTACAAGAATCATTCAAATCACGCATGTACTTTTCAAGTTACGGAGTTTTAAACACAAACACCGTTTTGAAGTTCTTTCCACGGATCACAAAAACAAGGGTAAGCATTCTTTCAGCAAAACGAAAACAGGGATTAAGTATTCCTTGCCCGTCCATTTTTTTTGAGGGGAGGGATTTTTTTTCCCGAGCAGTTTTGTGGATTCATCTTACCGTTGAGTTTTTCACCGAAGAGCGTGAGAAACATGGTGAAGTTGATCGGGCCGGGTGCGTCGGAAACCATTTCATCCAATTCCTTATCTTGGGGGTTCTTACCTGGAAGAAAAATAACAATAATAATAAATGGGTGATAAACAACGAATTCAGGACGAATAAGAAACATAAGACAATATATTTAACTGGCCCTAATTTGTTTTTATTGACATGCAGGGCCGGATTAAGTTTTCCGTAGGCACCAGTGTTTCGTAGCCCTACTCCGCGCTAGGCACCAGCACCGATATCATGTTGATGTACTAAGCATGACGGGCCAAACTGGTAGCTCTAAAAGCATGTTGGCACACTGTGTCATTTTCGCAGGCCCTCAAATTTTTCGTAGGCCCCCAAATTTCTCGTAGGCCCTAGGCACAGTGCCTACTTTGTATATCGGAAAAACCAGGTCTGATTGATTGGATTCTGTAGCGATCGATCTTTCGCGTGTGGTCGCCCCTATAATTTAAATATTCGGAACCATACAGTTCGGCGCGAGACACTGAATATCCCGTCTGATCTCTGAAAAAAAAACACGTACGTCTCTTCTTGTTGTTGTCGAATTTGATGTTTTGAACTAATAAATATAACGACTTTGACCTACGTGACGTCAAGGGCGGATCCAGAACACAATTTTTTTTGGGGGCCAAACAAATTTTTGGTCCCCCCAAAAAGTGGGTCAAAAAAATTACGGCGTGGGGTTCGGGGCCCGCTTAAGGGCCCCGAAATTTTGTTGGATTCTAGATGCTCTGTGGTGCGATCTGAGGCAATTTCTGACCACTTTAACCAATGTTTTTTTGAGAAAAAGTTGGTGGTGTACTCATTGCCTGCCTTTATTGCGATGTCACATAAAAAAAAAATTGGTTTCTTTTTTTTGGGAGGGGGGGGGCATGGCCCCCTTTGGCCCCCCTGGATCCGCCCTTGCTTGACGTCATGGTGACGTCAGACTCTTACCCATGGACGCCAACATATCGTGGAGATCCTCCTTGTCGATGAAACCGTCTCGGTTTTGGTCGATCAGTGTGAAGGCCTGGTGGGAAATTATGTGTAAAAGCAGTCGAGATTTATTACTTTTGATTGCACTTTCGGAGGAAGCAATCAGTTCAATAAATCTGATTTACAGGGTGAGTAAAAAATAATCGAAACCCAAATGCCGGGACTATTGTTTCAGTGAAGTTCTGCATGTAGCACTTTCAAAATCTAGGATATGAAAGCCCAATTGATAAGCTTTCTTTTAGTACAAGAATAATTCAAATTACTCCTGTAATTTTTAAGTTACGGAATTTTAAACACAGCCACCGTTTTAAAGTTCTTTCCACGGATCATAAGTGTTCTTTCAGCAAAACGAAAACAAATCACATAGGGATGTGTGTGAATTGTTTTCGTTTTGCTGATAAAAAAGCACGATTATATTTTGTGATAAAATACGGTCGACTGAATCGATACATTTTCTTGAAGTATACTGATCGATTATGTAATAGATTATCGATAATTACATTTCCATAATTGATTTTGATTTGTTCTATTGTATTTGTCAGCAATTACATAATCGAGACAGATTGATATATTTCAACTAATTAAATGAATTAATCGATTTATATATCTATAACATCATTGGTTTATTGTTTGACTCACCTCCTTATTATGTAATGGATAATCAATGATTACATTTTAATGATTTTGATTCGGTCTATTATATTTATCAACAACAAAATCGATTGTATATTTTAATTAATTGCATCGATTAATCGATTTTATATATCAATAACTCATCGATTAATTATCGTTAGACTGACCTCCTTGAATTCCTGGATCTGAGCCTGATCGAACATGGCGAAGACGTTGGAGGTAGCACGCTGGGCGCGCTTCTTGGTCTTGGCTCCTCCCTTTCTCTTGCTTGCCTGGATGAAAATAGAAAAATGAAATGTAATAAATTAAAAATGAATTGTCCGTGCTAGTTGGAAGTGTCAGCACAAAAAAACCGTTTTGTTTTCCCACATTAATTGCTATTTTCTAACAAAAGTTATTAATATTTTAATAAGGGAATAAATGCGTGCTTGACCGGTTTTAAACACTCTGTTTAATACCGGTTGATGCTGATACTTACCCGAGTAAGTCAAAACAAGTTAAAATTATAAATTCCCAACGATTTTGTCAACAATGTTACTTCTTGTTTTTCGAAACACCCCGTACCTATATTATGGTAATGTCCATATAACGTCAACAACTCCCTACATGGAGATTGGCGCGTGTCGCCGTAATGCGCGATGTCGCGCAGAACGCAGCTGTGCCGGTGTAATGTGAATTTAGGACTATGAAATACTGACTCACTGGTAGTATTGCGCCTGTCTACGTGTGCATTGTGAACGTTCAACCAATAAGACGGCATCGGATTTCGAAGGAGTCAAAATTTTGTGTGACACTGGAAAAGTGTTGAAGACCAGCCAGTCGGTCTTATATCAACCGTTTAAAACCGGCCACGTGACGGGCTCTCGACCAATAGGAATGGGTAAACTGTCTTTAATGAATGAGACAAATATGTCAAACGAAAAACGTTGTCAACATTGAGATGTGGAATGACTTTGTCATCATACTCAAATTATTTGCGGCCCTATACAAAAGTTCAGTTCGCGCCCTATCGGAATCGAAGAATAGGCATCTATTTATGCGCAGAAGCAACCAAAATTAAAACCTTTATTTCGAGTGCTGCTGACGCCCCCCCCCAAAAAAAAGAACTGAGTTTTTTCGTTAAAATATATATACATGTACACTGAATTGAAGGCTTGCTCGGAGAAATTCGTTACGAGCACGACTGTATACATCTTGCTGTCTATAAGTGCTCTCCAACAAGTTCAATTTTTTTCTAACGATTTTTCTAATTGAATGTTGTAGACTTTTTTCCCCGGGGAAAAATGTGTTTTTATTTTGGGTCATATAATTGCGCCTCTATAACGTACAAAATACACGCCCGATTTATTGTTGACGTGCATACTCGAAACCAAGAAAACTTCAAAATCCGCTGGAAGTATTAATGAACCGAACGGTGTGACGTCATCACCCAAATATGGAACCCCAAGATAATTATCTCTATCATTGATATCAAGTATCAGCACCCGACCACACTGTGCGCGGCCGCGTAGGAGGAGCGCACAAACGACTGGTAGTGAACTCTAGGGCCGAACATTCCTCGCATTTCTTGCATACCGCGGCAACCGCCTGCGCGCATACATTGACCTATTGTGGTAATGACATACACTGACGTTTCATGTGTAGCATGATATGAACAAAATGACTGATGCTTGATTTAATAATTCAGTTCTTCACTCCAAAATGGATTCACAGAATTGCAGTTAAAAGGTTATTTTCGTCGTGGTTCGTGGAATTTATGGACAATTATTTTCAGAACACTTCACTCAAATTGGACATTAATTTCCCTATGCTTTTTGTAGAAGTGCCCGTTGGACTCGCGATTAATCTTTGTTGCAACTTGTTCCTTTATTTCAATCGAAGTAATTACTCTTTTAAAATTAGACAGACTACTTTGTTATTATTTTTTATTGTTTCTTCCACATTGTTTTTCGCTTTTCAAAGATTGTTTTGCAAGTTTATATATTTTTCCTTTACCTATATTTTTAAGACTTGTTTTATTTTTTAAAACTGGTTTAAGTAATGATACTTTTAATACCATTTTAGTCACAATAGTCTTATGTCTTATAATTTTATTTAGATGTTATTTGTTTATCCAACTGCGATTCGGCCGTGCGTCGCTAAATGTGGATAATATACAATAAACCATTGCTGTATTGAATTGAATTAAACTAAACTGAGATTTAACAATTTGAACAAATGTAATGACTTTTTGTAATAAGTATCCGTCTGCATGGTTCTTCTTATTATTTGGGGAAAAAACCTCTTATATTAGCACCAATACAAATCATCTTTTGGAAACAGCGATTTAATTTTTTTTTTTAAATATCATATATTCTTGTTACATTACATTAAAATCATTGGTAACATCTGAATTAAAAAAATTCTGTGATGTTACCAATGAATGTCAAGCAATGACTGCTATACTTCTAACTGAAGTTGCCTTTTTTTTTATCTTAACGTCACGTCCATGCGCGTTCCATCTCCACCAGTGAATTTCCGTTTACAACAGGAAACTTCCCTGTTTGTTTTAGATCAAAACAGAACATAAAAATAGGGCAAGCATGCTTCCTTTGTTAGACTTCTCCTGTAGACGCACGTACCTTTTTTTGTCCCAATCTAGTTTTGAGAACTGAATCAACATTGAAAGTACATGTACAATGAGCTTTCTGATCGTGGCGGATTTTGATATTTTCAGTTGAAACCATGAAAAACAAGAATTACCACATGTTTGCAGTGACCATAAAAATTACCTTTAATCATAAAGCTATAAACGAAGCTCTATGATCAGGGCAACAATACAAACTGGTTATGAACATAGTCCAAAGGTTTACAGAAAAGAAATAAAGATAATACAATAATGTCGATAAAAATGAAGTTCTTGGTTGTTTTTACTAGTTTGTTGCCAGAATTTCTCACATAAATTTAACTGACTAGCCCTGGTTCACAGCCTAATACGACCAGTGATTTTCATAATCAAAGTGATAGTCAATCGATATTCATTAATTTTAGGAACAAAAATCAAGGGGAACTTACCATTTTGGAGAGTTTTTAGCGGGTGATTCGCGAGAAGACGACGACCAAACCTACCACTATGCCACCACAATCGCGATACCAAAGGCGGAAGGAAAGTTCAACCCCAATAATCCTTCTGCCAAAGTTGACATTCGACCGTTCCATTTCCTAGCAGGGGCGTTTTGTTTCACATGCCTCAAATCTGATATTTTCTTGTGTGCTTAACTCGCACATGGACATTTCGAAATACATGAAACGATAAAAGTAATTAAAACGTGTAATTTGTTGATTCTGCTGCCTAAAATTGCAGTAAATTGTTGTGTTTTATGTTGAAAGAATTTAAGGTTTCCCCCGAGAATGGAATGCCCGTGATCGCTATGATAAGTTCGATGGTCTGCAATGTGAATGTAGCGAGGACCTTATAAGGTATCGGCCCACGACGGGGGAAAGTCGCACGTCTTGTGGCATGCAGACTCCATATCAAATAGGCATAGTCCTCTTTAGCAGTAGAGCAGTGTTTGCTTGACACTTAAATAATGTATTGGGATCCTTTGACAGAGTCATGTTGGACCAGTTGAGTTAACTTATTAAACTAGGATTAAATTAACACAAATAGCCAGAGCAGTTGTTTTTGTCAACGGATGATCTGGCAGTGATTTATATTTCAAATTACATTTTTGAGAAGGTCCCTAACTGAACAGTATAGTCCCCATCAATTTTCCTTCAAATTTTAAAACAAAATACAGGATAAACTGCTAATTCTGCCTAATTAGACATTTAAATACTTGAATATATAAAGGCATCGTTACTCTAAATTTGTCTTTTCCTCCCTCATAAAAGTCATAGGCCTATGCGTTTGAAGCTTTTTTTTTAATTTTTTTTTTATACTTTTGCACCTTTTTAAATTTTACACAATATACATGTACAAGCTGATGTACCCTATCATAATCGGGTAGGCCTAGCTAGAGGGGTGTATTTTTGTTGGGTGTGAAAATGTGGGAGAAATGTAAATGGGGGATCTAGACATAGAGCCTACAATCTGAATTATCTTCACGGACGTGTACAATGACAGGGGAATATTTTTTTAAAGAATCTTTTATATTGTTCAGTATCAAATAGGCCAACATCTAATATTTAGTATCAAATGAAATATTGTACTTAATATATTAGAAAGTACAAAGCACATACTGCGACGCCACATTTCCGTGAAAGAACCCGAATATTGAGGACCTAAATTTTGAACATTCAAGAGAAAATCTAGAGAAACAAAATATGGGGCAAAATAGACCAACACGTGCCTGTATATTGTGCTTGGTAATAGGCCGGAAGGCGTTGTGACCAAGTCCCATAGCACATCCGGCAAAGGTTGGACCCACAAAAACAGACGAATATGCCTTGTTTTAATGCAGGTTGACCCAATACAGGCCGCAATTTCAGCGAATATGTAATGACACTATCTGGGCGGGGGGAGAGGACAGCTACATGCAGTAGAAATTTCACGTTTATTGCAAGGATTGTTTACTTTACCTCAATCTAAAAATTTAAATATTGTTAATGTAAACAAAAAAGTGAACTTTTGAATGTTAGCAACTGTGCCGCGTCTAGTACTTGGCTATGACTGGATATTATTACACACGCTCCTGGCCGTACGGAAGCGGTTGCAGCTAGTTGATAGACAAGTAACTTTCGGACGGAGCACCCATAAGTCAGAATAGATGATGGAGGGACTAGGAGCAAGTCTATAGTAACCCGCAGGGTTCAGCCAGGTAATAGACATCCGAAATGCCTACGCTGTATCACGATTTGCATGCCCTCAAATTCTCCGGTATAAGAGCATTTTCTTTTTGGGCCATGAAGTTGACGGTTTGTAAAAAAAAAAATGGTTGGAAGCCGTGAACAGGACTGCAAGCTCGCATTTCTGTGAAATTCGGATGAAATTGGGCCCTTAACCCCAACTCCCAAGGGGGTATGCAAAATCGTATTAAAATTGGAGGATTCAGGACTGTTAGGGCTACTATAGTCCATTTTACGATGAAGCGCAAATGAAACGTGTTTGCTTTTTTTGGTCAATTTTGGCCAAACAATGAAATTGCTTGAAACCTGTAGGGAAGATGCCTAAGGGACCCTAGAATAAAAACACAACAACTCGATTTTGGGACAAAAGTGATATTGAAAAGAAAACTTGCAGCCACAACTTAGATTAAAATCAGTCCATTCAAAATGTTTTTTTTTTGTTAATTAAAAAATCTATTATTTTCGCCCGAACCTTAAAATGTTGGAAGTTTGAATATAAATTGATGCTCCTCTTGCATCCAAAGGAAGATGCAGGGACGATGCAGGGGCCCTAGAACACATTCCATCTCGATTTATGAACAAACGTGCTATTCAAAAGGAAACTTGTGTGGACAATTTGGGGTAAAATCAGTCAAAAAAATTCTTTTTTCAAAAATCGATGATTCTGGCCCAAATCTTAAAAATCTTGGGTGTTTGAATATTATTTGATGCTCCTCTTGCATCCAAAGGAATTTCTGCCTTGTTTGGGGAAAAGTCATTTTTCGGCCAAATTTTGATTAAAATGCAAGGTAAACCACTTCCATTTTTGTCAATTTTGGCCTAACAAATTAAATTGCTTGAAACCTGCAAGGAAGATGCCTAAGGGGCCGTAGAACACATACTAACTTAGCCTTTCGCCAAGGCCATCGTGGCTTAGAGTGGCGGAGCTGCGAAATACACGAAGCGACTGGAGCAAAGATAAAGTCAGCACGTACGAGTGGTCGCTTGTGTGGTCTCCCGCTCCAGTCGCTTCGCGTTTTCGCCGCTTTGAGCCACGATGGCCTTGACGAAAGGCTAATACTAACTCGAAATATGAGGTGAATCAACATTTGGGGTTGAATCAGTCGAACATGTAAAACAATTGCAAAAACCAAAGTTTATGCCTAAATCTTCACCATTTATTTTATCCCTTTAACTTCCTAGCCAACATATTAATGTTTGTAAATATACATTGATATATTACTATTTCTTCAACTCCAATCAATGCATCTTGAGATGTTTGAGTCTTTGAAATAAACCAATTACACAGGATGATAGTGTGAATTTCTCTTGGATCAGCTTTCCTTTCTTTTCTTCCCTGTCCATCATGAACTTCATGACAGCTTCGCTCGGCTTGCTCTATTTTAAAGAAGCAATTTCAGACGACGACCCACACTTGACATCTCACACCAAACATGTATTGGATCCCAGCAAATGGAGGCCAAGTTTTAAAGGTCACCAGTCTTTTTCCCCAAAGGGGTGAACCACAGCATTGTTGAGGGTATATGGCGCCCTCTAGGAATTTGACATGGAAGTATGCAAACCTCTGCACTGTTGAGGGTAGTATAGCGCCCTCTGTGAACTGTGCACACCCAGGATATAGCAGGCTACAATATGAATGTATCCGTTTCATAGTGGTCGGTACATTTCATAGTGTCTCCATTTGCCCTTGGAATAGTTAATCTCAAAGTACGTAAGCCACTGCACTATAAAGGGTAGCATAGCGCCCTCTATGGCCAGTGCACATACACGATATAGAGGGTTACCATACACCCATCTCAGTTTATAGCGCCCTCTAAGAACTGTGCACATACAGGATACAGCAGGTTACAATATGGAGTTCTGGTTTCAGAGCGGTTGGTACTTTTTGCGTCTCCATTTGCCCGTGAAACAATTAATCGCAAAGGGTAGTATAGCGCCCTCTATGAACAATATGGTTACAATATGGAGTTCTGGTTTCAGAGCGGTCGGTACTTTTTGCGTCTCCATTTGCCCGTGAAACAATTAATCGCAAAGGGTAGTATAACGCCCTCTATGAACTGTGCACATACAGCAGGCAATACCATACCAGCATCTCATTATATAACGCCCTCTATGAACTGTGCACAAACAGCAGGTTACCATACCAGCATTTCATTTAAAGCGCCCTCTATGAACTGCACACATTCAGGATGCAGCAGGTTACTACATGGAGTTCTCGATTCAGAGCGGTCGGTACTTTTTGTAGCGTCGCCACTTGCCCGAGGAGTAGTTCATCTCGAAGTAAGTGTCCACCGTCATTTCGACGGTGCCCATTTCCTCGGCGTGGGGCACCAGTTCCCGATTCTCGCTCAGACGGATCGTGACAATGTCGCCTTGCTGGGGGCATGGATTGTCTGATCAATAAAAGCATAGCAAAATAATCATTGGAAACTTTGCATGGAACACATAATTTGGTGCCACCAACAAAGTTTCACGTACCTATTTTCTGCAAGAACGTAGTATTTTGTGTTCCGCCCCACTTTGTCTTGAAACTTTGTTTGTGGGTTTTGGGGCTTGAGAGTACGTGCTTTCTAGAATTTTGTGCCATCAGAATGAAAGTCTCTATTTTCTCAAAGTTAATTAATCAAATTGAAAAATATAACCACAAAGTTGATACACTGAGCAATTGAGTAACCAAATAATTGCTGCAGCCCCATTTGACGCAGCATTGGCTTGACATTTTTATGGGGCATAAAAGGTCATTGTGCGCTCATGGGACAGCTCAGTTATGGTGGAAGCATTGTGGCAGCTACTGTTTAAAGTTTAAACTAACCTTGCAGCTGTTTCATGTGATACAGCTTTAAAAAAAAACCTAGACCTGATGAAAGCTGAATTTTCTTACCGTGAATTTGAATGCCCTACATGGACGCTTCAAAATTCGCAAGGGGAAATGGTCGCATGTTGCACGTTGTTTACAATCACAGCGAGCGTTTGCATAATATGGCCAGAAACACACAACATAAATGCCTCGTCACGTCAAGGTTTAAGATGTTTACGGTTTTTGTAGGAAAACCCTTGAGAGGTAAATAGCGCCCTCTATAAACTATACACATACGGATACAGCAGGATTAAAGCAGATTAAGTTTTCGTCATACAAAGGGTGATGCCTTGTGAGGTACATTGGAGATATTCCGAAGTAGGAGGACAAAGACGATACCCCAGAAACCCAAAATAAAAGTTTCTGTGGGTTGATTGGTGGTATAAACGTACCCCTGGCGCCTGCCATGAATCCCAGAATGAGGGCCTTCTCTGGTCGAGTCACCTTGTTGGACTGACGGAACATCTCCTGGGCTGCGACCATTTGATCCCTCTGGAAAGAGCAGACAAAGAGGACAATCAGGCTCATTGATGATTTTGGTGGAGACCCGGTAGATAATAAACTAAGGTGTGATGGTACTGGCTGATATTTGAGGCACTCTCATTGGCCAATCTGATCAGTTTTTCTGACACTTTGGTCCAATGAGGGAAAGGTTATGCACTGACAGTGAAACCGTCTCAAAGGCTGAAAACATTCAATTTGTCCACTTTGCTTGTGAGAGAGAGATTCCAAGCTTATACTTTCAGGACCCCAGTGGAAATGAGCTTGTTCAACTTGTAAACGCAAGCAATTTGGACTTTGAACAGCATAGAAAAAAACCTTATTTCTGCATCGGATTCAGAGACGTTTATTTAAGGAACAACTCTAGTCAACCTGACCTAAATTTGGTTTCAGACAGGTGGACTTTACGAAGTGATGAAATTGTCAGTTTTATAAAGTCTGAAAATTAGAAAAAAGGTCTGAAAGACGCAGTTCTTTATATACTGATAATGTCTTTCTCTACGATGCAAAAGGTCTGATTTCAGACTTAAGTCTGAACAATCTCAAGCCTTTTCATGTCTTATTTCTCCAGACTCCACTCCAGAGTCATTCCAAACAACTACAACAGTCAATCTTTCTGACAAGTCAATCCCAACTGTTTCAAACACTGAACTTTTCATGTACTAAACTCAAATCTTAAGTTTGTTAGGAATTCCAGACTGAAATGGCTGTAAGAAATTTGTACAAAAATACAGAACGACTCACCGTAAGCGACAAATTTTTTTTCTGCGCCCCGCTGGCACCAGCCATGGCAGCCGCCGCCGGGACTTGAGCAGGGGCCACCGTGGGCTCGGTTGGGGTGGTCGGGAGTCCCACGAGGGGTGGCAAACCCACCGAGGCTCCGGGCTGGGGGTACGTGGGGGTGACGGGGGCAGGCTTCGGGGCTGGCTTGGCTGTTGGTGGGGGCGTCGGGGTGGTTGGAGTTGGGGTGGCGGTGGTGGAGGTAGGGTTTTGGAGGTTGAAGCCCGACTGTTCCAGGGACTGCTGGAGTTGGTGCTGGAGGTTGTCCCGAGCAGTCTTGGTGGAGAGCGGCTGATCTGTGGGGGAAATTTTGGGAAAAGTCGACATTTTAAAAAAAAATCACTGAAAGGATTGAATCACCATCAACAATCACTCACAGCTATGATGAGTTCTAATGGGTTTTGCCAAACTCATTGACTTAGTTCGACTTGTTGAAAAAGTCTATTTTGAGAATACAATGTATTAACCCTCGAACAGCTAGAGGTTGTCGAATATTTAGTAGCATCGCCAAGTATCTCAAATTTCAAAAACCACCAACAAAATTGCGGAAGATTATCATGGGTAAACAAGAATATGAGCGCCACTCGGTCTGTTTTGTTTTAACGTTTGTAAACACAATTTTTGTTTTGAGGGTAAGTACCTTTCCCTTTATGTATCTTTAGTTTTTGAATTTTATTTCATCATACCTCTAGATTGTGGGCTTGATTCTGTGGTTGTTATGTGGTAAAATTGTTTCTGAAAATTCCCATTGTAACTTACAATGTGTTGCCAGGAAATTTGCATGGTGTACGCTTCTAGAAACATTTTATCATCTTTAGTTACAATTTGTTAAACATTTGAATTTAAGATATGATTAGTCATAAGGCTTCGTGAAATCAACCTTTCATCTTCAAATGAAAAAGAAAAAACAACTTACCCAAGTTTTTGAGAAGCGAGGTTGGAGGTTTGCTGGGCTTGCTCTGGCTGGCCGCAGGGGCGTAGGACGGCGTGGGAGGTTCATCCAGCTTGTCCAAGGGGTTGGTGGTGGTGGCCGGCTTGACGGAAGCGGGGGACATAAACGCAGCGGCGTAATCCGGTGTGGCTGCTTGGGCCGCCTCTTTGTCCTTCTTGGCTTGCTCTTGGGCCTCCAACTCTGGGGACAAGAACGGAAAAATTGCTCTAAGGAGTTCCCCCAAGACTGGTTTCGATTAAAACCCTCCTATGCAAACACACACTCTGTGCAAAGTTGTCCTTTCGGTCAAAATCAATCAAGTGACTGTTTTTTTAACAGTTGAGAGCTCCCAGTGTACATAAAGCAGGATTGACTGGCCGTAACTGTTAATGTAACTTGATACAGCTATGCTCCCACCACTTGCCTGCTTTTGTGTGTTGACTTAATCGACTAGTCACAGTACTTACTTGAAACATGATCTGACTGTTGGTGACTAGCCTGTGTAAAAGGATTGATTTTTTGTGGACTGTCTGTGGCTGTTCAGACAGTAGGATGGTTCAATTAATCTTGATAATAGTGCCCTCTACCCAGGGACAGGGACCAGCTGTATTAGGGGAACAAAAATTAAAATCCAGTCTTAAGTCAAGACAAGGAGAAGAGAGGAACAAAAGTGCGACGACCTCACCTGCTTGCTTCTTGCGTTTCTTGGCTTCCCTGTTGGCTCCCCCTAGAGGTTGCTCCATGATGTCCAACAACTGCGAGGAGAGAGAAGACTTTTCTGTTATAAAATCACTAAGGTGTCTTTAATGTTTAAATCAAACAAAAAATTCACAACTTTTCAACTTGATTTTCCTGTGGTAGAAAACGTATGTGTTCTATGCAAGAGACTTGCAAGTAAGTAAAGTCTGTCAGGAGCCAATATGACCCATCAGGCCGGTGTTTATAGCCGTTTCCTTATAGCCGTTTCCTTGACATGAAACAACAGAGAATATTTCTATTCTTTTGTGGATGGGATGCCAGTCCATCGCAAGTTACTCCCAGCTAATGCCCGCACTCATTTTCCTGGGTGGAGAGAGGCACGTGGGCGTGAAGCGGCTTGCCCAAGGACACAACATATGGCCAGCAGCTGGATTCGAACCCCTGACCCTTTGATCACGAGTCACAAACCTAACCACTAAGCCACACATCCCCCAGGCAAATTAGCACATGAAAATTCCAGAATTTACATTTATTTTGGGTTTATTGATTTCAAATAACCACATTACCCCTAAGACTCCCAAGTAAGCGACCAAAAAATCATGACTACTAAGCCTGAAACTGAAGTCAATGCCGAGCTTTGAAAAGTGGCCAGATTTTGGCAGTTTCTCGCTGAAAACAAAATAAAAGAAAACACTCTGTCCCGTACCTTGGTGCCTCCTTCCCTGTTGAAGGCCATTCTCCGGTTCAGAGGGATAGTCCGCGGCATAGAGGGCGCCGCTCGGAATCCAGCCGTCGATTTGGGGATTCCCTTCAATGGCGCAGCTTGACAATAAAACAAATTATAAATGGACTAGATTAAATAGATTTAAAAAAAAGTTCAAAACTGAAAGGTTGCTGAAACGATATGTACATTTTGCAGCCGACTGGGTATGAGATCCATTATTTTTCTGATAATTTATCCCTTGTGGTCACTGAGCGGCTAAGCGTAGGATTCTGCTAAGCACGGAAAATATGTGCTTAGTGAAAACAGGTCACCAGCCAAAATGCCATGTGATTGCAATAGCTTGTGACTGGTCCTTTGCTGGTTTCAGCTTAGTGCATTGTTTTTGCTAAGCAGATTTATTTTTCGCTGAGCAGCTTCACAAAACCCAGCCCAGGTTACGAACATTTCAAGAAAAAGCAAGAAGCTTGAGAAAGAGAATGTTTTAGTGGAAGTATTTCTGGATGGGTGACTTACTATCATCCAGCTTTCTGGTTCTGTTCTTGGTAGGGACGGTGGAGGAACCAACTTGCTTCTTGGTTTGTTGGGCTGCTTCAGCAGCTGAAGGAGAAAAAACAATAACCCGGAAACAAACAGTCACATACCGCATTCCCTTTTCTTTTAAGATCTTCGATGGAACAAAGATATAAACTAAACATATATCTGTATCTGTTAGCTTCTGCACAAAAGCCTGGTGTGGCTATCGCGTACAGCCTCATGGTGTATGTATGAGGATGACAGCCAGAAACACCAGGGCGAACCCCTTCCCTTAGCGATAAGTGTTTGCTGGGCTCTTTTACGTGCATTTATACAACGCACGGGACCTACAGCTTTACGTCCCATCCGAAGGACGAAGCAATAATGGTTAAGTGCCTCAAGGGCACAAGTATCCGGGCTTGAACCTATGCCACTGTTGCCTCTGAAACACCAGAGCATGAGTCCAGTATTCTTAACCGCTAGGCCATCTCATCCCATATGTACAGTGGAACGCCGCTATACCGAACACCATTATACTGAACATTCGGCTATACCGAACATCATCCTTGGCTCCTTGTTCAAAATGTAATTGGATCCTGGATCCAGACCCAGATCCGGATCACTTCCAAAATCTAATCAATTTGTACTTCTACCAAGGACCGCCCCTAAAAAAAATTTCATGCAAATCCGTCTATAACATTTTTTGAGTTATCTTGTTAATAGACAAACCAACCAACCCGCCAACTAACCAAATCCAACGAAAACATAACTGTTTATTTTTGGGTGAAACTACATCAATTTAAAAATGCACAGCCAGTTTGCTTTTGGAAGGTTCCTGTGACTTACACTTCTGCAGAAGCTCGGCCCGTAGCGCGGCCGACTTGGGTTTGCGCTTGAGGGTGAAGTGTTTGATGGGCGGAGCCTGCATTCCCACAAGCTGGTTGAGGGCGTTCTTGTTTAGGTACTGGCATTCTAGTGGGAGCAGACTGTTACTGTCCGTCTCGCTCACTGAAATGGGAAAACAAAATAGTAAGTGAATATTTTTGGATAGAATGCATCCCAATTACTTCTCTTTGGGGGGGGGGGGGGGAGGAGAAGGGCTGTTCCTGGTCCCAGAGGGCCTAGCAAGTCTTTCGTACCTTACTGACCGACTCACTGCCTGACTGCCACCTGTTTATTAGACTTCTTTAAACCCCAACTCCCGAGCATGATTTACTAGGAACCATACCCATTCCGGCAAATTCCAACATCATATGGGAAACTGTGCACCCATATTTCTGACTGATTTTCTGGAGGTGTGCCAACCCAATGTAAAAGACTGTCAGTTTAGGGGCACTGTACCCATCCAGACAGATTCCAACAATACATGCTGTTGGGGTTTGATGGGTTGAGGTCTGTTAGGGTTAATTACAGAATTTCGGATGTTAGCTAAGACAGCACTCACAATGTTTGCGCAAGTCATATAGCACCTCCGCCACAAACTGGTGGTCTTCCTCGACGTCCAGATTCAGACTGCCCGTGCTTGGGTAGGTGTGCAGGATATCGCCCACGATGGACACCCACTGGTCCGAGTCACTTCGGGCAAGGTGGATGATAGCATTCAGTTCACCTTGAAACTGGGTGGTGGGGGAGGGGGGGGGGGGGGTGAGAAGTAAACCACGTCAGTTAACTCATTAGCCTCTTTAGGAGGTAATCCATATTCCTATATAAGACTCACCACAACAGCTGACTAAATGACACTCAAAAGCGATATTCTGATATTTCTTGACACATCTGAACAGCTGGTAATGACACCTTCTTGAATATTGGCGGGTTTAATTTTGTGTGGAGAGGGCAGGGCTTTGATTTATGAGGGAAATTATGGGGTAAAAGACAACAACCAGAAAACAGGCTCAAAAACCAAGATGGCAACTTTGAACGCTCGATGCACATATGAAAGCTCGATGCTGATTGGCTGATAACAAAAATATGTTTTTCTAGTTTTCTATCACTAGTATCAGCCAATCAGCATCAAGCTTTCATTGTGACGGGCTTTCACGCGTGTTGTGAGAACTACAACTTGCAGGTCTCACGTCTCTGACTGCAAAAAAAGGTAGGAAAGTCACATTTTCTTTGAAAGTGCGTTTCAAAAGTCACATTGGTACTGGACAGTCACCTGCAAAAATGAGTTTTGAACAAAACTCCTTAAAAATAGACATTGATTCATTTTTACTTGATACTATGAGAGCCTGTCCTAAAGATAAGGAATACCATACAGGGACTTAACCTACCTACAACAATCAGGGACAACTTTGTAAACATTCTGCAATTCATCTGAGCGTTTTGATTACACTAAAGTATTAGGCCTGTAGTACTAGTACTAATTATTTGATAAATAAATAATACTGCCAATTAAACATTACTAAATTTGCTTTTAAACTGCATTACATTGAGGCCTAGGCCTACATTCAAATGTATGTTATTCATTCACAAAGTTGCATTGTTGCAATGGTTGTATTTGCGACTTTGTGATTTTGTTTGCTTTAATATTTTGTTTGCAGCTTTCACTTGAGTTTGACACACTTTTTGGTCCAACTCAAAATTTGTCAGCATCTGTGAACTACTGTCAACATCGGTCTGTGACCTTGCTCTAGTCAGTAAGTAGGCCCATGCATGGAGGTAGGAAAAAACGGACAAATAAAGTCATGAAAGTAGACAAAGTAATGTAAACAAATGAAAAATTTGCTAACCTCGTCCACATTTCGCCTCGGCATGTGCAGGATTGCCATCAGCATTTTGAGCTTCACCGTGGGGTGGAGCCCCTTAAAACACACAAAGACATTCTTGAGGAGGTCCCCTTTCAGTTGGGAGCCCACACTGCCGATCCCAGACCACAAATCTTCGCTGTCTCCGAGTTTATTGTGCAGCCAGAGATTCGTGTCGCTGTCCTTCACTGTCGCCATTTTGTGTAGTCTGATGCCTTGGCCTTTCAGATTTCGCTCACCAGTATGTGTTCTGGGTACCATGCATACCTTACACAAAGCTTTAGGTCTTTCGTCAGAAGAGGGCGCAACGTAAAATCTAAAAATTAAACGAGAGTAACGAAGTTTGATTAGGATTCTACCAATCATTTTAATGAGGGATTACGTGAGATTGTATTGTTTGGTACAAGCTCAGGCACTCTTTCAAAGAAAACAAAGCTGGCACCATGCCCATTCAACCGTCATTGTTCAAAGTACACATTATTGTTGATGTACCCTAACGTGGCGTGGCCCCTAACGTGGCGCACTTTGATTTTTCGCCTGTAGCGCCTACCTAGAGCAAAAGTTTTAACTGAAATGTCCAAGAAAGTGAAATGTCATCAAGTTCTAAACACTCCTCTTCATAAATCGCGAGTTTATTTACCCGTAACAAAGTTAAAAGAAAAATTTGTTTTGGCGCGATTTTCCAATTTTATTTTCAAGTGCAAAGTAAACCCTTTAAAAATGCCCCGAAAAATAAGAAAATAATTTTCTGACAAACATCTGGATGGGCATGTAAGTAGAGATAATAATTGTTTATCAGAATTTATCAAGTTTACAGAAATTCTTAAATGTTAAATTGGAATTTTCCGAGATTTATTCAAGTGCGCCACGTTAGGGAACACTCCGCCAATTTGTGCCCAATTTCCGGACGCCACCGTTTTTGAATTTCGGATTAAATTTTATGAAACTGAAATTGTTCACAGGAGGTTAAATAGCAAACATTTATAAGGTAAAAGTACTAGTGTTTTACTGCATGAATTTGAGGTTTGTCAACAAAGAGGTTTGGCAACACTACACGAGCAAAGTCGGGTAGGCTTCGAAGTGCGCCACGTTAGGGAACATGACTATACACTGTTATCAATGACCAGGGTGGCCCTCCCGCCCACCCTAAACAAAATTGTCATTTGAGAATATGCTAGAGAAAGTCAAGGGTTTTGGAGAACAATTTGCTTTGCCCCCCCCCCCCGCTAGAAAAAAAATCCTGGCGACGCCCATGCATGGCCAGGGAGGGGGGGGGGGGGGCGAAATAACAAGACTTATTCCATATAGTCCATACACTTCTCTTTTTTCAACAGTTTCAACAGTTCGTACAATGTATAGCCACGAACCATTCTTAGCTCAGAGCAAAATTGTATTATGCCCTGCAAAAACAAGAAAGCCATTAATAATTGATTGATTACCCGGTACGCGGTAATTAATCAGCGGCATATCCTCGCTCGCTATGCAGTGCATGTAAAAATACAGCGCGAACAGCGACCTCATGCGGCCAATTGATGTGCATAAAAAAAACAGTGGCCGCATGAGGTCGCTGTTCGCGCTTACGCTCATTGATCTCCATATATACACTCTGTGTATATGGAGATCAATTCTTACACTGCACTCACAGACATATAAACGGTTATAGGGTCAAGTGAACTAATTCAAGTGAGAATTTCTACGCGAGCTGATTAGTTTCTTTTGAAAACGGAGACAGTTTGGCTTTAAAAACGGTGGAATTGTGTAAATGTAGCCAAGGATCAACTCCCAGGTTTTTGGGCTTCCATCTGATCGAGGGCAGGCTTGAAAATTACGGTTGAAAAATGGGTCCTATTTGCCTGAGAAAGTGGAAGGATGCCACTTGTAAAACGGATACATGCAGGCTTGGGAACTATCACTTTCCTGGAGGTGATTTTGTTTTGGTGTGAATATTTAAAAATGTAATCGGCTAGTCTACCCAAAATTGACAAGAAATGAAAAGATGAAGTACAAGACAATAATTTAACTTTTGTTTGAGAAACCCCAGTGATGTCGGCTTGCATGTTATTTGGCCTTGAACTTTATCGATTTTACACTTTTTTTCAATGGGGCTTGAATTGGTTCAGTGCACCCTTATATGTCTGTGACTGCACTGCATATATGCGCGCGAGAGGATATGCCACTGATACCGCGTACGGGACACTTTAACGACGAGGTCGGCATTTGACCATTGTAGACCACTCAAGGCTATTGAAAGAGTGGCTGCAGCTTGTACCAAAGTACAATTCTCACGTGATTCCGAATGGCGGTACATGTATATAATGGTGGGGTAAAATGTGTAGGTAATGACCGGTAATAACTTAAAGGGAAAATACAACATTTGCAAACATCAAAAAATAAAACTACCAAATCATTTTGAAATACCTTGCTGGACTGTTAGTGAATGACAGTGTAAAGCATCCTGTAAAATCATGGCACCTGGTATACTGTCATTTTCAAGAAAAGTGGTATTTTTGTATAAATTTCCAAAGCTGATCGGCCGATCAGCGTTGGAAACAACTGGCTTTTTTTCAAATACTGGCCCCAATTGACCATCGCACTTGTTTGCAATCGATTACAAACCTATGAACGGGTACGAGCCAGCTAGACTGGTTCCCTGACCTTACAATTCCCCAATGTATGTAAACTGCTCTGTTTCTTCTTATATTGAGTCAGGGAACCAGACTACAGGAAAATGATCGTTTTTCTTGGTTTTTATAGCATTTTCGAACCCAAAACCTCAAAAAAGTCAGTGTAACTATATTTGCTACATATTTCTAACCCCCCAATTCCATCCATTTCTGAAAATTACAGCAAAAGCAAATGATGTATATTCCCTTTAAAACCTACGGTCCCCCGCCCGGCGCGTCACATTACACCAGAGAAGAACGTGTAGAAACTGCATCTGCGAGGCTGAGGACATTTCATCGTCATCATTGTGTGCGGAGATTTCTCCACGATGACTTCAGTAGAGCAGCAGAGGATAATGAGAGAGATGGACGAGCGACGTACAGAAATCAAGACTCGGTCTCTCAGGAGGAATCCCGGCAAGTGATGCAAAAGTTTTATGCAGAATGGATCAAGAACGACAAGTATGAAAAGGTGAAGACGCAAATTCCTTGACACATTTGACAAAAAGGCTATATGCTTAAGTCGTATTTTTTATAACTAAGTTGTAGGGCGGTATGGCACTGCTTGCATGTACCGTAGGCAATGGTAGGATTAAGGGGGACCACATAAGGAAAACTGGCACTGCCTAGTATAAATGAGAGAGTGAGACCTTAACCATAATCACTTATATGAATACCTTTGGGGAACTAACTCACCGGGCTGGGTTTTTTTTATGTGCAACCTCTATGAAGTATGAGAGAACACGGCGAAAAAATCATTAAAAATGGGCCCTTTTTCACATCTGCCGCCACCACTGCATTATTCGACAGAGTATACCTTAGATCTTACTACAGTATGACCCTAATAATATACTCTTTCAGAAAGTGAAAGAGAAACTGAATAAAACACTGATTTTCACTCGCGAATTGATGTTAAAACACTGCATTTTTGGTCAAAAATCTCCCCGTTTTGTGTGTAAACCACGCGTTCAGCCAAGAACTGGTCCATTAACATCATCACAACGTTAAAATAGTGCCACTTGGGTGCGCTTAGATCTCGTCTCGTCAGCTTTCCAACAATATAACCCTCCTTATTGTGATTGGTTGAGGTGTAGGATCGCATGTATTCGTTTACAAAAGAATTGTTCATCTAAACTCCAATAAAATTTGCCGTTGCTCATGGCTCAGCGCGTAGGGTCTGTTTATTGTACACGTGCTATAGCAGTGCTAGTTGATATACACAGAGCCCGGGAGCTCTTATCTCTATGTCCAAGGTCATGCGCTTTGGCCGGTTTACATGGGGTTTTTATGACCACAAAGGATTTGATATGAGTACATAACATGATCATTGCTGCATAGCATCAACGCGAATCCAACTCAAGGTTTTTGCTTAAAAGTAACAATCACGATCGATCGGATTCTGCCTCCAGTCGAATATGCCCCCACCTACTGGTAAACAAATGCTAAAGGGGGAGACTTTGACCGGAAAAGGAAAACCAGCACTGCCTAGCTGAGAGAGGGGGAGATCTTAAATGTAATTACTAACATGACCACACACTTGTTTGCAGCATATAATTAACCCTAGTCACTATAGGGAGATGATAGTACATGTACTATATTTAGTGGCGTATAGGCATTCATGGAGCTATGGCCTATTTGGGGGTCACAATTTGCGGGGGGGGGGAACTTCGGGGGAGACTCATTTTCTTGAGGAGGCTCTACAATGCATTTTTATTGATGAAATAACCTCACAAAATGGTGGCTTAACCAGCTAGTTTTCCCAGCCGCATATACGTATCCCGTACCCCTGCACCTTTTTAATGGTCCCTGTTTATCATGTCCCACATGCACTCAAACCGAAAAGAATTCCATACCTGGACATCACTTGACACCCTGTGCAGAAACCCTATGAGACTGGTCTGAACAATTCCAAGTGTTTTCTCAGTAAATGCTTCTGTTAAAGTTTACTTTTTATAGGACATGTGTTGCTTTCTGATTGCAGGGAAAAATTAATGGTGTTCATGGAATTCTTTTCGTCAAACGTTCAAACTGATATGCAAATTATCGGGAGTCGGAGTGGCCTATTTGATGTGCTGGCATAATTATCTACCTGAAAAGATTGCAAAATAAAAGAAATTCAGACTAAGGCTAAATAATGTGGGTGGGGTCACGACTCTCGGCCAGTACGTATAGTGTTCCCTCCATTCGCATCGCAGCTTGGCCACTATGAAAATATCCAAAGTCTTAAAGACCTCGGAGCCCCCTTCCCGTCTGATACTGGCTCCGCCCCCGATTTCCAAACTCCACTTTATAAGAGCCCCTGCAAATTGGAACCATTTCTTTGGCATTTTTGCAATCGTGTCACTGCATGCTCGACGCTATAAATATCCCACGCAGAAACTCGGAAAATATGCAGTACTTTAAATCCATAGCAATGAGTGTTATACTTCTTTGTCTCCGTGCTTAGGATATGGAAGTTCTTGGTTTCGAAAATGCCGGTACACTAGCGGAGACAGTATCGCAGTTCGTCAGCGACAAAAACGGCCGAATATTGGACTGCGCATCCGGAACAGGTCTCGTGGGTCTAGAGGTAACCTAAAACCCTGTCTGTCTGTCTGTCATGGTGTCTGTCTGTCTGTCGGAGGTGTGTGTTGTGTCCATCATATTTCCAAAAGGCTAACGTTTTCATTCACGTTCAATGGCAGCTCAAGAACCGCGGTTTTCTTCGCATAGATGCGCTGGATGCCCACAAGGAATCCTTGGATTGCAGCAGAGGGAAGCAAGTGTATACCAACTACATCTGCGAGTACCTGGGACAGAATCGCCTGCCCATCGAGGATGGTAATGTTCAGAAAAGATATACCGTTCCTGTTATTCCTGCTTGTTATTCTATTTTGTCACTGGACAAATCTGCGATGGCCCTTTAGCCAGATATCTTTCTTAGGACATACGCTGACTGTGTGCCAGATACCGTGCTTGTATCATCAAAGGCACTTGGTACTTAATAATACTTGGTTGGTTCTTCTCCTAAGGACTTCCTCAAGGGAGTACAACTATTAACTAGGATGCCAGAAACACTGGGGCAAGCCCCTTCTCTTAGCGACAAGTGTTACTGGATTCTTTTACGTGCGTTAGGCCTTTTACAACACACGGGACCTCCGGCTTAACGTCCCATCCGAAGGAAGAAGCAATAATTGCTAAGTGCCTTGCTTAAGGGCACAAGTGTCCGGGCCCAGGCTTGAACTCACGCCCCTGTTGCCTCTGATACACCAGAGTCTGCGGTGCTCTTAACCGCTAGGCCATGACACTCCCCAGTTCCCCCAAATATTTCTTTTTTGCGATGGAAGGCGAGGAAAGAAACCATCGCATTGGTTATTTGGTCATACGTACTTTTCTCTTCGCATAGATACCTATGATGCAATCACCATGAGCGCTGCTTTCGGGAGCGCCCACGTACAACCTGACTGCTTCCCGGAGCTGCTTCGCATAATCAAACCAGGTTTGTGTCATGTCCGGTATTTACAATATTTACGAAATTTACTCGAAGAAAATGAAAAATTTGCAGAGGCAAGTATCAAGTCCTGTTAAAAAAAAACCCAAGGAAAGCCTAGTAGAGCAGGTCCCTAAGCATAATGTGTACACATTCTATTCAATTGATTCAGATTGGCGATTGAGCCGGATTTAGCCTTAGATTCATTGACATTACCGGTGATCTTCTTTTACACGGACAAATGAGGGCGCTATTGCTGTGATGTCATTTCAGGAAGATACTGTTCAGTTGAGAACTTTTTGTGAACCCAAAACCATTTTGTGAGAAAACTTTGGCCAGCGTACTATCATGTGCTGAATCGACAACGAATCACCAAAGAAAAGAAAACTCACGAAAGCAAAATATCCAAAATGCTTGCAACTTTTGGTGCCAAACTAATTGTAACATACAGAGGTCTCTGCCTGAAATGACATCACACTATTTGCTCATGAATATGGACATTTGCATTAGCATAAAAAACAAAAAGGCAACAAAACACCCTTGAAAATCGCAAAATGAAAATTGAAAAATGATGTTAAATGGGGCATAAAAGTTACAGTTTTAGAGGTGGGAGGAAAAGCCCAGAAGAATATCCTGGGGAAAACCCACAGAATCAGGCAGGGACTGAAAACCCAATCCACATATTGGCCCAGGCGGGATTCGAACCTGGGTCACAGCGGTGGAAGGCGAGGAAAGTACCGCTTCGCCAACCTGACTCCCACAACTTGTTTGCTTCTATAATAGGAGGCTACGCAATTTTCAGCGTGAGTGAAGATACCCTCATCCTCGACGAATGCTGCAAAAATGGCCAGCTGGATGACATCTTTCACAAAATGGCAGCCAAAGGAACGGTGGAATATGTGGAGAAAAAGCGGCACGTGTACATACAATGCGGACACGACGGCACACCGGAATATTGCTATGTATTTGTGTTGAGGCTGATTTGAAAGAAGTGAACATGTTCATTTAAGTGAACAGGTTCATGTTCAATAGGTGCACGTCATGAATGTTACACATGATTTGTCCATATATAATTAATATATGAGACCTACCTTTTGGTGAAAACTTTTGTAGAGTGCACTTTTCTAAACATTTAAAATTAAGTAAATTGGACACTAGTTTTGCATTTATAACAATCATAGGTCCTTTATTAGTTACCCTCATTTTTTGATCTGGTGGTAATGGAATGTATATGGGTTGTACTCCTTTAATAGTGATTAATGAAAATCATACGGGTGAGGTTTGTTACGAGTGAGATTTGTTTTAATATCTGAAATTATTTTTCTAAAAACATGACTTCGTAATAAGTTACAATATTTGTACTTGTTTATTCCAAGAATCATCGAAAGCCATTTGGTTTTTGCTTTGTCGTTAAGGGGCGGCCATTTTTAACAATGTGTGCCACGACGACGTATCTAAAACTGCGGGTTTATTTCCTTCATTCAGATAATGTAATATTGGTTTTTTTTTCAAAAATTGTGACCAGCTCCATACCTTATCTTTAAAACATTATTGTAAGAAGATATTTAATAAGAATTTATTATCAAGTTGCTTGATATTCGTGATTTTTTAAATAACAATGCTAAGTCAAAAGGAAAAGGGAACTTTTGCAGATTTTACATTGTGTGGTTTTTTGAGAAAAAAAAATAGGTTGTAATGTGGAATTTTAGTCAATTTTGATTTCTGGCTGCATTAAAGTCGAATTTAAATTACTCAAAGTATGAAAATTGACTTGTATCTAGCAGTTTTCAGTTTCTTTCCATTTTCCGCTGTTTTGGTTCAGATATCTATATCGGATAAGCAGGTTGTGGTTGGAAGGAATTAAACAATGGTAAAAATTGGACTACAAGTACTTTTCACTTGTTATAACTTCTTCCAGTGTATGGTTTGCCCCCCCCTTTCCTGCACATGCTTGCCCAGTTGGCCAGATCACGCAACCAGACTGATCCATTAGCCCCGCCCACTGAAGTTTGGACCAATCACAGCCGTGATTAATGTCCTACATAGTACATACATGCGCGCATGCGCATTATGGCCAATCACAGACGTGATTTAAAGGGGTAATAGGACCTGAAATTCTCGAATTTTTCATGTTCTGGATTTTTAAAAAAATCCTAGTCTGGTTGGATGGAAACTAACTTGTACCTTACCTTTCCCCGAGTAAAAAACCCCGGTTGGTTACATCGGACGCGGCGGACATTTTGTGACATAAGCAGGCATATTTCAAGCCTGTCTTTTCGATGTATTGTACAGCTTGTATGCTGTCTGTCATATAATACTTCCAGCTCAAATACATGTTGTTTCTTACACGTCCACAGAATGCGAATACTGTGCGGTGGGATTCACTCAAGAGCTCGATTTCTTAAAATAATTATTATGACCCCCGAAATTCGTTATCGCATGGTTCTCGCAAGCATAACATAACAAAACGGTTCTCGGACCGCTCGTCTCGCCTGCTTTCGCGATTATCTTAAAAGAGTGACTTTTGACCTCGGTATGTAAAAAAAAAAAGGTAAAGGGGGCCAACCTGTGGTCAAAGGAACGGAGTGTCCATCCCTCTTTCGCAGATAATTACTCGAGTCAATGACTCGACTCGAGTCTGACTCGAGTCACAATTTTTGGCGACTCGACTCGACTCGAGTCCCTAAGGGTAAATGACTCGACTCGACTCGAGTCGACTCGAGTCCCTAAGGGTAAATGACTTGACTCGACTCGAGTCCTTCATCGGAAGACTCGACATGACTCGAGTCCCTAAGGAAAGATGACTTGACTCGAATCCCTCAACGGAAGACTCGACTCGATTCTCAAGAATAAAAGCAAAACTTTGCGAAAAGTATTGGCAATGACTTACCGGTGCAAAATTTATCTTCACGTCACTTTGCGGATACAGTATGGTAAAGCGGCCGCTTGTCGTGTACAAACGTGTCACAGACTCCCACCTCATGGTTCTGGAAGGCACAAAAAAATGCCGTTTAAAACCTGGGTTGAGAGGAGTAATTGAGGTAAAGCGCCCTACTCGAGGGCACAACACGCATGACCACGGCGGGGCTCGAACCCACAATCTCACGATCATGAATCCTGTGCTTCACTGATAGACCACGCGTGCCCCTTGGTATGTGACCTTTGACATCATTACAATAATGAAGGTTGCCATGTTGCATTTATGATTCAGGTTTTGTTCCAATTGGACTTCAAGAGGCATTAATTAACCCCGCCCACCGGGCGTGTGGGCAACAACACGTCACTGCAAATGGGCATTAATAATCACGGCTGTGATTGGCCATATGCGCAAGCGCGCGTGTATAGGGCATTAATCACGGCTGTGATTGGTCAAAGGTTCAATGGGCGGGGTTAATGGGTCGGTCCATTGCTTGACCTGGTCAACTGGGCAAGCATACGCATTTCCATACCCCCCCCCTCCAAAAAAATCACAACATGCAAATGTAGATCCAATACTACAACTTGCATTTGGTCTTGTTATGCATTGCCTCCCCCTCATATCCCCCACTGGCCGTAGCAAGTTCGAAAAGCACGGGGGTGGGGGTGGGGGTGGGGGGGGGGGGGGGCTTAACCTTATTCCTTAATAGGGGCGCCCTTTTCTATTTGATGTTACACCCTGCCAGCTCCTGGTCTCCTAGCTCCCAAACCCAGTTCCACCGCTTATGGTATGGCAACTGCAGTGTATGTATAGGCCTTCCCGATGATCGAAAACGATCGTACGATCCTGTTACTTTGTTTCCAGGGACACCAGACTACAGATTGACATAACTTATTTGTTTATATGTACCAGATCATACAATAATTTGGGACTTGTCAACAGTGGAAGGGGGGGGGATGCCCCAAGTGGAAAAAGTGAGGGGGGGGGGTACTCTGCCAATGCCCCCCCCCTCCCCCGCCAGTGCCATAGCCACAAACTTCGGACATTGTCCCGCATGTAATGCACTCCGGATATATGAATTGTCACTTATTATCTTAACGACATCAAACACACCATGATAAGAGCAAGTCAAATATTTACATACACTATAAAATACTATATTTATTGAATGGATCTGTTCGAATAAATCACAGTTTTCACTATAATCTTCAGCCCACTGTGCATGTGCTTTGCAAGACGCAAGAGACAGGTAAAACTATCGCCTTTTTTGCACTATTAAGTTTAGTTTGTGTTTAACTGGTGTTTGGATCCTGTGGTTCCAAACATATATGTTGGCTAAACACAGACGGTTTTACAGTTATTCACAAACTGGTTTATTTGGTTCTTGTCACAGTTTTTCCATTTTATTAAAGGAAAAGGCTTAGCTATACCACGGACGAAGTGTTGCGATGTACATGATTCAGTGAAGTTTTTTGGTTTTCTGAAAACCCATCAAATTTCTCATTAATCGAATTGAATGAAAAGCAAGCAGTGTAGTTAACAATACCACTATTGTCGGCAACCATCACAAGTCCTCACAAGTCCTCACAAGTCCCATTTTTTTAACTTTTGGCATCAAAATGCGCTACGTTAGGTTAATGAAGTAAGTCGGTCATCTACAAAGACCTCTTTGAGCTCTGCATTTGAGAATAATAATGCCTTGAATTTTTTTTGTTTTATCACATACATTTGTAATTATTTCCCATAATTATACTATCTTTGGAATTCAAGTTTTAGACAGTTTGTTTTATTTGGATAAACGACTAATTCAGTAATCTTTCAGCATCACATGGACAATTTCCGTGATACTTTGGAAAAATACTGTGTTAGCATACGACACTGAATATGACCAAAGCGTTATTTGCTGCATAAATTCCTATTTAATTACCAAAACAGTACTTTAATTATGATTTTTTTCGGCAACAAAGACTATGTAATGACATACAATTCGGTCATTTACATTTATGGAAAAAGTCTGCTCTGCCTCATATATTTAAATCATTAAATTATGTTGCCACCAGAAATCTTGGACGGACTTCATTTTCTAGGCGGAGATAGGATTTCTGGCCCACGGTCTGTTATATTGTTCATTCACTGTTACTTGAAATAGACTTGTAAGGGACTCAATACGACACTGGAACGAAGTTGCTTAAACAATCATGGAGAAGTCGAAATAGGGGTAAACTCTAAGTGTTGTAAAACTTGTCGTTCCCTCTGTGCAGATCGTGGATTTTCTGTTCCTTCTGCAGAGCAGACAGCCAATACGCCACAGGTCGATTTTCCCTCTTGCCCTACTTGCAGGCCTCTGATTTAAGAATCCAAGATGGCTATAAACTGGGGAGGAGTGGCCGGCATCATTGTCTTCTACCTGCTGATTCTGGCCGTCGGGCTGTGGGCCTCTCGCAAGAGCAAAGGATCCAGTGATCAAGAGGAAGTAATGCTGGCTGGCAGAAACATTGGAGCAGTGGTTGGGATCTTCACCATGACTGGTAGGTTTAATGTCCAAGTTCATTACGAAAGTGGTCAGAAATTTGTATTTTTTCTTCTAAACAACAAAGGTTGAAGTCCACTCCTATGCACCTATCAATTGTCCCCTACCCCCGCTGTCCCTGTTCTTATTTCAGGGTTATAGCCACATTTTCAAGCCCGAGGGTGGGGAATTCGGTCACTCACAAACATTTTACCATAAGGCTCACACATGCATGTTGGAGATTGTCACTTCTTGGGTGGGGCAACCCGGGGGAAGGGGAAATTCATAAATGCATTATTACAATAATTAGATATGATCCAGAACAGGGTTGTCAACTTGTATTTTTATGGACCAAGGTTCTCCCTGTTAAGGCGTTGTAGTCTCATCGTGCCCATACACTTTCTTTTTTCAGGATTTATTCAATTTTTACATCTTATCAGTGTGTTTTCCTGGGTAAAAAAAGTGCTCTCGATCAGATATTGAGATTCATTTGCAGCATTTGCTGCGCAGTGAAGATGTGTGCAACATCTCTCCTTTTTTTCTTCTTAATTGTCTTCTTCCTTTTCCCCTTCTTCTCCAAAGCTACATGGGTGGGAGGAGGTTTCATCAACGGAACAGCTGAATACGTCTTCAAACCTTATGGGAATTCTGGATTAGTCTGGACCCAGGCAACTTGGGCATATTCAATAAGTCTCGTTCTAGGTACAGTCGTTTAATCTTTCCTCAAATAAAGTTCGAAGAAAGAGAAAAATTCTTACTGGAATAAGGGTCGAACGCATTGGAAACATTAGCAGAGCTGTAGGCCTACTACCCAAGCCATCTCGAACTAGGGACCACCAATGAAGCTTAAGTGCCAGCTTGATTTCGAAGGTTATTATCTGAATTCTTTGATTTGTTCTTTTTTTCATTGGCAATTCTAGCGTTATGGAAGAAAATGTATGTCTGTGGCACTGACAGACCCAATAGACCTTTATCATGCTGCCACCATTTTAGCCATGTTCCCTGCATCCAATAACAGTACTGAATGATGTTTTGTTCAAAAAGGAACCAGACTATTTTTCCGTCCAGTTTCTCTTTGGTTACGTTGATTTGAATGGGAAAAAAAATCAAGATGGCCGCAACATGATAATGGTCTATCACCCATGATATCTAATTAGAGATTCAAGGAAAAGATCCAAAACTCATGGCCTTTAATCTCCTTGACGTAATTGCTACCAGATGATGGATGAATAATATATGAAAAATACATTTTTAGTTCTGTTCACCGAGCTCTTCAATACAATAATGGTTGGTCTTGTACCCTATCAGGTGGTCTGTTCTTTGCCAAAATCATGCGATCGAAGGGTTACTTCACCCTGCTGGACCCCTTCGAGAACAAGTACGGCTCCCGCATGTGTGGGCTACTCTTCATTCCCGCCATAACAGGAGATCTCTTCTATACGGCCGCCATATTGAATGCTCTAGGTAAGGGTCGTCTGTAAAACTCCAGACATCAAGTCTCTATTCACATGCACTGTGATCCCACTCCACACCACTTCAAATTTTATATGATATCACCACAGATTAAATTATTTACAAACAGAAAATTGGGTTGAATTTTTAAAGGGGAAAGGTCGATTAAGCTGACTGGATTATGAAAAACACATCGTTGCATTATTGCATTGAACTTGGTGCTGATGTATACATATTACCCTTAGAAAGTTTTGTTCTCGCGGAGTTACAAATGCATCGTGCATTCCTGTAGTGACCATTGCCGCAAGAACATGGTTTTAGCAAGAACTTGGTGTATGAATGTTACAGCAGATTGTAAGCAAGCTCAGTTCACTACGGAACACCTTAACTTGATTTTTATGCTGCAAGTGAAAAATTTCAGGGACTGAAAACGATATGGACCGAAAATGTACATCTATTCTAATCACCATAAAACAAATTTGAAAATAAAAAGATAATTACTTAATCAATTTTTTTAAATTGATTTCATTTATTAATAAAGAGTGTATTGAATTTATTAATAACATTAATACATTTGTGTCTCATGTTTTAATTCACTTTTATGAGATATGTTTGTTGAAAACACTGATAAGATTAAGCCCACTCCACACCACTTCAAATGCAAGTGATATCACAACAGATCAAATAATTTACAAGCAGAAAAAAGGGCTTAGGCTAATTATAGCTCCACTCTTGACTAGTAGTATTGCCAAGTGCAGTAGATTCTTGTGACACCTAACAGGGTGCGTGACCAACAGAAAGTGACCAAATTAGAAAAAAAATAGTTTGAAAAATATGTGGCTCACGTACTCCTTTTACTAAAAATAACATAGGGATCAAGTTCATTCTATTGATTAGTAACTGTGAACATTTCACGTAACTTGAGTACTCTATTCCCAAGTTATGATGACTATTTTCATAAAGAGATCACTACATTCAGCTGTCCACCACTGATCATTATTTTACCGGTCTGCGAGCTATGAATACGGCACCCATGAACGTTTTCCCACCTCCATTAAGAAAAAATACCTTGCAACGGAAAACAGACAAATATAGCTTTCACTTTTGTCGGGAAAAAAAGAGTTGACTTGTTTCTCATACTCGGAACACCAAATCTGACTGTACAAATAATGTTTCGGTCTTGACTCCAATTAATGAAAATCTCATTTGTATTGGAATGCCTAATAAATAGAATGACCAAACAGTGTTTTGACTTCAAAAACAATTTTTGAGTTAGCCTGTTTTGCCTTCTAGCCACCGCTTTCAACCAAAACCTTCCAACCAAAACTTTTTTTTATCTTGTTTCAATTATCAGGATCGACCGTCAGTGTGGTACTTGAGCTAGATAGGACACTGTCTGTCATTGTTTCCGCCTGCATTGCTGTGTTCTACACGTTCATCGGTGGTTTATACTCGGTAATCTACACTGATATTATTCAGCTCATTTGCATGTTTGTTGGCATGGTAAGTACAACAAAAATTAAGACAGGGTTGTTTGTCTGTGCGCAACTTCAAAGAATCAAACATCAGGCATACATGCAACCTTTCTTCAGATATCAGCTGATTTCCTTCTTTGATTTTCTTTTACTTCTCAGGCTATTAAAAGTTGAAAAACACAGCGGACAGTGCTTGGAGTTTCCTTTTTGTGTGTGTGTGATTTCTCAATTGTATTCCGGAAATATTGATATCAATGTAATAAAGTACATGTACCACATGCTCATCTGACCCGTGTTCCCGCATTCATGTGCCAAAAGAGTAAGCAATATTCAGGCATATATAATGTAAACCAAATATCCAATGTCCAACATTTGGCCAATGTCCAACATTTGTTGTATTTGTCGCTTTTTTTAACGAGTGCCCCCTTTTTCACAAGCGGCAGTTTTCAGCGAGTGCACTCTGGAAATGTGGCGCTAACGCCGGTAATTGTGCCGCCATAAAAAAGTGTTATTTTCTGATCATGAGTCCCCATAATTGCCAGTTTGAAAAGTGCCCTGGGCCCATAGGAAGATGGTGTCCATGCCAAGCCCCCCCCCCCAACAACATGACCTCGCCATACTTTTCCTGACTCTTTTAGTGGATCTGCGTTCCCTTTGCGATGACCAATGAGGCAGTGGAGTCGATTGGGTCAACTTCTCAGGAATGGCTCGGCACTATTGAGTCTGATCAGGCCGGACTGTGGATAGATTCTGCCCTGCTACTAGTAAGTTAAACCAAACTCCTTTTTAAACCTTAAACTTTTATGAATGAAATGATCTTCATCTTCAACTTCTTCATCTGGAAACATGGCAACAGGCCAAACTTGGCCCATGACGCCATGGGGTGCTGAGTGTGTTCAATTCTGTCCAGGTTGGACAGCCGCCATGAACAACTCATGGGACTTAAGGGAAGTGGAGTGTCATGGCCTTGCGGTTGAGAACACCGGACTCATGCTCTGGGGTTTCAGCGTGAAGAGTGGCGTGGGTTCGAACCCACCGGGTGAACACATGTGCCCTTGAGCAAGGTACTTATCCATTATTGCTTCGTCCTTCGGATGGGACGTAAAGCCGTAGGTCCCGTGTGTTGAGTAATCCAATGCCACGTAAAAGAACCCAGTGACACTTATCGCTAAAAGAAGGGATTTGCCCTCGTGTTTCTGGTTTCCTGTATAAACTCCCACGCGGATTATTTAGGAGATGAACCAACCAAGAACCAAGAAGTGATGGACTGAGGGAGTTGATTCCAATCAGTCACCCTTAGTGTCCTCGCCTGACAGTCAAGCGTCGTCAGCAATGCCGTTATTATAAATGACTGTCCCTCGCGGCGGGGGGTCTTCCCCAACTCTCCCTTTCTCAAACTTGAGGGGTAGGCACTTCTTGTACACGGAGGGAGCCCGTAATGAACTCACTTTCTTTCTTGCAGATATTTGGAGGCATCCCGTGGCAGGCATACTTCCAACGCGTTCTCTCCTCCAAGACTCCACGGACGGCACAGATCTTGTCCTGCGTCTCCGGCTTCGGATGCCTCTTAATGAGCATCCCGCCGGTTCTTCTTGGTGCAGTGGGAGCGAGCACAAGTAGGCCTAAGGGGCAGTGGTGCATCCAAGCTTTACTGGGGGGTTGTTCAAGTCCAAGATTATCAGTTGGAGGGGACATGATTTGCATCCGACTAAGACCAAAGGCCAGAAGCAATGAATTTGAGATTTATGTAAAATATTGAGTAATGGCTTTTTGCTGGGGAGATTTAAACAGACTTTGGTGTAAATGTTCTAGGAACAAGTTATTAACATTGGACATTGTATTTTACTTGCTTATGTTTTAAAATCTTTTTTAAGTGTGGTCATTTTACTTTTACTTGACAGGCTGGAATGATACGACCCTTGACCTTGGGAATATTGACCCGTTCAGTCAAACCAGCCTCATTCTCCCATTGGTCATCCAGTATCTGACCCCTCCGGTCATCTCGTTCATTGGTCTCGGGGCCGTTTCGGCTGCCGTTATGTCCTCGGCCGATTCTTCGATTCTCTCATCTAGCTCCATGTTCACTCACAACGTCTACAAGCAGGTGTTTCGTCCCAAGGTAATTGATGGATTGATGCCTTGCTCAGATAATTATTTTGGATACATAACTATGGCTGTTCCAAAACTTATTTCAGAGCCACCCTGTAGTCACCTGAATGAGGTCATAGGCTGATGTCATTTGAGGTCATGCATAGTTCATTCTGATGTCAACCAGAGGTTATTCTGATGTGTAAAGGTCATTCTGAGGTCAAACACGAGACACTCTGATTTAAAGTTCTCTTGTGGGTTACAGGAAGAGCTGTTTTTTTTATATTACAAATCATTTACCGTAAGTCAACATTTTTACAGTCTTTTTTATTTTGCGCAAAACCATAATTTTACCGCAAAACCAACATCGTCCTCATTCCAAACAACTGTTATCCACAAGAGAAACACTGGACATAAGTTAGAGAAAAAAATATATAGGTTTTGACCATCGATCAAAGTGTTTGTGACATTATGTCAAAACTCATTTGGAATTTCGGGTTTTCCCTTTTTTGTCTAAAATATGTTTAACTATATTTCTTTGTTATCCGTAATTTGGAACTTGCGTCGGGGGTGATGTAAATCACTATTAGGTTTTGCCCTTCACCAACATATAAACACTGTATTATACTCAGTGTGTTACCCCCTTCAGTTCTTTGGTTTTTGCTGTATGTGTCAATAGGCCGGTAAACTTGAGCTTTTGTGGGTGATGCGTGCCAGCATTGTGGTAGGCGGCGTCATAGCAACGGCGTTCGGTCTGTCAATCAACTCCGTCTACAAGCTCTTTGTCTTCTGCTCCGACTTTGTCTACGTTGTGCTGTTCCCTCAATTCCTCTGCGTCATTCACTTCTCCAAGTGCAACACGTACGGTTCGTTGCTGGCCTACATCGTAGCCCTGATCTTACGCTTTGGCGGCGGCGACTCCCTGCTCGGCATACCGGCCCTGATCAAGTACCCGTATTACGACGACGAGGAAGAAGTCCAACTCTTTCCTTACAAGACTCTGGCAATGCTCTCGTCTCTTCTAACCATTCTCGTGGTCTCCTACCCGTTAGACTACCTCTTTAAGAAAGGCACCATCCCCAAACGCTACGACTTCTTCCGTTGCGTTGTCAACCTTCCCGCTACCAAGGACGAGGCAGACTCTGATGAGGATGAGGTAAATTATGAATTGAGGAGGCGGGACTCGACTGATTCGCCTGCCGAGGAGGACGACAAATGCGAGACTTAAGCCACGTGTCTAATGTCATGGTTATGGGGTATGCATAAGACTTGCAACAACTTAATTTGATTTAATTAATCACTGGCATAAATGCATTGCAATGAATAAAAGAGCGACCCCTGCGGAACGCCAACATTTAGTGTCAGGACATTTGATATGTTCCCCTTAACATTTACGGACTGGTTACTGGTTATACGATCACTTTAGGTATATGACGTATTGATTAAATAAAATTAAATATACAGCTTTTTAATTAAGTCAGCATTGTTTCAGAGGGATTTGAAATCGGGTGGTGTTTTTTTACTACACTTTAGGCATTCCACTCAGAAAGAGAGTCAAGAAAATGTTCTAAGTATTTCCTATCAAAATTTGTAATGGTTCTCAGTCACATATACATGTCTTATCATTTTTGCAATGACTGACCTTCATTGAGATGATAAAAATGAAAAAAAAAAAAAGTGGCGTCAGGTTGCAACATTCTTTCCTAAATATTTTTTTCCACTGTGTCTACTTGAACATTGTAGCATGTAATATACAAGTTTCCATAAAGTTAATGGTGTATAAAAGGTCATTATTTTGAGCAATAATTTGAAAAATAAATTTGAGATCCATGGATGCATTGTCCACAAAAATGATTTCGGTCCATTAGAAAGCCGCCCTACATTAAACCAAATAATAAACATGTACTTATAATGTTCATGATAAATCCGTTGGCTCCATTTTTAATTGCTCAATTAATGGTAGTCATGCTTTTTTTCCGTTTCATCTTTAAATAATTAAATAAAACCTAAAAACTATTTGTTTTCATAAATATTTAAACCAGTCATAAATATTTAAAACAGCAAATACAAACTGAATTACAAGGAACCCTCCGTTTTAAAGCTATAGTCCATCATTTACAGCCATCCGAAAAGTAACTGGCGTAATTATTGTTGAAAAACAAACTTGGTTGAAAGATAGTAAGGGAACTAAACTCCCTGTGAATTTTTTCTTTCCGGGAAGCTGCCATTTTGAAGTAATCAACGAAAGAAGGCATTTCCAACGGTGATTTTTAAGAAGCACCGTAGGAAAATTTAAATTAGTAGTTCGTTTTGTTATTCAGCGCAGCGCGCACAAGTATTGGAACGACGCACACGCGCGCGCGGTTGTTATAATTCGTCGGATCAGTGCGCGACGTCGCGTATAGCTGCAATTCAAAACAATTCAAAAACATGATTCAGTAACTTTTGATTTGAAATTGAGATCTTAGAATGCTGTTTTTCTCGGAATGTACAGCTGAAGCTTAGCTGAAACTTCATCAGGTTAGTTGCTCAGTATCCTTCATTAGATTTTGAACTCTTTTGTTGCTTCAAACGAACAAAATGCAGAAATTACAAATGATGGACTGTAGTTTAAATGAAAATCGAAACCTATTTACTCCAGCTTTTGAGTGAATCCCTAAAAGCCCCTCGATGGAATGTCTTTGAAAGTGTAACAAAGACGGTGCACCTGGCCGCATATCGCGCGCGCGGCCTTACAACTTTTCGACCAATAAGAATCACCGTAATCTATGAACACGCCCACTGCACCGGCCACGTGCGGCCCTACGTGCACGACTCGCGCCACTCGCTGTCTTTCAAATGGCTCATGAAACCATGTGTAAAATGCGCAATGCACCAAAAATGCGACACTGTATATTCTGACGCGTAGTTTTTTGACAAACACTGTTGGCAGGTATTCATATGCAAATTACTCTAAATCAAAAGGGGCTTTGACTACTGCATGCGTGCATGTATTTTTACGTACAATATACAGCCATGCAAAATACAAACTCATGCAGGAGACTCGAAATGGACGCCGTTTTGTTGGCAACAAATCGTGCTTATTCTAACATCTAGATAAAAATGAGCGAATTAAAGACAAACATTACAGATTATTTTCGTACATATTCAACAATAAAAAAGACAACCTCGTGTACAAAATGCTCTACATCATGCTCATTGCAGGCAGCATTAAAAATGATTATAAATGAATCAAAGGCCCAATTAAAGAGAAGAATGTTCGTGCTCTACTGCAAATTGAGGTTTAAAATGAAGGCAGAAATATCATGTACCATTGCTAAGATGCAGGATATTGAGACGCAAGGAGCTTTTTCCCTCTTGTAGTTCTGTATGACCGAAGAGGAGATCTAATAAATTTCACTCACCTCGATAGTTCCTTAATTAAAGTTGGACTTACTCCGACGAACTCCAAAATATATTTTCCAAAACCGTCATTCAGATCATTCGACAACATTATGAGTTCACAAGAATTCCATGTGTCCATTCAGTTCAGATCAGCGCAAAATGAGCATTCAAAGGTATGCAGTTGTAAATTCCAATTCAGTTCTGCAACTCATAAGTTCTTTGTGACAGGTTCTGTAGGCCTACAGCTAGCAATGTTCAAGCCAATTTTTCACTGGTGACGACGCCGCCGAAATGTGTCAGCGGCGAAGGACGGTTGCAGTAGCACCGGGCTCGGTACCCGCGGCAGGTTTCACGGTCGACTTGACAGACCCCAAGCGTCTAAATTCAACGTTTTTTTCGCGGACATGAAGAGTTTCTGCGTTGATAGCTTTAAGCTGGCCGGTCGTTTCAGAGGTTGAGGACAACTTGAGGTCGCAAGATTTGCTTGTGAAGTTTGAGGATTTTTTTGGTGACTGACCAAAAACAGCGGAGGACATCACGAGCTGCCTCATGTACATGTATAATTTTCCATGGCGTAATGATATGGCGGTGAAAAATGTCATGTTTATATCACAGGCTGGTGCATGCAACAGGGTCTTTGCGCTGCCTGGACCAAAGTATTCAGTGTGTATTTATCCGCGTACTACTTTTCTTTCTTATACCTATTTAAACATAGTCATGGGCGTCGCCAGGATTTATACCTATTTAAACATAGTCATGGGCGTCGCCAGGATTTTTTTCCGGGGGGGGGGGGAACAAAGCAAATTTTTACCCAAAATTCTTAACTTTTTAATAATATTCTCAATTTATCATTTTTCCGAGCGTGAGCAGGGGAGCATTTACACTACCCCATTTAATTAACAGCATTATGGCTTCGCACTTCTTTTTCCTTTTTTTCGTTTTCCAGGGGGAGGAGCAAGTGCTCCCTTGCCCCCCGCGACGTCCATGAACCTAGTGCCAACATTTCATCGTGAATGGAATTTGAAATTAAAAAAAGTTTTTTTTATAAGGAATATGGATTGTTGTTGAGCACCCTCTACGATTCTTATATTATACGTACGCAGGTGTATATCATATGTTTTATAGCTCCATGGGTATATAATGCCATGAATTATCATTTGCGGTTGAGATTTACGATAGCTCAGCTAAGCTATGGTTTAGAGATCAGAGGGTGTGAGTTACGTTAGAAACCAATTTCTTTCCAATCATATTTTCTTTTCTAATTTCCAGGTTTGGAGATTTTGTTTTTAAAGGGAAATAAAGTCCGAATTTCATTAGGTTCGAATTGATTTCTTTTTTTTTCCTGTATATTTTTCTCATGTTTTAGGGGAGTAAAGTCCAAAACCTCAGAGCGTACACCCCATTTGCTTACGTCGTTTTGGAAAAAAACCACCATGAGTCTGTTTTTCCCATGGAGGACAGTAGTGGATATACTTGACAAATCAGCAGGACAGAAAATCAAACGCAGGACGGCAGAATTTGTATGATCAAAATAATAATTAATATTTGATTTATTTTAAGCCAACAGTTATGCCAATAAGTTAATAACTACCTACTTAATGAAAACAAAATATTTACAAAAAAAAATTATACTTAATCTTGAGATCACGAGACTGATCTTTTTAACCCTCCAAATACCGGTATTAAGGTGACTGCTTTTGAAGTACCTCAGAAGTACCACACCAGGTGTTCAAAAGGTCCGTGTCAATGCATTGACTACTTAGCTGTGGCCGCGTGTAATTGTCCACAGAAGATCAGTTCCAACAGTTGGTCTGTTCTTGGCTCCGTATCTCCCCAATCCCACCTGTACTTGGAAGTCGATGGGATCCGGTCAGCCCGGCTGCTATAGGTTCAGATCACCTTGTCAGCAGGTAGGTAGGTAAGCGTCGTGCACCGACAGTCCACACAGGAATTCGGTTAGTCGACTCTAGCCGACTCGCCCCACACAGGAATCGATTCGGCAATCGTGAGTCCAATCCACACAGGATTCTTGACTCAGTTGTCCACTAAGGACCTCTGACCTTGACCTCATGAAGTTCCCCACAGGGAAAAAGCCCTTTAGAAAAAGGTTAAACATAATTCACAGTGAAAATTAGAGTGCCTACCGACTTATGATCAAATTTACATTCGCTCCATGCTCAAGCTCAACCCAAATTTCTGGAATGAAAATGGCATTCAAAATCTTCAAAAATTCTTACAATTTATCTTACTTCATCAACTATATTAATTTTAATGAAAATAAACTTGATTACAAAAGGCAATTCTATACATCAATCTCTAAAGATTAACTTCAAAATGCACCATTTCTGGAATATCACTATTCTCCCAAAATATTCATAATTTCTGTATTATGCACTTCTATTACTGAATTATATTGTATAAAGCAGGATGAAATAAACTTTACAGTTTGCAGGATAAACTGGCTTTTAAATCATGGGCCACGCCCTGGTACACACAGTACCACTGTATATACATGTACATGTACATGTACTCACACAGGACTGCACACAGTGAAGTCTAGAATAGCCCTGGGGAATGCACATGGCATCCAAGACCTAACAAAATTACTCAACCATGGCATTAATTTGCATACTGTCATTTGCATAAGAAAGATTTAGCTCTGCTGTACACTCTGGGTAGCCTTAATTCTGGATGGGGGAGAATTAAATTAACTTGTGCTAAAATAAATGTATAAGTGAAAATCCCATAATTAATTACATTAATAAACACAATGATAAATACCAAAAATTGAAACATTATTTAAAAATATAAATCACACTTTGTGACAGTCCGCCGCGTCAAATGTAAACAACCTTTTTTTCGTCTTTTTTGTGGGGAACGGTAGGACATCAGGTTAGTATCTTTTCAATCAGACCTTTAAAATAATGTAAGTATATAATAAAAAATGACATTTCCGGGAATTTCAGGCAGGAATCCCCCTTTAAATCACGGCTATGCTTGGCCACAATACGCCTGCGCGCATGTGGGACATTAATCACAGCTATGATTGGTCAAAATGCAATGGGCGGGGCTAATGGATCTGTCTGATGCTTGATCTGGCCAACTGGGCAAGCGCATGCAGGAAAACGGAGGGGGGGGGGCACGCAAATACCCTGGAAAAAAGTTCTAACAAGTGAAAATTACTTTTAGTTCAATTTTTACCATTGCTGTAATTTTTTCAAACCACAGCATGTTTATCCAATATTGGCCTAAATCTCTAAACGAAAATCGCAAAAATGGAAAGAAAATGAAAACTGCTAGCTGGCAATCGATTTCATAATTTCAATAGTTTCAAATAGACTTTTATGCACCCCATTGGAAATCAAAATTGACTACAAATCCACATTACAACAAATATAATATAATAGCATCTACATAATCTAGCTCGAGTCGGTTAAACTCTACTCATTTTAAGAGTAAAAAAAATCTAAATGTTAGTGACACAAAATTATTTTATAACGCCAAGTACAAGTTAAAGACCAAATCAAGCAGCTTATTTTCAAAATATCACAAATGGTTATAAAACGCAAAAGTTCCCCTTTTCCTTTAGACTAATGGCACTGTTATTAAAAACATCTCGATCGGGTCTCGGAAGCTGCGGACCAACGAGTTCGTGCTCAGCATGAGTCACGTGATTGAATCATGTACTTTCTGGAAGGAGTTTTTTTTTACCCCAGTGACCCCACGAAGTCCTTTGACCCCAGTTTGGTCAGTGTGACATGTTGGGGTTGAGCATTGCATTTAGGAAGCTGAATAAAATTTGGAAGTCAAAACAATTCACCAGGCAAACAAAAATCAAGCTTTACCAAACCATTGTTATGGATGCGCAGCCTGGAAAATGAACAAAAGTGACGAAAAGAAACTGGACTCATTCCAATACCAATGCCTGAAGAAAATTATGCAAATATTTTGGCCAAACATCATAGGAACTTAACAACACGACAGAAGTAAATAGAATCAGTCTTGAAGTGAAAAGAAGGAGATGGAACTGGATAAGTCATATACTGCGAAAAGAAATGGAATACATTGCATGACTGCTCTGACATGACAGCCAGATGGCAAACGAAAAGTTGGCAGGCCAAAAACAACATGGCGTAGAACAGTGGAAAAGGAAAGGGAAGATCTTGGATGGAAGTCATGGAATGAAGCACGGAATAAAGGAAAAGAAAGGAGACAGTGGGAGAAGAGTGTGGAGACCTTATGTGCCAGCCGGCATGAAGAGGATAGGTAAGGTAAGATGTAGGAGCAATGGACAATGTCACTGTCAACGTACTAACCAACTAACTAACCGACGGACTAACGGACTAACGGAGAGACATGATGATTTGTTGAGCTGCTACTGTACCCGCAGCTAAAACCCCCAAATATCAAGCAACTTGATCATAAGTTCTTATTAAATATCTTCTTGATATATTAAATGATTAAGGTAGCTGTACAGAGGCTGACAATATTGCATTATCTGATTAAATTGGGAAAAAAACACATTTTTGGTTCAGTCGTTGTGACAAACATTGTTCAAAATGGCAGCCCCCTTAACGACAAAGCAAAAACCAAAATTTGTTTTAAGCTTAAGAGTTGCACAGGTAGAATCTTAGAGGAGATGGGTTCAACACGGCAAAAAGACCCAATTTGTGATGTATGATGTATCATATCATACTGCGATATCATATCACATTACGCACATGGGTCCAAAGGAGGGTCCGGGGAGGGGGAAATGGGGGCGGTCCTCCCCAGACATTTTTTTTTAGTAACTAAAGCAGAAGACAAGTAACGATGACTATGTTTAAATCGATGCTACTCACACTCTTCTCTTCTCCCTACAAACAATGCCCATTACCAATATTTTAGTTTAAAATAAAGAAAGAATATATTTATGATGAGTCGGCACTCGGTAATCAATTCAATTGTTGCAAGCCTGATATTAAACACCCAGAAATTATCAATGGCGGCGTAAGTTTCATTCGTCCTCCCCAGCAGGCGACGAAACCTTCGGGTCACGCTTCTCCATTTCAACATTAGCCTCGTCGTCACCAGAATCTACCTGATCCTTGGCAGAGGGAAGGTTGACAACGCAACGGAAGAAGTCGTAGCGTTTGGGGATGGTGCCTTTCTTGAAGAGGTAGTCTAACGGGTAGGAGACCACGAGAATGGTTAGAAGAGACGAGAGCATCGACAGAGTCTTGTAAGGAAAGAGTTGGACTTCTTCCTCTTCGTCGTAATACGGGTACTTGATCAGGGCCGGTATGCCGAGCAGGGAGTCGCCGCCGCCAAAGCGTAAGATCAGGGCTACGATGTAGGCCAGCAACGAACCGTACGTGTTGCACTTGGAGAAGTAAATGACGCAGAGGAGTTGAGGGAACAGCACAACGTAGACAAAGTCGGAGCAGAAGACAAAGAGCTGGTAGACGGAGTTGATTGACAGACTGAGCGCCGTTGCTATGACACCGGCTACGACAATGCAGGCGCGCATCACCCACAAGAGCTCAAGTTTACCGGCCTATTGACAAAGTAACACACAGAAACACAAATAACTCAAATTAAACAAATAATTATAAGACCAACAAAATATCACCCACATTATGATCGATGTTCAAAAGCCACTTGTATTCCTCTAAATTATGTCCAGTATTTTACTTGTTGATAAATTGTTTGCAATGGGGTTGGTGACGTTAGATTTTATGGTTTTGTGCTAACTGCAGAAAAAAACGAGACTTTTAAAGAGGTTAACGTGCTCTATTGTTTACTAAGTTTCATAAGTTAATGATCACAAGAGAACGTTAAATCGGAATGACCCGTGAATGACCTCAGAATGATCTTTACATAACATCAGAATAACCTCTGATTGACATCAGAATGAACTATGCATGACCTTAAATGACATCAGCCTATGACCTCATTCAGGTGATTACAGGGTGGCTCTGAAATAAGTTTTGGAACAGCCATAGTTATGTATCCAAAATAATTATCTGAGCAAGGCATCAATCCATCAATTACCTTAGGACGAAACACCTGCTTGTAGACGTTGTGAGTGAACATGGAGCTAGATGAGAGAATGGAAGAATCGGCCGAGGACATAACGGCAGCCGACACGGCCCCGAGACCAATGAACGAGATGACCGGAGGGGTCAGATACTGGATGACCAATGGGAGAATGAGGCTGGTTTGACTGTATGGGTCAATCTTCTCAAGGTCAAGGGTCGTATTATCCCAGCCTGTCAAGGAAAAGTAAAACGGTCACACTTAAAACAAAAGTGAAAAATAAGGAAGAAAGGTACAATGACCAAGGTGAATTATTTACACAATTTAACGCCAATATTACAAACTAATTCATTGCTTCTGGCCTTGATCTTTGACTGAAACACCACATATCCCCTCCCCTGAAAACCTTGGACTTCAACACCCAGCCCCTCCCCTTTGGTAAATCTTGGAGCACCACTGCCTCTTACTTGTGCTCGCTCCGATTGCACCGATAAGAACCGATGGGATGCCCATAATGATGCATCCGATGCCGGCGACGAACGACAATATCTGTGCCGTCCGTGGAGTCTTGGAGGAGAGAACGCGTTGGAAGTATACCTGCCATGGGATGCCTCCACATACCTGCAGGAAAGAAAGTGAATTCACGATGGGCTCCATGCTCAGGTATACATACCCCCTCAATACTGTGAGAAAGGTAGAGTTGGGGAGACCGCTTGGAGGGACGCGGTAGCTCAAGCGAAGACACTTAGGGCTTTGTGCAGGTTCAGATTAAAAGTAGTCTTGCACGTACACGCGGTGTGTCCCGTCAACTTGGCTCTCGAAAGTGGAAAATAAGCGCCCTCTGCTGACGTACGGAGTCCATAAAGTTGAAGTCAAGTCATTACAAAAAAAATCTGAAGTCGATCACAAGCCATTCCGTCTCAGTCAATTAGGGATGAGCTACATGTATTTGTAAGGCATCCCCGCACTAGTCTTGCAACCTGACTTATGATTTGACTTGTGAAATGACTTGTGATGAACTCGCGAATATAACGTTGCGCTCGGACAAGATAAGATAGAGGGAAACGATAAGAGCTGTGATTGATTTGTGATTGACTTGGCAACTCCTGTATATGATGATACTATTCATAAGATGGAATTTTGCGTCCAGACTTTTGCGTTACAGACTTAGGCCCTAATAGTTGTGATTGATTTATGATGACTTAATGTTAAATATACGGACAAAAGTTCAAATACTCAAATTTGACATCTATTAATGGATTTTTTTTCAGTTGCAATTTTTCTAGCAATATAAAAGTTATTCAATTTAGTTATGAAATTATTTCTTTACACAAATCAAATTATTTACGAACCAACAAAAATTCGACACTTGCACGGTGGTTTTATGAGTGCGCAAAATGAAACCCCTTTTTAGATGCCTAAAATTGGAACAAGGTAATTTTTTTCGTAAACAAAAACATACAAATCGAAAATGCGTTAAGATAAAAAACCTATTAGAGCAGGGGGCACGCATCTTTAAATGAACGCAAAAGGTACGGCAAGTTGGTAATTTTTTTTGAATAATTCCTAATCCGAAGTGTCAGTGCCATTGGATGGATAATGTCCTCTCCTGCATTTATAAAAGTAAGATTTCAAAATGACTCTGGTTCAACTTACCAGTAGCAGGGCAGAATCTAGCCACAGTCCCACCTGATCAGACTCAATCGTGCCGAGCCATTCCTCAGACGTTGACCCAATCGGCTCCACCGCCTCATTGGTCATCGCAAAGGGAACGCAGATCCACTAAAAAGTCAGGGAAAGAATGTCGCGAGAGTACTTTTAACAACTCTTATGGAGTATTTGTTTGACAATTTGTACGCCCAAAATTAGTATTGCTTACTTTTTGCACGGGCGCAGTCACAAAGTAAAACAATGTTCGTATTTATATAAGTTTGGCATACTGGCCGAGGCAGATCGTGCTTTGGTTCAAGGGGGTGGGGCGGGGGCGGGGTTAGCTGTCATGGGGCCGGGGCGGGGGAATAGGCGTATACTATGTTTGTTCCTGCATGTATATATATCTGCCAATTACATCTATGGCTTCAGAAATTATTTAATATTTCATTGACTTTATGTTTTCGTAGATGAACAATAGAATCCCAAACAAACCGAAATAAACTTACTAGATTTTTAATTCATTTATACTGGATATCAATATTTCAGACATGCAACAGGGAGTTAAAAAACACCAAAATTCCAAGCTTTAGGCCTACTATCTGCAGTGCTCCAATTTTAGCATAGTCTACGAGAGAAGAACAAGAAAAAGAGGAAATCATCTGATCTGAGGAAAGGTTGCATGCATAATGTTTGACATCTCTGAAGTTATAACAGATGCAATCCTGTCTTAATTTTGCTGTACGTACCAAGCCTACAAATATGCAGATCAGCTGAATGATATCAGTGTAGACTACTGAGTATAGACCACCGAAGAACGTGTAGAACATGGCAATGCAGGCGGACACAATGACAGAGAGTGTCCTATCTAGCTCAAGTACCACACTGATGGTCGACCCTGTTGAAACAAGATAAATCGCTGAAAGGTTTTGGTTGGAAGTGGTGGCTAGATGGCAAAGCAGCCTAACTCAAAAATTTAAGACTTAGTGAGGTCAAAACACTAGTTTCAAAGTCACAAAAATGATAATTTTGAAGTTGGCATTTGCTATCGCATACTCCTTTTAATATTTTGCCAGAGTAGGCCTATTTGATGGCAAAAACACACTGTGCTTTGAGTTACTCACATGTCTGTGTTTTTATGGTTAAACAGTGTAACTCTCAAATAAATAGCACCTGACATATATAGCACCTGACCTATAGCACCTAACTTATATGTATAGGCTGTTTTGCCAACAAAAACCATCCCGATGTCATCACGTATAATTAAGTGCTTCTAGCGGCTTTCCGAGTTTGGGCCAGTAAACTCGGAAAGAAAACAGTACTTCTAGCTGTACACTGTTACGTTACTAATCCCTTTGTCAACAAACCATCAGCCCCCTGTTATCAGATAATGCTGCTAATCCCCTGCACTCATATAAGCTGAGTGACAGCACAGTTTCATCACACACAGAGTACACTGTTTATTACAGCCCCGCGGCCGGTTCGAACATGCATGTACTTCGTGGCATTGAATTGATTTTGTGGTGACTAAAAACGATGGAGCATGTTTTGTAAATAATACACCTATACTTTGATTTCACAAATGTTTGCAGGTAAATTTGTTTGGTATATACATTTCCATGCTGGATTGCTACTAGCTGTTTGTATTTTGTTGTTTAACATAACATTCTTTTTTTTGTTCAGTATACCTTGATACTGACATTTTTAGTGTAGGTACAATACTGACTTTATTAGTAGGCCGCCCGGCGTTACTAGCGGTACGCGCCGGACGGCTCTGATTTGTTTCCCGAGCAACTACTGCATGCGGCGATCGCGAGCGGCACATTGTGAAGCCCACCGACTGCGCTGCTCTTGCTATTTTTTTGATCATGTTGCACTCACAGTACCGTCCTTATAATGTACTATCCGTTCTCTCTCCGAGCTTCACCCTGATTTTTTTTTACCCAATTATTATTTTAGCAGTACAAAATGTTACTCACTTTCAATTGAGACATCGAACGAGCAATGCCATGTGCAGTAATCGCGTAATTAATACAGATGAAGTCGATTTTTTTTCTCGACTTGCTGATGAGTCCGCGCAGTATTATAGAGCCTAGAGGCGGCTCCAATTTTTGTTTCGAGCAAAGTCGTGCACATGGCGGGCGAAGGCGGCACTGCCAGCTCATTCAGCTTGTGGGGTGTCGAATTACAGGAGACTTAAACCTTACACGCATAATAACCGGACCATGCACACGGCTCAAATATCCTTATGAACTTTGAAAATTCAAAACAAAAAAATGTGCTCAACTGATCGTTTTCAAATTTGGAGACATGCATCCTGAGTATTTGCTGTGTACTTCCACCGAAAATTATTGTCAAATTCGTTGTAGATCTGGTTTTAACAGAAGTAACGCGGTGCGCGTTCTTCCGCCTTCTAGTGCCGATCTGGAAGGCCATGACCCGGCACCGCTTTTCGCGGCTTTTCTGAACAGATCCGAAGCAAGACGTGCTTTCACATGGTGTGTGTGTTCGAGCGGTTCACAAAGAGTGGAGATACGAAGTTATGAAAATTTGCAGCATCGTTTTTCGAGATGAAAATTCAAGTTATTTACCAGTGAATAAGGTGTGTGTAAAACATTGATATTCAAGCTTTACCTTGATATGCATGACAACGATTTGCGATTTGAGAAAATCAACGGAAAGGCAAACGAAAACGATAGCACCTGAAGTTGCGTTTACGCACGTACTTTGTGTGCACGGTGTGCGTGTACTGCTTGGCCACTCCTACCTGGATACGCTGCGCTGGCCGGTCGGCACTGGGCCATGTGCGTGGCATGCAGTGTTTCGTGCCCCCGTGCCGTGTGGGACAATGTTGCTCAGTGGATCGTTTCGTCCGTTTCTGCTTCCAATTGCGGAGCTTTATTTCTGTGAAATGTTCACTGGGGATAGTGAAAAGGGCACTTGTAGCCCCCCCCAAATTTTGTCTAGCCCCCAAAATAAATTCTGTAAAAAAAAAAATCCGTGACACAGTGGACAAAAGCACAATTTTTTTCACCAAAGCATCTCCATGGTATTCTTTTTCGAAAAAACGACAGACGCAAAAAATTGGATGATGGGAAGGGCATGTATGACGTCATTATGACGTCATCAGCTAATTATTTCATGAAAAAAATATAAATTGATAATAATCTTTAGAACTACAAGCATTACAGCAACAAATGTGGTATCAAATTAAAGGGGACAGCAAGCTCTTTTATTTGAGTGGTATGTCATGGGGATGGAATATAGTTAAGGGTGATTTTGTGGGTAAAAAAAACCCTTTTTTTGGTCAAAAGACATGTTTTTAGGCTGAAATCATGGATTTTGGGTAGTCACATTGACACTTTGTTTAAACATGCAAACAGTATATGGTATTGTGAGATGTTGTTTTTAAGTTCGAGAGAAAAGTTCAAATTCTATGCCAAAAGAGTTTTTGTAATTGATTATTAGTAAAATATGTTTGAACTTGTTCCAAAGATAAGCGGAAAAGTGAGGCATCTTATAGCGAGCTCAAAATGCTAATGGTATTTAAAAGCACCATTTTTTTCACCAAAGCTTTGCCAAAGTGTTACGATCAAAAATAGGGTAGGATGCAAAAAATCAGATGACAGGAAGGGTACTTTATGACGTAATAATGACGTCACAACATACTACCGGGCTCGTACAGTAATTAATTGTAGAAAATAAGGTCGTGAAGCGTTGTGATGAGATTCCAAGTAATTAATTTGATATCTTGAGAGTCAGGGAATTGAAGAGTGATATAATCAGTGACATTGAAGTAACAATAAGCTGATTTGCTGTTGCAGTGACGTCCCTATTCTCAAATGTTCTTGAAAAATCTAAGCATTTTTGATTACGGACAAAAGTGCTACAATGACGGTATTTGTCACACAGAAAATAAATTGTCTGAAATTGTGCTGCTCCTTGAATTTGGTCTTTACCACATCCATTTGTTTTGACCATTTACTATAGCTGGAAGACATTCTTATATGTGTTGTATATTACGGTAATGAGGTATGGGTTATAGGAGCCAGACAGAAAGGAACGTGGTAACCTGAAATAGATTAACAGAGTAGCCGGAAATGGTGATGGTACGTCTTTTAACAATGTATTACAAATGGGGGCCGCCCGATAGTCCGAAGGTCCAATAGTCCGAAGGTCCAAATAGTCCGAAGGTTCTTTAGTCCGAAGGTTCGATAGTTCAAATGCACACAATTTCCATAAGGGGGGTTTGTTAGTCCGAAAATGAAATAAGGTTCGTTAATCCGAACAATTGATGCAATAGTCCGAAGGTTCATTAATCCGAAGGTTCATCAGTCTGAAGGTTTATTTATCTGAAGGTTCGATAGTCCGAATTTAGAATAAGGTTAATCAGTCCGAAGGTTCAATAGTCCGAAACGAAAATAACAATATTTTCTAAATTTTCAGGCAGTGCAGAATCGAAATTTCTCTCCATGTATCTAAAATCATGACATGTTTATAATATTTCCGCCATTATGGAAGCTTAGACCCGAAAAAAATAACCTCGGCCATGACAATGGTGGCAGAGTTGATTATGCTTGCCACGATTTTTTTCATTCGATCTTTCAATAGGGGCAAAGTTCATACCTTTCCCCTGAAGGTTTTTCTTTTCATTTAAAAGTTTCAATGACGTTGCTAGCATTATGTACTAAACGTTAACAAATATCAAGGTTCACACAGATAGGAGTGGGACGGGCTTCCATTGAAACTAGTTCCATTGTAGTTTCGTTTAAAAAAAAAGCTATTCATGTGTTATCCTTTGCAAGTTTTGTTCTCATAAAAAACTCAGTAGACTGATAAATCCTTGCCTAGCAAGGTAGAAGTATATAGGCCTACTTCAGTATATTTCATCACAGTGCATCCAGAATCCAACATTTTCAGGGGCCTTAAAGCAGGCCCCTGGCCCTGTGGCCCCACGCCGTATGGGCTCGGAAAATAAAACAAAACATACACGACGGAATTTACTAAATGTAAGAAAGCACTCCTAGCAACAATAATATTTACATGCGATGTCATGCATAATGATACAATTCTTTGTCCAGAATTAAATGGAACAAAGAATGGAGATAAAAATACCTGGTTTTCGACTTTGCAGTACAGTAGAAACGTTATAAGAGCAACAGTATATTCTAAACAAAAAAGTGAAAAAAATTGTCTTTATAATCTCAAAAAAACGTTTGCTAAAAAAGTCGCGGCGCTTCGAACGTCTAGCACAAAGTAACACTGTTAAATATCAGGAGGTGGTATTTTCTAAATTTTCAGGCAGTGCAGAATCGATATTTCTCTCAATGTATCTAAAATCATGACATGTTTATAATATTTCCGCCATTATGGAAGCTTAGACCCGAAAAAAAATAACCTCGGCCATGACAATGGTGGCAGAGTTGATTATGCTTGCCACGATTTTTTTCATTCGATCTTTCCAATAAGGGCAAAGTTCATACCTTTCACCTGAAGGTTTTTCTTTTCATTTAAAAGTTTCAAGGACGTTGCTAGCATTCTGTACTCAACGTTAACAAATATCAAGGTTCACACAAATAGGAGTGGGACGGGCTTCCATTGAAACTAGTTCCATTGTAGTTTCGTTTAAAAAAAAAAGCTATTCATGTGTTATCCTTTGCAAGTTTTGTTCTCATAAAAAAACTCAGTAGACTGATAAATCCTTGCCTAGCAAGGTAGAAGTATATAGGCCTACTTCAGTATATTTCATCACAGTGCATCCAGAATCCAACATTTTCAGGGGCCTTAAAGCAGGCCCCTGGCCCTGTGGCCCCACGCCGTATGGGCTCGGAAAATAAAACAAAACATACACGACGGAATTTACTAAATGTAAGAAAGCACTCCTAGCAACAATAATATTTACATGCGATGTCATGCATAATGATACAATTCTTTGTCCAGAATTAAATGGAACAAAGAATGGAGATAAAAATACCTGGTTTTCGACTTTGCAGTACAGTAGAAACTTTATAAGAGCAACAGTATATTCTAAACAAAAAAGTGAAATAAATTGTCTTTATAATCTCAAAAAAACGTTTGCTAAAAAAGTCGCGGCGCTTCGAACGTCTAGCACAAAGTAACACTGTTAAATATCAGGAGGTGGTATTTTCTAAATTTTCAGGCAGTGCAGAATCGATATTTCTCTCAATGTATCTAAAATCATGACATGTTTATAATATTTCCGCCATTATGGAAGCTTAGACCCGAAAAAAATAACCTCGGCCATGACAATGGTGGCAGAGTTGATTATGCTTGCCACGATTTTTTCATTCGATCTTTCCAATAAGGGCAAAGTTCATACCTTTCCCCTGAAGGTCTTTCTTTTCATTTAAAAGTTTCAAGGACGTTGCTAGCATTCTGTACTCAACGTTAACAAATATCAAGGTTCACACAAATAGGAGTGGGACGGGCTTCCATTGAAACTAGTTCCAGTGTAGTTTCGTTTTAATAAAAAAGCTATTCTTTGCAAGTTTTGTTCTCATAAAAAACTCAGTAGACTGATAAATCCTCGCCTAGCAAGGTAGAAGTATATAGGCCTACTTCAGTATATTTCATCACAGTGCATCCAGAATCCAACATTTTCAGGGGCCTTAAAGCAGCCCCCTTGGTGCTTATTCACAAAGCACCCGTAAATGTTTGCGTTGCGGGGACCCGTAAGTGGATGTTAAGGGCACGTAAGACTTGCGTTAAGTGGTATTCACGAAGCACCCTTAGAGTTCCCTTAGTGGACCCGCATGTTGCGGGCACCCGCAACTAATTGGTTGAACATAAAAAAACACATGCCAAGACATTTTATCCCATTTCAGAGTTCTTGCTCGTAGAGTCGATTAAAGATTAACTTGTCTTTGTTTTCTAAGCAAACAATCAACACCAATCAAGCATGTCTTTAAGAGCATGTTCTTCCACTCATTTAAAGAAAAAAAATGAATCACAAAAATTTACCAATGCTTTCAGAAGTTATGCATGTGTTACAAACGTAGCCCATTTTTATAGCTGTCCTTGAATGTCATTGGAAGCTATTGAGTTTAGTGAGAATCATATTACAGACAAACTTTAAAATGCCAACAAGACTTTAAAGGAAACATGCAGTGGAAATTCAGCTCATCTTGTTCTCTTGCACATTATTATGTGTTGCAACAATACATACAAGATCGTAAAACTTTTTTTCGTTGGAAGTGACAAGAAAGTGGTAGTTTTTCAATTGTTAGCAAATCCTTTAATCAATACAATCGCATGTAAGGCCCCCCAAAAAAGTCTCCGGTTTCTGGTATGGAGCTTTTGGTTTGACAGCACTTGATTCACGATCCCGGTGGTGCAGCTAAAAATAAAAGTTGTATAGGCTATTAAAGATTCAGAAACTCCAGACAAACAATTTGTGAAATGGTTTACAGTTATGGTTACGAGAAAAAAAGGACGGCGTGCAGGGTTGAACTTGTGTAGGCTTAGGCCTATTCACACTACCTTAGTAACACGCAGGCGTTTATGGTAAACATACATGTTTATATATAAACACAGTGCATGTTTATATATAAACACAGTGCATGTTACCAAGGTGGCCTGAATAGTAGGATGTATTTTTTAGAGATGTGTGATGGAAACACAAGACCGAATTTTTATGATAGGAACACACATTGCAAATATACTTTTTGAATTATGAAAATGTGTGTAAAAAAGGAGAAAGATTGCAAATTGCAAAGACTAAACAATTAATGAATTGGAGAAGTGCTGGTTATGCGCTGAAACATGTATTTTGATGGTCCTTCTGAGGGAAAATTATTTAATATACCAAGTGTTGCAGTTTGCTCTGAGTGCTGCACTTTTCTCTATATCGATTGTGATTAAATGTATTCACACGTGTTCGTTTTTAGTGTGTTTTCTGTTGTTTTAAAATATAAAATTATAATTATGTTACAGTTGTGTCAGTCAAACTTGATATTATTGCCGAAATCAATGTAAATAAAATTGTCTCTTTAATTAGGCCTATATCTTGGGACAAGGCTTTCCATTGAATTTGTGTTTTCGTGATTTTCATTGTAATTCCATGGAGTCAAAAAGGGAAGTCAGTTGCATTTTCTCCTTTTTTGTTTGGGGGGGGGGGATGAAGTTTATAGTTAACATGTAAATTCAGTATTTAGTGTTTGGTCATCCGTGGGCCATGGGGTACATCCGTGTCGAAGATTGGGGGTGGATATGACCCCAAATCCTCCACTTGTGGAAATTCGGGGGCGAAAGGGGGGAGGCTGGACACACCAGATGACGCTCTGTTCATGGAATATATAGATTTTCCCAGCCAATTTCCTGAAATGTTCATTCACTTCCGAAAATCGGTCATTCATTTTCGTCTGAATTTGAGAATCGCTCTGAACACGCGTTTCATGCATTTTCGCTATCAGAGCATTCGATTTCATTTCCATTCAATCAATTAAGCACATTTCGTTTATGCTCATTCAGATTCATTTACAAGACTTCCTTTTCGCTTTTAGAGGGCGATTTCAAAAATAAGTCATTTTATTTCACTTTTAGTTTAATATTATGTGATGCAATCTGCTAAGTTTGAATGAGGAAAACGCACTTTATATTGCACATTCACGAAATTGTATTCCAGAACTCTGCGCGAAAAGGTATGCTCGCGTAAATGAATGCACAGGTAACGTAATTGGCCGTCTGTTTCTCAAAACCGAATGCACGGACAATGAAAACGATTGAACTTTCGTTGAATTGAAATGGGATTAAAGACGTGCATTCAAATTCAGACGAAAATGAATGACCGATTTTCAGAAGTGAATGAACATTTTAGGAAATTGGCCGGGAAAACCTATTATGGGCACTATTTTGCTTATGTCGCACAAGGAACTCCTTGTCAAAAGTGCATATGAACAGTACAAACATAACTCCTTCAAAGTTACCCCCCAAAAAGCTTTGAAAAAACTAGTGGCGACTGCTAGTGTCCAAACAAGCTGTTTAACATGATAAGCAAGTAAAAAGTGGAACTTACTGCAAGAAAATAAAGAAAAGTTTGATATATATTTGTACACAAAGCTGTAGAGACACTTTTGTTCTGCTTTGAATGACATCACGCTTTGGCTCATGAATATGGAACTGTTCAATAGCATAAAAATTGAAATGTTGAAATTTCTCCCTTTTATTACTACAAAAGAAGGTTGAAAGTCATAGTAACATGGCAAGAAAGCTGGTTTTTTTTTATCTATTTAAGTAATACAAATTTTTTTGCAGGTTCCCTTTAATAATTGAACTCAAGACAGAAACCACTGTCGGAATGTGTGCTTTCAATATATAAGAAACAAGTTAGCCCTTTTAAAAAAAAAATATTGATGGTGATTTTTGTATCCTTTCCCATGCTCTCGTTCATTCATTCAGTGGAGGTGGGAAAGTCCCTGTGTTAATATGTTAATATGTTATGCAACTACCACACTCACAGCATATAGTAGTTTGTATAACCCAATTTTCTGCGTGTAAATAATTTAATCCGTTGTGATATCTTGTCACAGTGCACTTGATGTCTGGAGTTTTACGGACGACCCTTACCTAGAGCATTCAATATGGCCGCCGTCCAGAAGAGTTCTCCCGTAAGGGCGGGAATGAAGAGCAGCCCACCCATGCGGGAGCCGTACTTGAGCTGGAACGGGTCCAACATGGTGATGTAACCCTTGGACCGCATGATTTTGGCAAAGAACAGACCTCCTATCAGGGTACAAGACCAACAATTATTAAATTTCCGCTTTTTGAGCACGACAATATAAACAGTCTTTTTGAGTGACTCGAATAAAACCTTATCATCCTTTTAAGTTTGACAAATAAAAACAGGTGGGACCCGATTGAATAGATTCATTCTTTCAGTGAACCAACCTCAGAAAATGTATATCTTACATACATCCATCATCCAGCAATTGTAAATGAGATAACAGCTAGTTTTGGATTATATTTGCTTAACCATTAATTACAAGGTTAATTTGCTCTGTCACAGACAAACGTTTTCTTCCATAACGCTGGAATTGCCATTGAATGAAAACAAATCGCAGAATTCAGATTATAATCAACCGAACGACTAGCTTGGTTTGTAGAATAAGACGCTGGACCCTGTTTCAGTAATAATGTTCCTTTCTACAAACTTTATTTTATGAGGAAAGATTGAAAGTCTGTACCTAGAACGAGACTTGTTGAATATCCCCACACTGCCTGGGTCCAAACTAATCCAGAATTCCCTTCAGGTAGGAAGACGTTCTCGGCTGTTCCGTTGATGTAACCTCCTCCCACCCACGTAGCTTGGAAGAAGAAGATAAGAGGAAGAAAAAATCGAGATGCTACACACGTTTTCACTGTTTTGCAAATGTTGCAAATGCAATTTGATCGAGAGCAGTTTTTTTTTAACCAGGACAACAAACTGATAAGATGTAAAAATTGCATTCCGAAAAAAGATGAGGAATGGGCATGAGGAGACTGCACCTTAACACCTTAACAGGGAGAACAAAGGTTCAGACACCAGAGAATCAACCATGATGAAAATGCATGCAAAACCTAACTCCTCCTCAGCTTTAACGTACGGTTGACAACCCTGTTTTGGATCCTATCTAATGAATGTAATGCATTGATACACTTTCCCCTACCCTCCTTCCGCGATGCTCCACCCAAGAATGCATTGGTGGTGCGCCCTATAAACTTGTTGCCTGTCCATATAGTGAGTCTTAATGTAAAATGTTCGTGAATAACCAAATTCCCCACCCAGGGGCATGAAAAATATTGGGGGGGGGGGGGGCGGGGGTAACAATATTTGATATATAGGTGCATGAGTGACAGGAGTGGGCTCCAAACTGCGTTATTTACAAGAAAAAGATAAACACTTCTGGTAACTTTCCTGTAGGCCTATAGAACTTACCAGTCATGGTGAAGATCCCAACCACTGCTCCAATGTTTCTGCCAGCCAGCACCACTTGCTCTTGATCGCTGGATCCTTTGTTCTTGCGAGACGCCCACAGCCCGACGGCCAGAATCAGCAGGTAGAAGACAATGATGCCGGCCACTCCTCCCCAGTTTATAGCCATCTTGGATTCTTAATTCAGAGGTAGACCTACAAGTTGGACTGTTGGAGACTTCGAATCATAAATCGGAGGTAGGCCTACAAGTTGGACAAGGGGGGACAAGTCGACCTGCGACGTCTTGTCTGTCTGCACTGCATGCAGAAGGAACAGAAAATCCCCGATCTGCAATGGGGGAAACGACAACTTTTACAATATTTGAGGTTAACCTCTATTATTATTCGATTTCTCCATGATTGTTTAAACAACTCCTTTCCAGTGTTGAAGTTGAGTCCACCTCAAGTGTATTACAAATAACGATGAATGAACAATATAATGCCCTTATCACAGTTACTTTGAATAGCTTGTAAGGACTTGTGAGGACTTGTGACACTTTCCGACAACAGTGGTGTAATACGCAATGATACGCAATTGTCTATTGCATAGTAGAAAATAATTCAATGATTTTTTTTCAAAAATCTGTGACTTTTAAAAGCAATTTCTAATTCATGGGATGAGATATGATAATGAGGGTCTAAAATTAACACCTCCGGTAACAATTTTCAATGATAACACTTCCCTGTCTATACACCTACCACGTTTAAAGGGAATAAACAACATTTGCAAACATCAAAAAATAAAACTACCAAATTATTATGAAATACCTCACTGGACTGTTAGTGAAAGACAGTGTAAAGCAACCTGTAAAATCATGGCACCTGGTATACTGTAATTTTTTTAAAAAGTGGTATTTTTGTATCATTTTCCAACGCTGGTCGGCCGATCAGCGTTGGAAAAAAAACTGGCTTTTTTCAAATACTTGCCCCAATTGACGACGCGACGGGCGACGGCACGACGCGACGGGCGACGGCACGACGCGACGGGCGACGGCACGACGCGACGGCACGACGCGACGGGCGACGGCACGACGCAACGGGCAATGTGTGCGTCGCCTCATAAGCAGTCTACTTAGAAGCGCCGAGGTAACAGGCGACGGCACGACGCGACGGGCGACGGCACGACGCGACGGGCAATGTGTGCGTCGCCTCATAAGCAGTCTACTTAGAAGCGCCGAGGTAACAGGCGACGGCACGACGCGACGGGCGACGGCACGACGCGACGCACGACGGCACGACGCGACTCACGACGGCACGACGCGACGTGTGAAGGTGCGTCGCTTCCTCATGCAGTGTACGTGCTTAGAAACGGTAATTTAAGAGGCGACGGCACGACGCGACGGGCGACGGCACGACGCGACGCCACGACGCGACGGGCGACGGCACGACGCGACGGACGACGGCACGACGCGACGGACGACGGCACGACACGACGGTACGACGCGACGGCACGACGCGAAAGCACGACGCGACGCAGATATGGCGTCTATAGAACACCATACATGTGACATACGAGGTTGTGCCCGTCACGTGAGGTAGCTGAGAAAAAACATTCGCTCGTACCCCCCCCCCCCCCCCCGCCCTGTTTGCAGGTTCGGGCAAACATCACATCACAGGCTGCGGTCCTCGTAGTCTTGGAGTCCAGTGGTTGAATAGTCCAGTTTGTATAGCGATTGGATACACGTAGGCCTACATGACGTACATGTACAGTACACAGTTGCCATGGGAGAGGGGGGGGGGCGTGGGGGGCGACAGCCCCCCCCCCTCTCCCATGAAACCTTGTCGCCCCCCCCCCCCAGTCGCCCCCCCCCCACGGAGATTTCGAATTTCTAAAAAAATTATCATTGATCTACATGACGCCCCCCCCCCCCATGAAATGTTCCAGTCCCCCCCCCCAGCGGCCCCCCCCCCCCCCCCCCACTGAAAAGTTCCTGGCTACGCCACTGGTCCCGGTTGACCATGCACACCATGCCTCGAACTATAGTGTGATCCGGTACACTCGCTGGCCCCGTCCAGCTGTTGCTTCCCCGTCACTGTAGCGGTCCGCTCCCGCTTCAGTCCGGCCGTCTCTGCGAAGCGAAAGCTCGTTCCGTGCCCACTCGGTTCAGCCAGAATCATTGGCATACTTGGTTCCCCCAGTTAGTGTTGTGAGACTCCGACACCGGTGTTGAAACCAAGGAAAAGCCTGACGTTGGAGGAATCCCCACGAAGTTAAATAAACCAGTAAAGTCACTGTGTGAAAGCTATGTTTAGATAATAATGTTGATTCTAATATAAAGTTAATGAACTAATGGGGAATGCAACAATAATTTCAGGAATGAATTGCAGGGCAGCTCCGTCGCACAGCCTTTAACGTTTCACCACTTGAAACTTAGAACTCATAGACACATGGATTACAAGATAAGAGAACTGTTCAATTGCTTCATTGATGTTCTCCGAAGTCACCGCGTTAAAATTAGAAAAAAAGTTTTAACTATGGAAGGTTGTGAATCTTTTCTTTCAAAACTGAGGGAGGAATTATTGCAGTCATATTTATTTTATCGTCAATGTAAAATTGTGTCTTATTTCATTTTGTTCCCGGGTATTTTCTTGTTGTTTCTTTAGTGTGTGTATTTAATGTGAGTGTAGACCTATGTATGTCAACTAGGCTGTTTGTTTTTATGGTTTGCATTTTTCTCTCTGAGGCTTTAAAAATAACATCTTCATGGATTCCCAGCACAACTCCTCACAATAAGCCTAGTGTTAACAATATTTCTCGTTGTGGGTCTGAAAATGAAAATTGTCGGTTTGTGTATTATGAATATGATCAAGTGAAATTATCTATGCAGTATTTTTTTCCATTTCCCTCAAAATTGCATATTGTAATATTGTACATTTTTATCAATTTGCTAGAATATGTGATACCTCACCAACAAGCATCTTTTAACGAAATTCAATCAGAATATTTATCAATTTTAAAAATTTTTTTAGTTGTTGTGTTACTTGTTGGTGTCCCTGCCACACTGTACGATGGTGTAGCCGTGCGTAATGCACTGGATTGTTTACATTCGTTTTGACGGGGTTTTTACTGAATAGAGTCTGGTGACTGTACATGTACATAGCAATTTCTTTGAATAAAAGTCGAATTGTTTATTCATGTGCACTTGTTATGCAAAGCAGGGGCAGTGGTTCAAGGATATCTATGTCGACTTGCAGAAAATGTGCAAGAACGCGACTTGAATGCTTTTATGTGTTCACAATACAACGACGCTGTTTAGTTATTTCACTGTGTGACACAGTGAGAAATTTTGGAATCATAATGGCGTCAGCGATACTTGCTGGAGAGCTCTTGTGTACGACTTTCTGCACTTTGGTACTGTTGTTTCCAGGACAATTGTGTGTACGGTAACCCGACGTACCCAGATTTTTAAAGACGAAATTGCCGACCTCAAACTTGTTAGTGCCATATTTGGCAACTATATGTGCGTTATTAGTTAAATTAAACAAATGAACAGGTTAATTAAACATAGTACCATTGAAGGTACCTAAAAGTAAACATAACAGCATAGAAGACCAACAGACGAACATGAAATATTACAAAATAAACATATTTGTCTGGATAATTTTTAGGGCGTTACCGGCAAGTTAACACAAACTTGGTGTCAAATAGATCATGGGAGTTCTACGCTGACAGTACATACAGGGGGCGAAGTTGGAAAAGAAACACGCATCGTGATATCGGAACGCTTGCGCGTAGTTCAGGCAAGTCAAAAGATCTATCTTTCTTTGTTTTTTTTTCTCTTTTTTTCCATGGAAAGTGAATTTCGATTTTCAATTATTTAGCTTGAACCACCCACCCACAATTTGGAAAAAATATCGAAATTTTAAAACACTGAAAATTCTGAATGGCCCCTTACAGATTATTTTCGTACGTATTCAACAATACAAAAGACAACCTTGTGTACAAAATGCACTACATCGTGCTTATTGCAGGCAGCATTAAAAATGATTATAAATGAATTAAAGGACCAATTAAAGAGAAGAATGTTCGTGCTCTACTGCGAATTGAGGTTTAAAATGAAGGCAGAAATATCATGTTAAGATGCAGGATATTGAGACGCAAGGAGCTTTTATTCTCTTGTGGTTCTGTATGACCGAAGAGGAGATATAGTAAATTTCACTCACCTCGATAGTTCCTTAATTAAAGTTGGACTTACTCCGATGAACTCCAAAATCTGGGCTTGCGATATGTTTTCGCAAAACCGTCAGTCAGATCATTCGACAAAATTAGGAGTTCACAAAAGTTCCACGTGTCCATTCAGTTCAGTTCAGCGCAAAATAAGCATTCAAAGGTTTGCAGTTGTAATCATAAGTTTTTTTTATGACAAGTTCGGTTGGCCTACAGCTGGCAATGTTCAAGCCAATTTTTCACTGGTGGCACCGGGGCCCGTCCGTACGCGAGGCCGGTTACACGAGGTCGGTTCCACGGTCGACTTGCCAAACTCCAAGCGTCTAAATCCAACGTTTTTTTGGCGGACACGAAGAGTTTCTGCGTTGATAGCTTTAAGCTGGCCGGTCGTCTCAGAGGTTGAGGACAACTTGAGGTCGCAAGATTTGCTTGTGAAGTTTGAGAATTTTTTTGGTGACTGACCCAAAACAGCGGAGGACATCACGAGCTGCCTCATGTACATGTACCATTTTCCATGGCGTAATGATATGGCGGTGGAAAATGTCATGTTCATATCACAGGCTGGTGCATGCAGCAGGGTCTTTGCGCTGCCTGGACCAAAGTATTCAGTGTGTATTTATCCGCGTACTACTCTTCTTCCTTATACCTATTTAAACATAGTCATGGGCGTCGCCAGGATTTATACCTAAACATAGTCATGGGCGTCGCCAGGATTTTTTTCCGGGAGGGGGGAACAAAGCAAATTTTTACCCAAAATTTCTTAACTTTTTAATAATATTCTCAATTTATCATTTTTCCGAGCGTGAGCAGGGGAGCATTTACCCTACCCCATCAAATTAACAGCAGTATGGCTTCGCACTTCTTTTTCCTTTTTTTCGTTTTCCAGGGGGGAGGAGCAAGTGCCCCCTTTGCCCCCATGAACCTAGTGCCAACATTTCATCGTGAATGGAATTTGAAATTAAAGAAAGGTTTTTTTTGTAAGGAATATGGATTGTTGTTGAGCGCCCTCTACGATACTTATATTATACGTACGCAGGTGTATATCATATGTTTTATAGCTCCATGGGTATATAATGCCATGAATTACCATTTGCGGTTGAGATTTACGATAGCTCAGCTAGATATGCTATGGTTTAGAGATCAGAGGGTGTGAGTTACGTTAGAAGCCAATTTCTTTCCAATCATATTTTCTTTTCTAATTTCCAGGCTTGGAGATTTGTTTTTAAAGGGAAATAAAGTCCGAATTTCATTAGGTTCGAATTGATTTCTTTTTTTCCCTGTATATTTTTTCTCATGTTTTAGGGAAGTCAAGTCCAAAACCTCAGAGCGTACACCCCATTTGCTTATGTCATTTTGGGGAAAAAATTCACCGGCCATTCGATCGAGGCCAGCAGTACGTAGCACGCGTGGCTCGCGTGGCCTGTCTCTCATTGGTCCGAAGTATGTAGGTGACGTCTTCTCGAGGATTTTCTGTTGTTCCTCTTCCCTTTCCCTTTGTTTATGTATATTTTGCAACAGCTCTAAATGCTTATGCACACGGTTTTTTTAATCGAGGTCGTCCTCGCTTTAATTCCAATCGATGATGCTGCACGTGTGTGTCCTCGATTTACACCGTAAACACGCACAACGTGTACCGTACAATGAATATACACGGCTTGCATGTATTCCCACGCCACAAAATGTCCGCCGCGTCAAATGTAAAGAACCTTTTTTCGTCTTGTGGGGAACGGTAGGATATCAGGTTAGTATCTTTTCAATCAGACCTTTAAAATAGTGTAAGTATATAATAAAACAATGACATTTTCGGGGATTTCAGACCGGAATCCCCCTTGATATCACGGCTATGCTTGGCCACAATACGCCTGCGCGCATGTGGGACATTAATCACAGCTATGATTGGTCAAAAATTCAATGGGCGGGGCTAATGGATCTGTCTGTTGCTTGATCTGGCCAACTGGGCAAGCGCATGCAGGAAAACAGAGGGGGAGGGACACGCAAATACCCCGGAAAAAAGTTCTAACAAGTGAAAATTACTTTTAGATCAATTTTTACCATTGTTGTTATTCTTTCAAACCACAACCTGTTTATCCAATATAAATCTCTGAACGAAAATCGCAGAAAATGGAAAGGAGCTTAAAACTGCTAGATAGAAATCAATTTTCATAATATCAAAAATGAAAGTAGACTTTTATGCACCCAGAAATCAAAATTGACTACAATTCCACATTGCAACCTATATGAATATAATAGCATTTATACATAATCTAGGTCGAGTCGGTTATACTGTACTAATTTTAAAAATTGAAAAAAAAACTTGTTCAATGACACAACATTTATAAAACCAACTGAAAAAAGTTAAAGACCAAATCAAACAGCTCCTTTTCAAAATACCACAAATGATTATAAACAGCAAAATTCACCTTTTCATTTAGACTTAGAATTGTTATTAAACAAATCACGAATATCAAGTAACTTGAAAATTAATTCATATATTTATCTTCTTAAATATAAAAAAAAAAAAAAAGAAAAAAAAAAAAAAAAAAAAAAAAAGGTATTGCTATTACAGAGACTGGTCAAAGATTTTGAATAAAAGCAATATTGCAGCATCTGATTAAATGAAAAAAACCAAAACCACAGACTTTAGTTAAGTCGTTGCCACACAGATTGTTCAAAATGGCTGCCCCCTTAACGACAAAGCAAACACCAATGTTTTGAAGCAAGAGAGTTGCACTGGTAAATTCGTAGAGGCATTTGGGTTCAACACATCCAAAAGACCCAATATGTGATGTATCATATCATACTGCGATATCATATCATGTCATACGCACATGGGTCGAAATGGGATGGGGCAATGGGGGGGGGGGGGTGCCCCGCCAAGAAAAATAGATAAATAATAAACAAATACAAATTGGCACATTTTTTTTAGTAACCAACAAGAAGACAAGTGACGATCGATGACTGTGGTTGAATCGATGCTACTGACACTCTTCTCTCTACAAACGGTGCACTTTAAACACTTTGACGGAAAAAAGTCCTTCAGTTTGAAAATAAAATAATATATATGATGAGTCAGAACTCGGCAAGCAATTCAATTCGGCGATTCACAATGCAGTGCGCCACCAAGAGTTTGCATGGAAAGTCCATTTTCCAAGTTTACGGTCGACAAATCATGGCCCCTTTGATTGAGTGTCAATAGACAAGTTGAGCTTATTTGTTTTAGATTTGGGAATGACGTTCTGCAGCCTTACCAAAAACACCATATTGATAAACGGAAAAGAAAAGGGCAAACACAATACTCAAATCATACGCTTACGAAACTACTTGCAAGAAAAACTAACAATTTCAAATGTCCCACGCTGCAAATTTGTCGACCATCTCCCACAATGCACTGGGAAAAATAAACTCACCGTGGCAAACTCTTGGTGGCGCACTCGCCCGAATTGTTGCAAGCCGGTGTCACATGAAAATCGGACTCGTATGAAAATCGGACTCTTTTCCCTTTTATTGGTTAAACCCTCTCACGTGACCGGTCCCTCTCCTAATTATCTATGCATGAGCATGCGCAATACCACCAATGAGTCCGTATTTCATAAAACCTAAATTCATGCTACACCGGCCTGACATTACACACCCAGATACTACCAAACTACTTAAGTTTCACATTATTCGTCCTCCTCGGCAGGCGAATCCGTCGAGTCACGCCTCTTCAATTTATACTTTACCTCGTCGTCATCAAAATCTACCTGATCCTTGGCAGAGGGAAGGTTGACCACGCAACGGAAGAAATCGTAGCGTTTGGGGATGGTGCCTTTCTTAAACAGGTAGTCTAACGGGTAGGAGACCACGAGAATGGTTAGAAGAGACGAGAGCATCGACAGAGTCTTGTAAGGAAAGAGTTGGACTTCTTCCTCTTCGTCGTAATACGGGTACTTGATCAGGGCCGGAATGCCGAGCAGGGAGTCGCCGCCGCCAAAGCGTAAGATCAGGGCTACGATGTAGGCCAGCAACGAACCGTACGTGTTGCACTTGGAGAAGTAAATGACGCAGAGGAGTTGAGGGAACAGCACAACGTAGACAAAGTCGGAGCAGAAGACAAAGAGCTTGTAGACGGAGTTGATTGACAGACCGAGCACCGTTGCTATGACGCCGGCTACGACAATGCTGGCGCGCATCACCCACACAAGCTCAACTTTACCGGCCTATTGACAAAGTAACACACAAAAACACATATAACTCAAATTAAACAAATAATTATACGACCAACAAAATGTCACCCACATTATGAATGATGTTCAAAAGCCACTTGTGTTGCTCTAAATTATGTCCAGTATTTTACTTGTTGATAAATTGTTTTCAATGGGGTTGGTGACATTAGATTTTATGGTTTTGTGCCAACTGCAGAAAAAAACCGAGACTTTTAAAGAGGTTAACGTGCTCTATTGTTGACTAATTTTCATAAGTTAATGATCACAAGAGAACGTTAAATCGGAATGACCCGTGTATGACCTCAGAATGATCTTTACATAACATCAGAATAACCTCTGATTGACATCAGAATGAACTTTGCATGACCTTAAATGACATCAGCCTATAACCTCATTTAGTTGACTACAGGGTGGCCCTGAAACAATTTTTGGAATAACCATAGTTATGTATCCTAAATTATATGAGCGAGGCACCAATCAATCAATTACCTTTGGGCGAAACACCTGCTTGTAGATATTGTGAGTGAACATGGAGCTAGATGAGAGAATGGAAGAATCGGCCGAGGACATAACGGCAGCCGACACGGCCCCGAGACCAATGAACGAGATGACCGGAGGGGTCAGATACTGGATGACCAATGGGAGAATGAGGCTGGTTTGACTGTACGGGTCAATTTTCCCAAGGTCAAGGGTCGTATCATTCCAGCCTGTCAAGGAAATGTAAAACGGCCACACTTAAAACAAAAGTAAAAAATAAGGAAGAAAGGTACAATGACCAAGGTTAATTATTTACACAATTTAACGCCAATATTACAAACTAATTCATTGCTTCTGGCCTTGATCTTTGACTGAAACACCGCATATCCCCTCCCCTGAAAACCTTGGACTTCAACACCCAGCCCCTCCCCTTTGGTAAAGCTTGGAGCACCGCTGCCTCTTACTTGTGCTCGCTCCGACTGCACCAATAAGAACTGATGGGATGCCCATAAGGATGCATCCGAAGCCGGCAACGAACGACAAGATCTGTGCCGTCCGTGGAGTCTTGGAGGAGAGAACGCGTTGGAAGTATGCCTGCCATGGGATGCCTCCACATACCTGCAGGAAAGAAAGTGAATTCATGATGGGCTCCATGCTCAGGTATACATACCCCCTCAATACTGTGAGAAAGGTTGGAGAGGTGCGGTAGCTCAAGCGAAAACGCTTAGGGCTTTGTGCAGGTTCAGATTAAAAGTAGTCTTGCACGTACACGCGGTGCGTCCCGTCAACTTGGCTCTCGAAAGTGGAAAATAAGCACCCTCTGCTGACGTACGGAGTCCATAAAGTTGAAGTCAAGTCATTACAAAAAAAAATCTGAAGTCGATCGCAAGCCATTCCGTCTCAGTCAATTAGGGATGAGTATTTTGAAAGGCATCCACCTCAAACTTGCAACCTGACTTGTGATTAGACTTGTGAATGATGGACTCGCGACTACAACGTTGCACTCGGACAAGATAAGATAGAGGGACACAATAGGAGCTGTGATTGATTCGTGATTGACTTGACAACTCCTGATGATAGTGTTCATGAGATGGAATTTTGCGTCGGGGTGATGTAGGTTTTGCCCTTCACCGACGTATATATGATGATACTGTTTAATAAATTAAAAGCAAACCTGCTTTTGTAAGGTTGAGTTTTTGTAACCACTTGGTCACCTTGTCATCTGTTTTTCTAGGTTATGTCTTTGTGTGTCTGATTGTTGTCCATTTTGTCCTTTGTCATGTCTCTGTTTTTCTTGGTCATGTCCACTTGTCTGTCGAAACGTTAGGGTACAAAAGCATGACGCTTCACCTTATACCTAAATGTTGTCGTTAATTTGTTTTAGTATTGATCCATGTACATTATTATACACCATTACATAATTCATTGCATTTTGCTCTGTATAATAAGTTTACACGTCACTGTAACATTTTATTGTCTGGACGACTCGTTACAGACTTAATAGTTGTGGTTGACTTTTGATGACTTATGTGAAATATAAGGACAAAAGGATCACATTTTTTCCCTGCCTAATGATGATTCCCAGTGATAATTCAAATTTGACATCGATTAATAGATTTTTTTTTCAGTTTCAATTTTTCTAGCAATATAAAAGTTAGTCAATTTGGATTGAAACATCAAACGAACATTCCACTAACGTTTAGTTATGAAATTATTTCTTTACACAAATCAAATTATTTACGACCCGACAAAAATTCGACACTTGCAGGGCGGTTTTATTAGTGCGCAAAATGAAACCCCTTTTTCAGAGGGTTGAGATGCCTGAAATTGGAACAAGGTAATTTTTTTCGTTAAAACAAAAACATACAAATCAAAAATTCAAAAAACCTTTTAGAGCACGGGGCACGCATCTTTAAATGAACACAAAAGTAAACGGCAAGTTGGTAATTTTTTTTGAATAATTCCTAATCCGAAGTGTCAGTGCCATCGGATGGATAATGTCCTCTACTGCATTCATAAAAGTAAGATTTCAAAATGACTCTGGTTCAACTTACCAGTAGCAGGGCAGAATCTATCCACAGTCCGGCCTGATCAGACTCAATCGTGCCCAGCCATTCCTGAGACGTTGACCCAATCGGCTCCACCGCCTCATTGGTCATCGCAAAGGGAACGCAGATCCACTAGAAAGTCAGGGAAAGAATGTCGCGAGAGTACTTTTAACAACTGTTATGGAGGTATTTGTTTGACAATTTGTACGCCTAAAATTAGTATTGCTTACTTTTTGCACGTGCGCAGTCACAAAGTGAAACAATTTTCGTATTTATATAAGTTTGGCATACGTACTGGCCGAGGCAGACCGTGCTTTGGTTCAAGGGGGTGGGGCGGGGGGGGGGGGAATAGCTGTCAAGGGGCCGGGGGGGGGGGAGTAGGCATGTACTATGCTTTTTTCTGCATGTATCTGCCAATTACATCTAAGGCTTCAGAAATTACTCAATATTTTATTGACTTTATGTTTTCGTAGATGAATTACGGAACCCCAAACAAACCAAAATAAACTGAAAAGATTTCCTTTCATATATACTGGAAATCAATATTTCAGACATGCAACTTGGAATTTACAGCAACAAAAAAGAAATTCCAAGCTTTACAATCTGCAGTGCTTTTCAATTTTAACAGCATAGGATAGGAGAGAAGAACAAGAAAAAGAAGAAATCATCTGGTCTGAGGAAAGGTTCCATGCCTGATGTTTGACATCTCTGAAGTTATAACAGATACAACCCTGTCTTAATTTTGCTGTACTTACCAAGCCTACAAATATGCAGATGAGCTGAATGATATCAGTGTAGACTACTGAGTATAGACCACCGAAGAACGTGTAGAACACGGCAATGCAGGCGGACACAATGACAGAGAGTGTCATATCTAGCTCAAGTACCACACTGATGGTCGATCCTGATAATTGAAACAAGATAAATCGCTGAAAGGTTTTGGTTGGAGATGGCAAAACAGCTTAAGCACCACCCCATGGTGTTCTGACCAATCACAGCCGTGATTTAGGGGTGCTTGCACTAAAGTGCGACATGCGTGCACGCGCGTATGATGCGCGCGGAATGAAAATGCAGCATAGCATTGGAGAGGAGCACGTGTTAATTTGCCTACGTGCGCACTGGGCGGAGCTTACTGGATCGGTCCATTGAAGTCTTAGTGAGGTCAAAACACTATTTTCAAAGTCATATAATTGATACTTTTGAAGTTGGCATGTGCTGTCGCATACTCCTTTCAATATTTTGCCAGAATATTTGATGGTAAAAACACACTGTGCTTTGAGTTACTCACATGTCTGTGTTTTTATGGTAAAACAGTGTAACTCTCAAATAAATAGCACCTGACCTATATAGCACCTGGCCTATAGCACCTGACTTATATGTATAGGCTGTTTTGCCAACAAAAACCATCCCGATGTGATTTGTTTTCGTTTTGCTGAAAGAAAACTTACCTGTTTGTGATCTGTGGACAAAACTTTAAAACGGTTGTTGTGTTTAAAATCCGTAACTTGAAAATTAGATAAGTGATTTGAATGATTCTTGTACTAAAAGAAAGCTTATGAATTTGGTTTTCATATCCCAGATTTTGAAAGTGCTACATGGAGAATCTCACTAAAACAATGGTCCCGACATTTTTTTTTAAAACTCACCCTGTGTTAAAACAACAGTTTCTATGTGTTATGCAACTACCACACTCACGGCCTACAGTCAACAAGAAGGGGTTTGCCCCGGTGTTTCTGGAAGTGGCAGCAATATGCGCCGCAGCACCTAGCAAAAAGGTGCTACATAATGGGTCTCATAATTTATGTTCATATACTTCATTGCCTGTCTTTCGTTGCATTCTCCCCCAGCGCTTTGTATCCTTTGGAAAAGGCGCTATATAAATACGGTTATTATTACTACTACTATTACTATAATAGGGCGACAGATTTTGCTAACTCCGTCCACAATAGGGCGATACACCTTATTGAGGCGACATTTTAACTGTCGCCCTTTTATGAAAACGACCCTTAGGACAAGGAATTTTGCTGTCGCTAACCATATAGATCGATTTCTCATGGTCCAATTAGTATAAATACTAAATTTCGTGGAAAAAACATAAGGTGAACTTGGGTTAGGTGACAGTTTAGGTTTGTGCACAAGTCTATGGGAAAGTCACCCTATTGGGGCAAAAAGAGTTATAGTTAGTATAATAACATTTCACCTATATTCGTGTCCTTGAAATAGATTTCAGACAATATCTGAAATTAAAATGCATATTGTACCTCGGGATTCAGGTGAACTATTTTGCTCCGTTTTGTAACAGATGGCAGACAATTAATGCATTTTTGAAACGGCATGGATTACGTGTTTAAGCTTTAGAGGCTAGACTGCAAACAAATTTGATATTATTTGTAACAGATTTAAAAAAACATAATAAACATACCATTTGGATTGAAATTATGTGGGAAATAAAAACTGATTCTTCCAATTGTATTTGATAGATAACTGCAATTTTGCTCCTCATATTCAATGGTATAAACCCTAATCCTCCAAAATCTTCTTCGCAAAATCTTCTTTGCAAAATGGAGGATTTTGCAGGATTGAGGCTAAATGTATGGCAAAAATGTGTGGCTGATTTTGGAGGATGCATTGTGTCAAGGTCTTAGGCCGGACCTTGTATTATTTAGGCTGAGCCGTGCATAAATTGAGGCCTACATTATACTTGAAATCCTCCCCACTGCTCCAGAATGTCACTGGCCAAGGAATTTTGCTGTCGCTAACCATATAGATCGATTCCTCATGGTCCAATTAGTATAAATACTAAATTTCGTGGAAAAAAAGATAAGGTAAACTTGGGTTAGGTGACAGTTAAGGTTTGTGCACAAGTCTATGGGAAAGTCACCCTATTGCAGCCAAAAGAGTAAACATTATTATTATTATTATTATTATTATTATTATTATTATTAACATAACGTGGAGATATAGTTAGTATAACCCAATTTTCCGCGTGTAAGTAATTTAATCCGTTGTGATATCATTTAGGGTTTGAAGTGATGTGGTGTGGGGTCACAGTGCACTTGATGTCTGGAGTTTTACGGACGACCCTTACCTAGAGCATTCAATATGGCCGCCGTCCAGAAGAGTTCTCCCGTAAGGGCGGGAATGAAGAGCAGCCCACCCATGCGGGAGCCGTACTTGAGCTGGAACGGGTCCAACATGGTGATGTAACCCTTGGACCGCATGATTTTGGCAAAGAACAGACCTCCTGTCAGGGTACAAGACCAACAATTATTAAATTTCACTTTTTGAGCACGACAATATATACAGTCTTTTTGAGTGACTCGAATAAAACCTTATCATCATTTTAAGTTTGACAAATAAAAACAGGTGGGACCCGATTGAATAGATTCATTCTTTCAGTGAACCAACCTGAAAACGTATATCTTACATACAGCCATCATCCAGCAATGGTAAATGAGATAACAGCTAGTTTTGGATTATTTTTTCTTAACCATTAATTACAAGGTTAATATGATCTGTCACAGACAAACGTTTTCTTCCATAACGCTGGAATTGCCATTGAATGAAAACAAATCGCAGAATTCAGATTATAATCAACCTGGCACTCTATCCGATTGCGAACGGCTAGCTTGGTTTGTAGAACAAGACGCTGGACCCTGTTTCAGTAATAATGTTCCTTTCTACAAACTTTATTTAATGAGGAAAGATTGAAAGTCTGTACCTAGAACGAGACTTGTTGAATATCCCCACACTGCCTGGGTCCAGACTAATCCAGAATTCCCTTTAGGTTTGAAGACGTTCTCGGCTGTTCCGTTGATGTAACCTCCTCCCACCCACGTAGCTTGGAAGAAGAAGATAAGAGGAAGAAAAAGTCGAGATGCTACACACGTTTTCACTGTTTTGCAAATGTTGCAAATGCAATTTGATCGAGAGCAGTTTTTTTTTTACCCAGGACAACAAACTGATAAGATGTAAAAGTTGCATCCTGAAGAAAGATGAGGAATGGGCATGACGAGACTGCACCTTAACACCTTAACAGGGAGAACCAAGGTTCAGACACCAGAGAATCAACCATGAAAATGCATGCAAAACCTAACTCCTTCTTAACTTTAAGGTTGACAACCCTGTTTTGGATCCTATCTAATGAATGTAATGCATTGATACACTTTCCCCTACCCTCCTTCCGGGATGCCCCACCCAAGAATGCATTGGTGGTGCGCCCTATAAACTTGTTGCCTGTCCATATAGTGAGTCTTAATGTAAAATGTTCGTGAATAACCAAATTCCCCACCCAGGGGCATGACAAATATTGGGGGGGGCGGGGGTAACAATATTTGATATATAGGTGCATGAGTGATAGGAGCGGGCTCCAAACTGTGTTATTTACAAGAAAAAGATAAACACTTCTGGTAACTTTCCTGTATAGAACTTACCAGTCATGGTGAAGATCCCAACCACTGCTCCAATGTTTCTGCCAGCCAGCACCACTTGCTCTTGATCTTTGGATCCTTTGTTCTTGCGAGACGCCCACAGCCCGACGGCCAGAATCAGCAGGTAGAAGACAATGATGCCGGCCACTCCTCCCCAGTTTATAGCCATCTTGGATTCTTAATTCAGAGGCCTACAAGTTGGACTGTTGGAGATGATAAATCGGAGGTAGGCCTACAAGTTGGGCAAGGGGGACCTGCGACGTCTTGGCTGTCTGCACTGCAGAAGGAACAGAAAATCCCCGATCTGCAATGGGGGAATGACAACTTTTACAATATTTGAGGTTAAGGCCCCCCCCCCCAAATACTCGGTCTCTGGTCAGCGCGCGCGTCGATTTTAATCATGCGCGTCAACCTTTTTTTCTTCAAATTAACACGGAAGCTACAACAGCGCCCTCTATTGCCGCGCCTCCTCAAATTTTTGTACCAAGGAGCACCAAGGAATGGGGAAATTGCACCAAGGCAAATGATAAAGGGCACCAAGGCAAATTATGGAGGACACCAATGTACAATGAGGACACAAAAAAGTAAAATAGTACCCACCTTGTCTGTACAATACAAGCTTGAAAAAAAAGCCACCAAAAAACAAACAAAAAAAACGCGTCGCCGCATCAATTCCGGAACTTCGGTCTGACCAGAGACCGACTATTTTTGTGTGGCCTAACCTCCATTATTATTCGATTTCTCCATGATTGTTTAAGCAACTTCTTTCCAGTGTTGAAGTTGAATCCACTCAAGTGAATTACAAGTAACGATGAATGAACAATATAATGCCTTTATCACAGTTAATTTGAATGTAAGGACTTGTGTGGACTTGTGACAGTTTCCAACAACAGTGGTATTGTTTACGCAATGACCTACTTTTCATTCAATTCGATTAATGAGTAATTTGATAGGTTTTCAAACTTTGGATAATAATGAACAAAAAAGCCTCTTCACGGAATTATGCACAACGCAGACGAATAGGCCTACTTCATCTCCGGTAGCTTAGCCAAAATGAAAAATAAACTGCGACAAGAAAAAAACCACAGTTTGATTTCCTCAGCTCTATGTAATTGATATAGCATTTTCAAGAAAGCAAAAGTCAAAATGAAAAGTCACCTGTGGTCACGTCAAGTCCAGGATAATAGGCGGGTTTGCTTGTTCCAATTCATGAAGAACACCCCCACAAAACTTAGAGAGTCAAGGTTCTTTGCGGCGCGGTCTGCCAAAAGTTCCTAAAGCACTGGCCATGTGAATAACTGTAAAACTGTCTGTATTGGGTCAGCACAGTTAACCAGCCCGTGTTTGGAACCAGAGATCTAAACACCAATTAACCACAAACTAAATTTTTAGTGCAAAAAAGGAGTAGATTTACCTGTCGGTTCGTTCTGTAACGCACACTCTAAACAGCACAGTATAATGTGGAGAGCTGTGATTAGTTCAACGAGCAACATGCACCATGTCTGATTTTACATTGTATGTAAATTTTGTTCTTGCTTTTATCATGGTCTGTTTGATGTCGTAAAGATAATCAGTGACATTTCATATTTGGCTACTGTTTTACAGTTGATATTTAAATGTTATTATCACGAGCTGGAGACGACCTCGAACATTCTGTTTAGCTAATTGGAAAGTGCTTATGCAATCGGAAATAGACATCAGGTGTGGAAAAAGGTCGAGCAGCTGCCTACGAGAGAAGAAAATCCCACTGAAAAAAAAAATGTATAAAGCTTGTCATTTACATAACAATTTTGATTGGATATAAAAAAGGCCATCAGCCTGGGGGTTTGGTCGGTATCAAATCAGTGCATAAATGACTATAGTGCGCATGCGCAAGGCATACCGCCCCTAGAGTGGTAACAAGCATTTTGATGGACATTTTGAAAAAAAAGATGATAACACCCAAAAAGCTGCCACCGCTGCAATGCTATCACATATTTTCCAACTCTGAAGGTGTATACCTTGTCAAACATCGCCATGACGATTATTCCCCTCATTTGATACCGGTGGCCAAAATTTTGGACCGAGGCTGATGGTCTAAAAGTGGGTGCTTATAGGCGGCCCAGGGTATCTTAAAGCTTTGTCTTTAAGTTGCACTCTGGAGGAAAAGACGCAGTTTGTGTTCCTCCATGGTTGTGTGTCGATTTTTTTTGGCTGCTCCATCCAGCAAGAACCAAATTTATCATCTCTTGAAACTTTGCAACAAAAAAGGTTTTACTGATTGATTTTGTAGCCTATAATCCATATAGCAAACAGAAGCCATGTGATTTTATTTGTATTACATTGAACAGTGTAATGCCAAAGATAAGCCCCCGCCCCTGAGGAAAACGATCCACTAGAGATAGGGGCCAGGTACAAATTCAGTAAAAAAGCGGAACTCAAACCCCCAAAATTATATTTCATATTTTATAAAAAATATGTAGCCAAAAAAAATATGTAAAGACGACAGGAAAGCCAGTTTCATAAGCTACTTTTTGATGAAAAAATTACTGAAATTGCTCCATCCGTTCAAAGAATATCACCATTTAAACCAATGACTCTAAAACCTGTCTCGTCCAAAAATGCGATTTGAAGAATCGTCGTCACAATTGTCTTCAAACATCACCAGCGATAAAACCTCAGTTTAAAAGTTAAAAGTATTCAACATTGTCCTTTTGCCTGCCCGTCTTTAAAAAAAAAGTGGATTTTATAAATCATATTGTTTGCTTAACCAGGGTTGTCTGAACGGGAACTTGACAAAGAAAAACAACACCACAGTAAATATCCACTGCTGCATCTATGACAAATTATTGGGTTTTTTTATGCGTGATCTTTATACACCTTAGCAATAGGAATACTTATATCCATTCATCTCCATTATAGACAATTAAAGCCGTAATTAATTACCACATTTCTGAATAAGCCCAGAATTAATACCCCACTACTTTGAACGAAGGAATGTCTATTAGGATTATTTTATCTTCTGAAATCTGTATTACTACGCTACATTCTTAGAATTTGTTACAATTCCTAATAATACTGTACAGTGTGCATTGCTACAGGTATCCTACATTGACTAAAACATCTTGACTGAAGTAGTTGCATGACAATTTCTTCTTCTGTTCTTCGGGCTTACTTAACTATGGTAATTAGAAAAACCATTCAGAAATACAAATGCCAGAATACATTTAAAAAGGATGCTCGTATATAAATGGGCGGTCGAACCTACAAAAAGTGGACAGCACTTTCTTCACATTCCCTCTCAAAATGTAATAGTTGCATAAAGGCTCATTTTTCTCCCAATTTGAAAGTGTAATTTTTTTTGGTCAGTGGCATGTACAAAATGGTCCATTTAGGTATACACCAATGTGTCGAAGTAACTTCGGCAGTTAAATACTATAAACGGTACTGAGCTGTGACCGCTTAGTTGAAACCGATACACGACAGTTGCTTTCTCTTACAAAAAAAAATTGAAAGTTTTATAACTCCAATTAAAAAAGGGCATTTAAATTTTTTTTTTTTTTTATAAAATAAACGTTTAAAGGCCTTTTTCATAAACCTATGGGGGGAAAAGTCATAACTGGTGGATCCTTAACACTCAATTCAAAATTAAAAATGAAACAATTGTCCCATCGATATATAACCTGAACTATATTGCTCATGTCATGGAAAGGTCGATAGTTGTTTTCTGACTAAACCCCAGGCCACATGATTTGAACAACTGGGATACCACTTTAAAAAATGCAAATAAAACACGTAATAATCCCCTTTCATGTTTCCTTTTTGGTTATTAACTCGGTATTGAGCATGTACGATAATACTTTCTACTGCATGGTTACGATAACTAGTATAACTGGTAGAGGACCGAGAACTAGCAAACCGAACTGAACCAATAGAACTAGTTTATCCGATAACCGTTAAACTACCGCGGATCAAGCTGCGGCAGATAAAGACCCGACAGTAATCTTGCACTACTCGGTAATTAGCAAATCAGCTTAGTACATTTTGTTTACCCACAATGTTCTACACTTTGTACACTACGTATATTGTAAATTGTACTTACTTTTACATTCTAACATAGATCCAGGCTGTTTATAAACAATCAAGAATGATGCAACATTTCCAAAAATATAGGAATTGAAATTCTAACACAATAGTTCATTTTTAAATGATTATTATTATTATTATTAATTTTTTTTTTTGGAGGGGGGGGGGGGGAAGGTAACATTTCTATTCATAGGATGGAATTTGCGTCGGTGTGATGTAAATTCAACATTGGGTTCTGGCCTTCACCGACGTATTTGTGTGGACACTATATACTCAGTGTTGTCCCGAGAGATTGCGAGGAAAAAATCACTCGGGCGAGACTCGAACTCGCGACCTCTAAGAGGATTCGAGACCAGCCCGATTTTTCCCCTTACAATCATTCGGGACGACACCTAGTATACGGTGTTTATAAAAAAAAAACGTCGTTGAAGCGCACAACCCAATATTGAATATACATCACCCGGACGCAAACTCCATCTTATGAATCGTTTGATTGCGATACCCGCTGCTATATCAGGTTCAAACCAGCCAGCAAGCTCGGTGGTCGAGTGGTAAGACGTCTGCGCTAGTAAGCAGGAGGTCGTGGGTTCGCCAGTCCCGCCCGAGAGATTTTTTTTCCCTCACAATCACTCGGGGGCAACACTGAGTACACAGCGTTTATAAAATACGTCGGTGACGGGCAAAAACCCAATATTGAAATAACATTTCACAACTTTCATGTGGTTTCCATGCAAGTCTTATACATATTTTCCATTTCTCAAACACACACATTCCTACAATGAAAGATATAGGAAACTGTCGAGAGTAATGCATGTCTTTTTCTGGAATGTAAGTCACAGTAAAATCGGCAGTAATTTACAGCACAAATACAATCACCACATTCTATTACCGACAGCTGTAACATTTTTTCCCCTTGTCCTTTATAAATTCTCAACATTTATTTAATAAAACATTTACATTTTAATATTTGGCGGGTTGCCGCGGCTGACAAGGCAGACTCACATTGCATGCTGGGAAGACAACAAATGGCAGCAGAATGGAATGGACAAAACTTGAGGTGATTCAAAGAAACAAAAAGGGAGACATTTTTTTGTGCAGGTGTGCTGAGAAAGAAACTGGTGACATTTGAACAAAAATTGAAAAAAAAATAATAATAAGTGGTAATAATGAATAGAGTTTAATAAAATGTAAAAGTGAAATGTTGATAGCCATGATAAAGTAAACAGTACAAGAGTCCCTACTAAATTTCCTTTTTTTTGGTATAAGTGAGATAATCTTTACATCTGCTTCATAACTCAAAGGTCGAATGCAGTATGAATCAGTGAACAAACAAATGAAGTTTGAAGGATGTAATGGCAAGTTGGAACGTTGCCAAAGAAAACACGTTGTCTTAGCACAGAAAGGTTTTCTCTTAGCAACAAAAGATTACCAGCCAAGGTGCTACACAATGCATTTTGCAAGTAACTGGTATCCATGAAGAAACTTTGCTCAGCACTGAGTTTTCTGCTAAGCGGCTAGTCTTGGTTCGAGACAGTATTTGGGTTTTGTTCCCATTTAACAGCCGGTCCGTGACAAGCGAGGTTGCTATCATGTGTATCAAATCTAGTCTTAGCAATATTGGCAGTGCTACCCACGACATTCCGAGCATACCTCACGCGCGCTGTGTTCGAGCTAGTGCATGCGCGTGAGGCATGGTCGGAATTTCCTGGGTAGCGCTGCCAATATTGCCAAGACTGGATTTGATTCATCTTCTTGATAGAGACCTCCACCGCCGCGGCAACTTAGCCACATTTGTCACGGCACTGGCTGCAAAATAGGGGAATAAAAATCAGTCTGGAACCGAACTTGTTACGTAATTCTGGAATATTGGTCGGGTGAATTATATGATAACAAAGAAGGTTATCATTTGTTGACAAAAGGGGACAAAAAAAATGAGTTATCTGGTTAATCTCTAGTATTTAAATGACACAGTGGCGTGATAACAGGCCATTACTACGTTTTGAACGGATTACCCCCCCCCCAAAAAAAAAACCCCAACCAAACAAGCAACGAAATGGAAAACATGCTATAAAGGTATACCTCAAGAAACAAGGACTACTTTTGTTGAGAGTATGCCACCCAGGGTTGCAGAAAGAGTATGGATCCTAACAAGTATCACAAAAATCATGAAATAACACACATTTTAACCATAGTGTGGGAGCTGGGAAACATTCAGAATTTTGTACAAATTTCACACCGCAAAAGAGAGCCGCAAATCCATACCAATATGAGATGCCAGGGCGAGAAAGCAATATCTCAAACTACACACATTTGCCAAATTCGGTATGGGTTCCAGGTTATAAGAGGGGGATATGTACACCTGACGATACTGATGATAACCTGGGATAATGAACCGAGGGAATAAAAGAACTGCTGACATCAATACATAAAGCTGTGTGTGTATTCCATAGTGGTATGGTGACCAGGCATGCCAGGCTAGCTCCATAAACTTTGGTAGTGTGGAAACTACAGGGCGAGTCAAAAAAAAAAAAAAACAACACCCAAATGTCGGGACTATTGTTTTATTGGAGTTCTGCGTGTAGCACTTTCAAAATCTAGGATATGAAAGCCCAATTCATAAGCTTTCTTTTAGTATAAGAATCATTTAAATCACTCATGTACTTTTCAAGTTACAGAATTTTAAACACAACTACCGTTTTAAGGTTCTGTCCAGCAAAACGAAAACAATTCACACGTAATTTGTTTTCGTTTTGCTGATAGAACACTGAACTTTTTTTGTGATCCGTGGACAGAACCTTAAAACGGTGGTTGTGTTTAAAATTCCGTAACTTGAAAAGTACATAAGTGATTTGAATGATTCTTGTACTAAAAGAAAGCTTATGAATTAGGCTTTCATATCCTAGATTTTGAAAGTGCTACATGCAGAACTTCAATAAAACAATAGTCCCGACATTTGGGTTTCGTTTTTTTTTTACTCACCCTGTATGTCAGTTTTGGAAATCGCGCATGCAGACACATAAAAGTCGGTAGTTTGGCAACCATAGCAGATTGGCAAATCACCCGTGCAGAAAACAGTTTAAAACATTTTTGTTGCTCTAGCAGTAGTACCTCACTGACAATGGTCTGGTATCTAGGCAACCATAGAGATAAACAAATACAGTCGAGTCTCATTAAAACAAACTCGTTCAGACCTAGCCAAATTGTTTGTTATATCAGAATTTTGTATTAAGAGAAACATCAGTCCCATTCATTGTGCACATAAATGCACGGTCGGGACCAAGGCTTTATGTTTGTTATAACCAGAATCGTATTAACAGAATTTGTACTAACGAGAGTCGACTGTAGATGGTTTTATGTTAGCCAAGATACCACACCATTTACTGAATAAAATTTAAAATATACCAATTTATTTACATGTGCATTAAAATAATATTAATACAAAGTGTACACAAACTGGGGTTTCACACAGTATCTAAACAAACATGTGCGTTAAAGTAAAATCAAAACATACTAATCGTACCATAGAGAAAGGACGTATGATTGTACAAAGAACATTGCAATTACCAACCATATATATACACACACATTTGTCTCTGAATAAGATCATTTTGTAGTCCTGTAAAATAAGTACAATTTGGAATGCTACTGTACTCCTGAAAATCACTGCGAACAAATTTGGCAGCAGTTCAAAAAATCAAAAGTGGTCAGAAAGTTGTTCCTCACAGTTCTTACATCGCGAGTAGGCGGGGCTTAATATGCTAATCTTTCTCGCATTTGATGAATACAAAATTTGTTGGCAGAAAGACTCTCAGAATGTTTTGCACTATACTTGAAACTTAGGCTCTGTGACAAAATCCTATACACTGATCTATGATTGGAGAGACTGTCCTTTTCGTACACAAAAATTGTAATTTAAATATCTTTCAATGCATGAACATTTTCAGCAGCCGCTCAAAATTCAAGATTGAGAGGAATTCTAAGTGGAATAAAAAACTTATCAGAATGTTAAAAACTGTTTTTGTTGGTCCTGAAAATATTACTCCTTTTTCCTGCCCATCACATTACAAGTTTGCATATATATATAGTCTTAACCTTAACTCCCTAGGTCTTTTTGCTAGGATGTACCTCAATCCTGCCAAATCCTCCTATTGGCCTCATGGAAAAATAGCATGTAGCCTAAATCCTGCAAATTCCGCCATTATTTGTTGAGTATGGTCCGTGGAGGGGTGACCACTGCCTGAATCCTGCAAAATCCTGCAGCAGTGACTGTTAATATGTTGCGGCTTGGCCAGTGACATCCTGGGGCAGTACGGAAGATTTCAAGCATAATGCAGGCCTATGCATGGCTGAGCAAAAACAATACAAGGTCCGGCCCAAGACCTTGACAAAGTGCATCCTACGAAATCAGTAACACACTTTGGCCATGTAACCTTAATCCTCCAAATTCCTCCACTTTGGCAAAGAGGATTTTGAAGGATTCAGGGCGGGTTGGGGTTAAAAAAACAAGATTTTCAATTCTGTTTCCCTGAAAATCATTGAGAACAGGTTTTACACTTACTACCTTGACGGATATATTGATCTTTTTAAAATATTGATAGCATCCTTTTTCAAAATGGAAATTTGTTGGCATTATTTTATAAACCTATTTCCATATGTGTGTAAAAGCATGGGTATGCTACCAGAAAATGAATACATCTTTAAAAAACAAAAAAGGAAAAACAATTCAGTAAACACGGTTACAAAACAACCTAACTGATACGTGAACATTTAATCAAATTACACAATGCTGGGGTTTGTCATTTCATAATGTCAAATTACTATCCTAATTATGTAACAAAAGGAATATTCCTGTGACCTTTTTACACTTCAACTGCCATGATTCTGAAAATTTGACAAAAAAGCTTGGTCAATTTCACGGAACTACTAAGCACAGTACATCTTTGCTGAGTAAATTACTAGTTATCTTGACAGAATGTCATGTTGCTTGTAATATTGCTTGTGACATGTCCGAATCTGACTAGGCATAATGAAAACTTTTGGACATTTGCTCATTGCAACACTGCGTGTACACGCTCAGTATGTGTGCGCGTGCGCTGTTAAGCTACCAAAACAGGCATATCTTTAAAACTAGGCAACGTACAAATCTGGGGTGATCAGAACATGAAAGAAGACATGTTCAGCTTTCTATAGGGATGAAATTTGTCATTGACAGTACTCGGCCAATAACGACCATTTTAGTTTGAAAAACACATCCACGTGTCATTCATAAAGTTGATAAAATTCTCTAAACGCTGATATAAGAAGCATGCTAATTGGACAATAAATTCCGGCGACCATTTTGGCTTGAAAAAAAAAAAAATGTCCAGTCAGTGTTTTGATTAGTTAGCCCACGGATAGCCACACACACGCACGCACGCGTGTATTATGTACATTGAATATAAATGTGCGCGCCTGTTGAGTAACGTGTGTTCTGTTTACTGTGTGTATATGCAGCGGCCCGCGTACTTGAGCTTATGTCTGTTTTGCTATATCAACTTTTCATTATGATTTACGTTATACCATTTTGGTCCCCTGGGCCCTGGCCCAATCCCCATGCATTCACACACAATAACAATGTACTCTAGTACTCTATTCTAATTCATGTATTGCCTGATACACTCATTGAGCACGCATCACCAACTTTCGTGCTACAGTGAAAGCCAACTTGGTCTCCATTGTTAAAAATCACCATACGATAAAAATGCACTCAGTATTCCCATTATTTCTCCATGGTATCCATAACAAAACAAAAGTGACTCATAGAGCTGTTGGCAGAAATCTGCCAAGCATGGAAAAATATATATGCTTAGCAAAAAGAGGTTACCAGCCAAAATGCCATACAATGTATACTGCATGTGACTGGTTGTCTGCTCATATCTGCTTAGCACATAAATTTGCTAAGCAATACCAGTATTTCTCCTTGGCAGCTCTTCGAAATTTGGTTGACTAGAATTTCTAGACTGCAATCTTTTTAATGATCATATTTCTCCAACATTTCAAAGTCATCATATCCACTGAGACACGAAATGTTGTTTTATTCCGCCTAAATAAAAAAAAAGTAGACAAACTTTAATTATGTGACCTAATGCTCATTTTGTGTGAACATTTCAAGAATCGTGTCTCCAAAAAAAAATCAATCAATGAATTTCCTTCCAATCAATTTTTTGAAAGATTTTAGAATTTCGTTTTTTTTTTATATTCGAAGAAGCACTTTAAACCGTAGACTCTAAAAAAAATGCATTCTTTCACCACAAGGGAATACAACACAACATAACACTATACTTCACAAAGTTGTTCCGGAATTTGTCCAAAACCGCACACTACAAACAGGGAATTTAGAATCAGAATTTGACCTTTATCTGTACATATTGGGGGAGTTGTAACAATTGAAACTGCGTAATTTTAAGGTTCTACAATAAGTGGCTCAATCTCACAAAATGAGTCCCAAGCTTTCAGAGCTACAATTTAGTTTTTAGGTTTTTGTCCAAAAATGGTTTAAAGGTCACATCAGAAGGAAATTTCAAGGTTTTCAACCAATATCGTCCTAAAAATACAAACATTAAAATTAAGAACTTCTTGTCATTCATCTGTGTTGTAGGAGTCGAATCCAGACTCAAATCTACTTTTTTACAGACTCGTGCTCTTATTCAGATAGTCAGGCTTCTTAACATTTTACTGTTACTTTTAGACTAGGATATGGTGGGCTCATTTTCAACACTGTCGTACATGCTTCTAAAAACACAAGATTTTCTTAAGACTGATTTTGTCAGATGTGGCTTCCCATACACATTTGGGTCTCATTGTAGTTTAACTGAAACGGTGATATTGCATCGTAACGAATTACTTGAACCTACACTGATTTGTGCAATATTGAAACATATTGCACAATATGCCTTGAAGTAGAGGGCGCTATTGCTCTTCATTTGGTAGAGGGCGGTCTTCGTCTGACGGGCTGGATGCATAGTCCTCCTGAAGCGGTTCCATGGATGCGGACTCGGGCATGATGCCTCTCGTGATGTCCAACAGCTTCTCTCGTTGTAACGGCGTGACGGACGTGGTGCCCTCGGCCGCCGGTAAACCCATCGGGTCCAGCTTGCGCAGCTGCAGTTTCTCCCCGTTCACGTTGTCGTACTTCTCCGAGTCCTCGCCCGCGGGTAGGTTGACGATGCAGCGGAAAAAGTCGTACCGCTTGGGGATGAACTCACTCCGGAAAAGGAAATCCAGGAGGTAGGACAACACGACGATGGTTGCCAACGATGACAGCATGGCTAACGTCTTGAAAGGAAACAGCTGTCCATTGACCGGGTCGTAATACGGATACTTTATAAATGCCGGTACGCCCAGAACGGGGTCGCCCCCTCCTAGACGTAATAAGAGAGCCATTAAGTAGCCCACAAATGAGCCGTATGTATTGCACTTGGAGAAATACACCACACAGAAGAGCTGGGGGAACAGCACGACGTAGACAAAGTCGGAGCAGAGAAACCACAGTTCGTAGACAGAGGTGATGATAAGACCTAGCACTGATGCTATGACACCCACGAGAACGATACCAATGCGCATGACCCACAAAAGTTCAACTTCGCCGGCCTGTGAGAGAAAAATTTCAGTGTTGAATTATGTGAACTGAATATACAACATTTGCAAACCTCAAAAAAACAACTACCAAAACTACCTGTGCTGTTATTTTTAAGAAAATGGTATTTTCGTATCCATTTGTAACGCTGACCAGCGTTGGAAAAAAACTGGCCTTTTTTCAAATACTGCCCCCAATTTACCATATTTAGTAAGTCTGCATTTTGTTTGCAATTGATTACACACCTATGAACGTGTACAAGCCAGCTAGACTGGTTTCCTGACCTTACAATTCCCTGACGTCTATAAATTGCTGTTTCAACTTGTGGGGTCAGGGAACCAGACTACAGGAGGATGATGTTTTTTTTCTTGGTTTTTCCAGCATCTAGTAACACAAATCTTCAAACAAGTCAGTGTAACAATATTTGCTGTAAAATACTCGCCCCCAAAATTCACCTAATTCTGAAAATTACAGCAAAAGCAAATGTTGTACATTCCCTTTAAGCATGGTTAATAATTCACGAGCATTTGCAGATGAAATGTCTTGAACATAACCAATCTACAGCGTCATGATGTCACAACTTCATGGAATCAAGCTGGAATCGAACCCGCCGCCAACAGAATACAGTACCGGTGCACTACCACCTGATCGATGCTAAGCAAGAAAATCTGCTAAGCACAGGAAACATTTGCTTAACAAACACAGGTTACCAGCCAAAGTACTGTGCAATTTATACTGCCTGTAACTGATACTCAGCGGATTTTTGCTTAGCGCATAAATTTGCTTAGCAGCATTTTCTGCTAAGCAGCTCACATTAAAATTGGACCCGGTACTCAATGCCTTTGTTCCATAACAATTCGGATACATTTTGAAAAAATTACCTTTTGACGGAAGACCAACTTGTAGATGTTGCGAGTGAACATGGAACTAGCCGAGAGAATAGAAGAATCGGCCGAGGACATGACGGCAGCCGACACGGCCCCGAGACCGATGAAGGAAACAACCTGCGGGGTCAGATACTGGATGACCAATGGCAGCAAGAGACTGGTTTGATTGTAGGGGTCCGTTACCTCCAGATTGAGCGTCGTTTCATTCCAGTCTGTGGAAAATAAACAGTGAACTTACTGGTTTTGAAACTGCATCTCAGACAATCCGGCCAAGATTTACTCCTTAATAAGTACGCTGTGTTTGAATGAGTTATTCTGTAAGCGTCGGCTTTTACCAACCACTGACAAAAACTTCACATCAATTTCCGATACAGCCAAACATGAAGTCACGTCCGTCACAAGTCAATAATACATGCAATAAGTCAAATCAGAGTCAATCACAAGTTAAAGCTATAGTTCATCATTTGCAGCCATCCAAAAAGTAACTGGCGTAATTATTGTTGAAAAACAAACTTGGTTGAAAGATAGTAAGGGAACTAAATTCCCTGTGAAATTATTCCTTCTGGGAAGCTGTCATTTTGAAGTAATCAACGAAAGAAGGCATTTCCAACGGTGATTCTTAAGAAGCACCGTAGGAAAATTTAAATTAGTAGTTCGTTTTGTTATTCAGCGCAGCGCGCACAAGTATTGGAACGACGCACACGCGCGCGCGGGTTGTTATAATTCGTCGGATCAGTGCGCTACGTCGCGTAAAGCTGCAATTCAAAACATGATTCAGTAATTTTTGATTTGAAATTGAGATCTTAGAATGCTGTTTTTCTCGGAATGTACAGCTGAAGCTTAGCTGAAACTTCATCAGGTTAGTTGTTCAGTATCCTTCATTAGATTTTGAACCCTTTTGTTGCTTCAAACGAACAAAATGCACAAATTACAAATGATGGACTGTAGCTTTAAATCACAAGTCAATCACACTTAAGGTCATAAATTATAGAAGGTTCACAATGACAACGGAATGCCCTTTTCACAATTCATGAAAAAAACTTTGGCTTGACTTCAGACTTCATTCGAGTGAATTGTTATCGACTTGATCAGGCTTGGTGACCTTCACACCAACTCTGGAACAAATATGGAAATAAAACCTTGGAAAATACCGACAACCCCCAGAATGGGCGGAGTCTATGCCTTTCTTACTTGTACTTGCTCCGATAGCACCAATGAGAATAGAAGGAATGGCCATCAAGATACAGCCGATGGCGGCGACGAAGGACAGCGCCTGGGCCCTCTCTGCCGTCTTAGAGGAGAGAACACGCTGGAAATACACCTGCCAGGGTATACCCCCAAATATCTGTAATTGGAACGAAACTCGGTGGGTTTAATACCTTTGATTTTTGTGGGGGAGTGGGGTCTAGTGGTTAGGGTTTGTGACTCATGATCAGAGGGTCAGGGGCTCGAATCCAGCTACTGGCTATATGTTGTGTCCTTGGGCAAGCCACTTCATCCTCACTTGCCTCTCTCCACCCAGGAGTATAAATGGGTACTGGCATTAGCTGGGGAGTAACCTGCGATGGACTGGCATCCATCCAGGGGGAATAGAAATATTCTCAGTCTTTTCATGCCACTGAATCTGGAGTTAAACGCTGGCCTGAAGGGCCACACTGGCTCGTGACTGGCTCGCAATACTGAACATTCAACTTTACCGAACATCACCCTTGGCTCCCGAGCAATTGTTGTTCAAAATGTCAGTGCAAAAACCCTAAATCTATGGTGTAAATGAAGGATTGTAGGGCCATTTCCAATTCCCGCACATCAAACGGCCAGTGCTTACATCAGGCTTTATGTTGAAGAGTGACAGGTGGCTATGATTTCTCCAAGGAATAGAAGGGAAAAGCCACCAAAACCCTCCTGTAGGTTGAAGTTGAATCGTGGACAAGTTTCGCGACTCAGCGTGCGGAACGAGAAATGCCACTACGCTATAACAATTGTCAAAAGAGGGCGCCGTTGATGTGTAAAAACATCAAGCCATCAAGCCTCAAACCATCACAGCACCGGCAGCTTAAAATCGCTATACCGACCGATCGCTATTACGGACAATTTCTGTGGATTCCGCGATGTTCGTTATAGCGGCGTTCCACTGTATTCCTGTACAGAGTCCTTACAGAGAACGATCTACGAATTACATCATTAGTGTCAGACTTACAAGTAGCAGAGCTGAATCCACCCAGACTCCAGCAAACACTGGGTCCCAGTTGCCGAGCCACCTGGTTGCTGTGAAACCGATAGGTTCCACTGCTTCATTGGTGATGGCAAAGGGAATACAAAGCCACTGCACACAAAAAAAAAAAACCAAAATAAAACAAATTTTAAACACTTTCTTGAATCTAAAAGTAACCACAATTTTTTTTTTTATCATCTCTTAGGTCTGGGCCCAAATTCATAGCGCTGCTAAGCACACGGTTTTCTGCTTACTGTCTATTTCATGGAGACCGTAAGTAGTAAGCACAGCAAATGCACGCTTAACCCCAGAGGAAAAAAGTTGCTTAAATCAGTGACGTAACAATAGAAATCCCCAAGTGCGTGCAACCATGAGCAAATCCATGCCATGAAATAGTGCTTACAGTTAGTACACTTTTCCGCTATGGTAAGCATAGCTTTTCTGCTAACTGTTAAGCAGTGCCATGAAATTGGGCCCAGGTTACCAACCAAAGTGTCATGCAATCTACATTGCTTGTGGCTGGTTCCCGGCAGCTTTTCGCTTAGCATAAAACAAATGCTAAGCAGTAATTTTCTTGAAATTGGAGCTGCTAAAATAAAAACGACCTCACACCTTCTCCAGATTCTAAGATCAAAGTGGTTTTTGGAATGCGCATGCACGACCATGTCAGGCCATGAGAACACAACGGTGCAATTTGATACAGTGCCACTTTCACGCGGCCCACTTACCAGACCAATGAATATGCAAATGAGTTGGACGACATCGGTGTAGGCCACCGAGTACAATCCGCCGAAGAATGTGTAGAAGACGGCGATGCAGGCCGACACGATCACGGAGATGCTCATGTCCAGCTCAAGCACCACGCTAATGGTGGACCCTGAAGATTGGGGGGGGGGGAACCAACAAGAAAGAGCTTGCAAAATATGTTTCAATCATGTAAATTCATCTTGGGTTTTCAGAATTGTTTTTTTTTGTGTGAATTTCTGTGAAGTCTCACTTTAGTACCGCAACTTTAGTGTCAGATATAAGAATACCTTGGGTGGAGAAAATATTACAATGCATCACAGCGTCCACAGCATATTTTCAAGAAAGGAACTTGACCGTGTTTAACCACTTCTCCGGATTAAATACTAATTTGTATACTATAGTTTGAATTGCCGTTTCCAAAGTTTTGATTTAAAAAATTAATTACTGAATTTTTAACTTAATTACTGTATTTTTAACTTAATTACTCTTTTTTTTGGGGGGGGGGGGGAAAGTAGCGCCTTCTGCTAGTTTTTGTTTATGAGTTTCACGTGATATGATCATTTACACATACTTCTTTTTTTACCAAATTGTTTAGGGTGGAAACCATTAGCAAAGTTAGCTCCCACAAAATAAAACAACAACTGACTAGTACAACTTTCTCTAAAATTGCAAATGTTTTCCTTTTTTAAGCTTGGCAAGTTCAGTTTTGTAATAATTTTAACATATCCTAGACTTATACAGTTGCCCTGTAACTTACATACTTGTCCAGAACAAATTTTTAAAATCCTGGCATTGGCTCTTGGCTTCGGCTTTCTAGCTCCGGAATCATTTACATGTACATTCAGGGGCCTGTGCCCAAAGCTGCAAACGAAGCCAAAGTTTGAACAACACCCTCATTTCAAAATTTTTACCTAAAGCATTCAATATGGCCGCCGTCCAGAAGAGTTCTCCCGTAAGGGCGGGAATGAAGAGCAGCCCACCCATGCGGGAGCCGTACTTGAGCTGGAACGGGTCCAACATGGTGATGTAACCCTGGGACCGCATGGCTTTGGCAAAAAGTAGCCCTCCTGAAAGTACCAATATTTAAAGACACAGAAAAAATAGAGAACAAGATAAACGATAACACGTCAGGTGCACCAAGAAGGGACAATACAACAGATTTGCCACAGCGCAAAGTGACCGAACCATCTATGAACTTTGTGCACAGGATATGTCACAGAACGTCAGAAAGTTGACTGGTCATCGCCGCTGGGCATCATCATCCAGTTTGGCTTAACGCCGGTGCCGTGCATGCGTGAAATTCAGGCTGTGATGCTGCGCGGTGCAGCAGCTATCTACAATAAATTATTTTGTGGTGCGACCGACGAATAATTTATGCTTCCTCAGTCTTGTAAACTGAAGTATTCCTCAATTCCCTCCCCCTTACTGCCTTAACCCTCCTGCTATTTAAACAGTCACAGACAGTCAAAATTCACTTCCACTCCCCCTGCTATACTTTTAACGAAGGCAATCAACAAAAAGGCGATTATGTGGCAGACAACAGGTCGAAAGGGGAATGGTGTGCATGTACGGTACACTCACACACTCTCGCAATAGCATGCATAAATACACGCAGGGCATCATTACCCATGGTTTAACAAGATGTGTGCATGCTGCAATAGCTTTCTCGGCAAACCCAAGTGTTATTTGAAGGAAAATATAAGACATTGAACAGCACTACTGCCGTTGGAAAACAACTTCAGGCACCTCGAATTTCAGAGTTAATTTTCCGTCCGTGTTCAGCTCAAGTCAATTTCTGGAAGGGATTTTCCCGTCGCATTGAAAGACACTGAAAGATAATATTTTCCAGATTCATCTTACCTAGAATCAGGCTTGCAGCATATCCCCACGGTGCCTGTGTCCATAGCAACCCATAGTCTGGTCGGAATACATACTCGGCTGTTCCGTTGATGTAACCTCCTCCCACCCATGTAGCTAAAAATGACCAAAAACAAATGGAAAAGAGGAACAAGTTAGTAACAACATGGCCAAAACATTTTTTGTCCTTGAACAACACTTAGTACAAGGTGTCTATTAACTCCATTAGTGATGGACAAAAACCCACTATTGAACTTGAACAAATTATAACAGATTCACTTATACCTCAGCATGCCTAACCAAAGTGGCCTCCGCTCAGAGCAAAACTTAAAAATACCACGCACATTCAAACACGTGGGTGACAAGGCTTTTTCTGTAGCAGGACTTAGATGCTGGAACTCACTCCCTCTCAATATTCGTCATTGTAAATCCATCCACCAGTTCAAAAGTAAACTCAAATCATATCTATTTTCAGATTAATTGTACTTCTATTGTTCATTTTTTCATAAGTTGACTTCCTGGTGTTGTTCTTCGTGGCGCATTGTTACCTTTGGAAAAATACACTTTAAAAATGCTTGTATTATTATTATTATTTAACAAGCTTTCGCCAGCTGACAAAAAAAGGATTAATTAGTCTTCACCTACAACTGGCAACAATACAGAATCCAGATGGGGATGCCAGCAGTAAAAAGGATAACAATTTTGAAAATAAAGATTGGGTTTTAAATTTTCTGTTATTTAATATTTGTTACGAGGTATGCATAGAAAGGTGTTAATGAAGTTGTTAATGATGTGCAGAGTTTTATGCCATTAAAAGGTCATATATCTGGAGAAACAATTGACATTCTCATCTTCAATTACAATGCAGAGCGATTATTTTTACACTTGGAAAATGGAATCTCACACCAGCTGTTAGTAACCTAAATATCAAATATCTACCAAACTTTTGTGGTTGTGGGGGGGGGGGGAGGGAGAAGGGGACGGGGACAGTAGGCCATCAGACTGTACAATCAGGGGCGAGGGCAGGGCAACAAAAAAATGGGGGGGGGCAAAAACAATTTCCTGATTTTTTTTAAGGCGAGTTGCAGATATTTACTTTTTTAAATTATTTTTTTGGAGGGGGGGGGGGGGGGGGGAGGGGCGCTCGACGTCATTTAATGTCCTGTTCATTATAAGTGCTTAATTGCCATTCGTGATGCACCTGGTGAAACGGATGTGCACGATTAAAGGGCTTCTTTAGCTAAGGTCACTGAACTGAACCTTTCTGCAGCTGTATGTCCAACAACATCCGTCTTTCACAGAAGCAGAAACCACTGGGAAACCCCCACTACTTCCTTGCAGACGCCCACTGCACTCGGATTTCCGGTAAGCTGAAACATGACCTCAAATGATTTGTTGCACACTTTCCCATTTCATTCCAAAATATTTCAATTGATAAACTGTTCAGTTTGAAGAACCAGTGTCTATAGTGTTATTTAAAGTTTATCACATTACATGTATGCTCTCTGACAAAATTCCCCTAATTCATGGTTTTATGTAAAAAATAAATAAAAAAAGTACCACATCTTCAATGTATCGACCACCTTGAAAAGAAGAGGGACCAGGCTCCTCTTCAAATTATTACACTTGCTTTGAGTGTTCAAACCTCTTGCTGTTAGAATCTTAAGAATAAATCCCTCCTGCTAATGAATTTCAATATTTTTAGTTATCTTTAAAGCCCCCCCGTTTTTTACATGTACATTTGTAAATTTCGCCTAAGCCTTACAAGTGACAGATAATTTGTGTAAACTTTAATCACCCAACAGGCAGCCACAGGACGTAGAGTATTTAAGAGAAAATAACATGCAATATTTGAGGAAAAGCAAAAGTGGCCGACAATAAGATGAACAAAAATGTTTCTATTTTCAACCACGAGATCTTGGAATTTAACCTCTAGTTCAATCACCGGGGTTTGAAGTTTCAGAGCCACAGGGTTCCAATTCATCCAATTATAGGCGAGTCTGAAGGGTAGGATTCACTGGATTTATAAAAGGATTCCTGCTCACGCCAAAATGGAGACTGAGTTGCAAAAAGTACCTTTTGTCTTTAAGAAGCCCAAGTCTTAAAACAAAATAATATTCCTGCATTTACTTGTTGGAAAAGGGAATAATTATACAACATAAGGTTGTTTTTTTGTTGTACTTTTCAAAAATAGATGGATTTGGGGGGTAAGTATTTATAGCAAATTACACTGACTTGTTTGCAGTTTTGTGTTTGTAGATTCTGGAAAAACCAAGAAAAACACTCATGTTCCTGTAGTCTTGTTCCCTGACCCCACTTTAGGTAAAATGCAGCAATGGATAGACTTCCGGGAATCGCAAGGTCAGGGAACCAGTCTAGCTGGCTTGTATCCGTTCATAAATGTAGGTGTGTAATCGATTGCAAACAAAATGCAGACTCACTAAATGTGGTAAATTGAGGAAAAAACAGTGTTTTTTTTTCGAACACTGGACGCGCCGACCAGTGATGGAAATTGATACAAAAATACCACTTTTCTTGAAATGACAACCATGATTTTACGGATGCTTGAGACTATTATTCACTTACAGTCAAGTAAGGTATTCATAATATTAATATTTTGTTTTTTTTGTTTTTTTGATGCCAGCAAAAGTTGTATATTATCTTTAAATACAGTGTGCTTCATTTTAATTCACTTCTGCATGCTCTCATTTCACAAATCCACTGGGACGCTGTTTAACAAGTGTAGGCATGTCAAGTAAACCGGTGTCGGGGAAACGGGAGTAATTTGCTGAAGTGCTGTCGAGAATTAGCATAACATCTCCATCTTGTTCTGCGTGAGAAAGCATAGGTCCCGTGGCGGTTGATCGTCTTACACTATAGCTAGCATCACTGAGGGGCATGACATTAGCTGTCCGTTTTTTTTTTGTCTTCGCCGAGGACAATAATCAGAAACACTGCCACAGCTCACTGGCATATTACTATAAGCTGTCGATCCCAACGGAGATTGGCGTACATGTAACTGCCGACTGAAGAATAATCAATATCGTGGATAGCAGGTACTTTCGCATCTTGTTAAAGAGACACGGCCTCCGTTTCAAACACTGACCATGCTGCAGTTCAAGACTCGGCCTTAATGACTCCTTATAGATTTTTTAAAGGTGCGTGTACCTTTGACCAAAACAGAGTGTGCCAAAAACAGTGCAACATTCAGAAAAGAAATAATTAAACCTGTTTAATGTTCTTTTATTCAGTGAAATTATATATTAATTATTAAAGACCAACTACATGTGTATTTTTCAATCCACTCTTTTTTACCCCATTCCATTTAGGTCCCTAGATCCAGAAATACAATCAATTAAGTGAAAGGATGTAAATTTGACTTGGGCCACTCTCACCTGTGATGTCACCAACTTCAATGCCTATTTAATGCCTATTCAATGCTTAACCCAGATTCCGCATGTCCAGATGAGAGTGGCCCAAGTAAAATTTACACCCTTTCACTTAATTGATTGTATTTCTGGATCTAGGGACCCAAATGGAATGGAGTAAAAAGGAATGGATTGAGTATATAGTAGTCAGGCTTAAATGTAATATAATTTCATTGAAAAAAAAAGGTTTAATTATTTGTTTTCTGAATGTTGTTCCGTATTTGAGGACCTGTTTTCTCGCAAATTTTCATGGATTTTTTTGCAAAACTTTGGCAAGGTGGTTTGTTTCTTTTCAGTACAATGTTTTGCTCAATGATGCTGCATTATAATAAAAAAAACTGATTCAATTTTTGAAATAAAATTCTATGAGTTCTTTTCAACAGTTTTTTTGAATCAGCACGGGTAATATGCTTGTTGTGACATGCATGTGCGTGTTTTCTTTTTGTAAATTTTATCGTAAAAAATCAGTCTCGTGCAGATCATATGCAATTGACTTTAATTCTCTTGTTATGCAGGCATGCAACTTGGAATTAACTAAAACAGAGGAAACTTCAATCTTTACAAGACTGTACAGTGTTTTTTTCCCAATTTTTAATGGCATAGGCCTAAATGTAAGTGAAAAACGAAGAAATCAGAGCTGATCCGAAGAGAAGTTGCATGCCTGGTAAATGTTATGTCATTTCTCTTGCCAGATGCCACATGTCAACCATAACTTTATGGACATGGATACTTCTGTTGAGATTAAAGTTCGACTCTAAAATTTAAAAAAGAAAAAAGAAAAGGAAAAGTGATGACAAAAAAAGATGATGTTTAACTGCGTCAAAACAAGGAAACAATGACGCACATTGCGGTGGCCAAATCAAGGCGTGTGAGTGCAGACACTACAGACGCACTTCTCTTATTGGCTATCAATGACCAGCGGTGCAAATAGTCAAGAGTACCTCTCCAACCACCCATCTGTCTAAATATATTCCCCTGGTGGTCCACCGCTGTTTCATGAACATGTTTTTTTTTTTTATGACGTTACTCTCCGAGTATTTGGCATGTCGCTCCGAGGGCATATTCATTGATAATGCGTGGCGAGTTGTTATTGTCGGTGACTGCTCTATGTTCCGACACCCCTATGTTCCGACAACCTAGATTGTGTTACTCCCGGTTAGGGTTAGGGTTAGGGTTAGGGTTAGGAATAGGAATATGTGCAGTCGGAACATAGGGGTGTCGGAACATACACATGTAGAGGTGTAACCGTTATTGCCCACAATGCAACTGTGCTGCCACTGGAGTTGGTCACTAGGGTGTGACGGAGTTAAGAATTGTTTCATCTGTCAGGGGTAATGGTCATACTTGGTCTCTCGTGCCACATTTAAAAGCACATTTTGGTCATTAAACAGGGATCATTAACTTCTGTCAGTCCTGTGGCAATTTTCCCAGGAACTTAACCTTCCAAAATCTTCCACACATTAACTTTATAATAAATAAAGAAATAAATAACAAAGAAATTGACTGGGGAGGGGCTGGAACCTGCAACCTCCGGATAACAATTCCGGCGCTCTACAACCCTACATGTATGTCGGCGGTTCCCAATTTTGTCAATTTGTTCAAGGGAAGTGAGTGAGAAGCCACAAACCTATGCATGTACCATGTATTTGTGTGTGTGTGAAACAGTAGTCGGCAACAACCAAATTTGCA